TTGAGCTGTAAAGTTCGCTTCATAGGGATAATTTGTAAACAAATTTGCCTTTACTGTTCATCTGTTCTGCATTGTTTGTCCTTTCATGTTCTCAAATTATACTTAATGTATCGTTTATGAAACATAATCATAGATAGTTTCAACAACCATGATAATTTTCATATTTTCTTTTTTAACGTAAGACACACGAATATTAATGCACTTCTCACATATGCTTAAGAGAATATCATACCAATTAATACTATAAAAAGAGTAATTTACAGCAGTGCTCTATATGCATTAAGGACTCTGTACCGACTGTCTATTTCATCATCTCTAAAGCCGTTTTAAAAGCTAAATTTCATTGGACATTCTAACATATGTAAATCTACTCATTGTTCAAGCTCGTAAGCATCATTTTCATATTTCAAATAATGTGACACGTTCATAAAGCTATGACAATGCGGCAATCTTTATCTGAGACCTTTTCAAGATGGAAGACTAGCCGAATATAACCATATCAAAACAGAATCCTGAGTTTCGGGATTTGTTTGAAAACTTCTCCATTTTCAGAGCTACTCGAAGTCAAACGTAGGGTAAATAGCGTATATATTTCAGTACATTGTATTTTATAATGAGACTTCCTGTCTCAGTACCGACATATGTATTTCACTATAGGGGCAAATTAACCGTTCTGTACCTGATGCCCCTATGAGATGAGGTCGGATCAGGGTAAGGTCAAATTAGGGTGTACAAAGGTCAAAGGTTACTGAGAGTAAACTTAAGGCTAATTGACCACAATTCTTCCGAGCAGGATATATTTTATGGTTTTAGGATAGGACTGTTGGAAAGTTTGCTTATTGAATACTAATAGCTCTAAAATCAAAGAAAAAGCTTAACTGAACTTTCTGTATTTAATATATTATATGTACATAATCAACTTTTACATTATTAATTTATCATTAATTTAAGTTTCCAAGTTTTAATTTGCTCTGAGGAACTGACAATGTCATCTGACATAAAATATCGACTGATGGTGGTTAATTATATGCTACTATTCATTTTCTAGCTAGTTTACCTAGTCCGCAAAGCACTTAAACATTACTAGATATTTGCTACTTAGAATATTGCAACAATCGTTCGAAAATTTGTTTTTAAAACACCCGATTTAAAATCCCGCTTGTGATATTTTTTTATGTCGTTAACTACTTCTAGGATGCTGGGAGAAGGGGAATGACACAAATGTATATTATTTCCGATAAACATTTTAAATACTGTTAAAAAATGGTAGACAAAATACAGCTGACAGCAATAAACACAAAAAACGACAAAAATTACAACCTTTGATGACAACAAAACAAACTTTGGTGACAGCGAAACAAATACAACATAAAATATAATAACAACGAACAACGCATATGGAATACTAAGAAAATGAATTTTTGGTGATAGCAAAAGACGCACATGGCGTCAGAAAAAAAAACGATAAAATAAAATACGATGACAACAACAACAAAAAAAAACACTATGGAGACAAAACAAGGACATAAAGTATGTCGAGAGCAAAATAAAACACAGCAGAAAATATGGTGACAGGAAAAATATGTATATGAATGTGTTATGGTACAGTAAAAAAAATTAAAATGCGGCAAAACCAAAAAGACAAGAACAAAATCAGCCACAGGCTAAAATGAAACACCAGGTTACCACCGAATGCCTTTGTGTTCTTGAAGGTATGGAGAATATTCTAAGACAACTATCAAATTTGTAAAAAAAAAAAAAAAAAAAAAGAAGCTTTGGTTTCAGCTTCATTATGGTAGTGTTGTTCTTTTTTAATCCTTAGGAACGTTTCTGAGAAAACCATAGTTATCATACATTTGTCGTTACAGAATTTGGATTCGGAATCAGTTTCGGACCATTGGTGCATCTAGATACGAAGTCAATTTCTTGATTTGGCTCATTGATTGGTTTACATGTGAAACATTTAGACTCATATTCTTTTTCGTGATTATCAATTGATGAATATATGGATGTAAAGATTATCATATCTTATCTCTTCGCAAACGAAGTTTTAGGGATAAAGGACCTACGTAAGTATGTTACACTTTCTTGTCAGCCCACTAGCGACTTCATCCCTAAAACAATTTCGATCAAACCTTGTCAACACTATAGCGACTTCATTTAGCGATGAATTTTAATCAAACTTCACACACCTATGAAGAATTATGATGTATATCTTGGAGGATTTTCCTTGTCAGGGTTAGTGGATTAAAGTAAAGGTCATTGTGATTTTTTTCAGAAATCCTTGGCAGTACTTTTCTGGCTTCGTTTCTCGGGGGATTTCAAATAAAGTTTACACACTTATAAAGGACCATTATATCTCGGACAAGTCGTTGCAGAGTTATAGGCTCAACGTCAATATCATTGTTTATAGGAAATCACTGTAAGCACTCTAGCAGCTTCCTTTATTTGGGGATTTTCATCAAACTTCACACTTACGAATTACTATAAAATCTGAAGGAAGTTTGAGATTTAATTTGTTGAAACAAATGATTTTATATCCGAAAATAAATGATAAGAAATAAAGTTCCGTTGTATCGTTAAGTTTGGAATCATTTTTCCGCGCTAAACAATTATTTTGGCGCAATAATAAAAAAAGAAAACAAACTGTTGAAGTTTTCAATAGCCTAAATTTTCAATAAATGTCACAGGAAAAATAAAATAAAATAAAAACACGGTCAGTGTTTAAAATACAAGCTACATTTTGTCTCGGAAGAGAAATACAAATATGGCTAACTAAATGCTCGCCTCCTTTGTCTTTCTTCACTCTTATTAAAATACTGCTTAGGTTTGAAGATACCGACCATTTCTCTGTTTACAGCATTTTATTGGCAGAGGGGCGATAACTCTTATACACTAAAGATGATCGACTGTATATGAGAATTCAATTGTTTCGTCCTTGGTATATTAGTAACATGAAATTAAACGATCAACTGAACTTATTTTGATTGACAGACAAATGGATAATGGTTTAACATTTATAACCAGTGTCCAAATTAATAAGAATATATAATATATTTTGTTCAATATATATACTTTTTAAATGGCTCTTTAAACATTTTAGAATTGAATTATTTAAGTATTGTCATAACACAGCAACATTCACGGTTCTAGCAAAATTGTTCTGTTAAAAAGCCCGTGTTATTGAAATCTAAGGAAAATATTAGAAACAAAAAAAAATCCACGAATTTAGTTCTTACTTTTAATATATTGCAGTAGATATTCAAAATATCTAGATATCTAAAGTACATTTTAGAGTAAACACAAATGTGACCAAAGGACATTCTCTATCATACTTTTGAAAATATCTAAGTAATATCAATATCTTTGAAGACTGATTTACTGCAGGCCGTGTCGTCACGACAACATGTTAATTTACTTAATGTCCACATGTTGGTGTCTTTATTACGTAATTGTATAATGTATGTAGCTATAACTTTAGAGTTCAACAGGGAAATTAATTTGAGATCACTGGATTCATTAGTGTATACTTCATTCAAAACTATTTCCACTAAGACGACTTAAAAATTAAATACCGAGACATTGAAGTAGTATAAGATTTACAATTCATCGTAAAAATGGGGAATTCTTTTAAACTTTATCCGAATTTGAACGTGTCGGTGCATTTGCTTTCTGAAACTGAACTAGGGAAACTATTTGTATGCCTTTAAAGTTTTAGAATAAATTATTCTACTCTAGAAAGACATAATTTGCCTATTGCAACGAATTTTAAAGTTAACAAGACCAGTGAAAACGAACGTCTGGTATATCCGCTTTACAAGAGTAAACAGGAAGGACATCATTGACACAATTTCCTATATGACGTCTCGTGACACCATCATTGTTAAATTTATAAAAGGGAAATAATTGCCTGTGAACATGACTAACATTTACGTTGTTGTTTCGATAAAATATACATAGTATGTATATGACTATCTGTATCTTAATAAGATCAGAAAACATAAAAAAATAATGTCTTGATATGTTGATGTATTCATGCGGCTTTCATAAATACGTTTTCAGCACGTGTAATACCTGTTAACAACACACGATATGACGAATACAAATACAATATCTCGACGCAATTCCCTCGTGTTATGTCGATTTCCAAGAAGATTGATTTTGTCCAGTAGATAAAACAAAAACGGATTTCAAATAATTTTAAGTAATGAACATTGATGATTTGGTTTATTCTTACTTCATATCACGTGTTATGTATGATATGGTGCCTCTGTAAACAGTTGAATTCCATGGTCATGTCATTCGTCTTATGACCTGTTTGTTAAGATCATATCCAAAAACAGAACATTGTCAACGACTATCACAAACAGAACATTGTCAACGACTATCACAAACAGAACATTTTCAATGTATATAACTAACAGAACATTGTCAACGACTATCACTAATAAAACATTATCAATAACTATCACAAGTAGGACTTTTTCAATGGCTATCAAAAACAGAACAATGTCATTGACTATCACTAATAAAACATTATCAATAACTATCACAAGTAGAACTTTTTCAATGGCTATCAAAAACAGAACATTGTCAATAAATATTACAAACAGAACATTGTCTGACTATCACAAATAGGACATTGTCACTGACTATCAAAAACAGAACATTGTCAATAACTATTACAAACAGAACATTCGGCAATGACTTTCACAAACAGAACATTGTCAATAACTATTACAAACAGAACATTGTCTGACTATCACAAACAGAACATTGTCAATGACTATTACAAACAGAACATTGTCTGACTATCACAAACAGAACATTGTCAATGACTATTACAAACAGAACATTCGGCAATGACTTTTACAAATAGGACATTGTCACTGACTGTCACAAACAGAACATTGTCAATAACTATTACAAACAGAACATTGTCAATAACTATTACAAACAGAACATTTGGCAATGACTTCACAAACAGAACATTGTCACTGACTATCACAAACAGAACATTGTCAATAACTATTACAAACAGAACATTGTCAATAACTATTACAAACAGAACATTGTCAATGTAGCTTGCCCAGTACAAAATGTAGGATTAGATTCTATAGTCATTTCAACGTCAGCTAGTATGCTCCGGAGTTTCCATGAGGTGAGTAATTCCAATGGAAAATACGCAGGATAACTTGTTTCCTGGAATAGTCAATACAGATTTGATGTATTTCTTACCAGATTCTATATCTGCTGTTTGTGGAAACTTGAGGCTTGCAGATAGTCAAGAATACACACCATGTCCAATTCAAGCCCCTGTCTTTGTCGAATTTCCATTGCGTTTGCCTCACACTCGATGTAAAGTCCTTGGTTGATGAAATTACTCAGGTTGTTGGAGTCCGTCACTTGATATCTACTGCGCAGCTTGTAATGTTTGGCAAATACTTGACAGTATGAAGAGTTTAAATGTATTTAATTCATATATTTGGTTAAAATCTTGTATCTGTAACTTTTTGGTTTCAAACTTTTCTTGTTCTTTCGTTAAGCAATACTTTTAACAAGAATCACAGTCCCTTTTAATAGTGTTTGGACAAACTTTTCTTCACCAAACTGTATATATGCTGTTGGAAATCATTTCTTTGAGTAAGACTTGGTAAAGTGACTAAACCGAGAGTCATTTGGGCTAATTGTATGTCCTGGAATGTTGGTAACTTCTCCATTTTTCCACCATCACCCTAGTGATTCACTTCGCCTTTATTACAGATATAGTTATATGTTTTAGTAGTTTCCTGTAGTCTGTGGAATAGATGTTTATATCTCCTAATAAGTGACTCCTTGAGAACGGGAAATACCACATTATTGCGACATTAACACAGCTGTTCTATCAAATAAATACTTCCACCTTGGCGTGGAAGGATTTCTAGTAACAATTAACATCGTTCTTTCCTTTTTCTCCTGTGTTTCTTCGTTCACAATCAGTTGGTTTGAGTACGTCGTCTTCTTTCAAATGATTACATACATCTTTGGGATCTACATCATCCACTAGAGCAATCCATTTCAGCTGAAACAAGGAAACATATTATTTTTCATGGTGCAAAAATAAGGATTTCAACGAAACATCAGATGATATTCCACGACGAACCAACTGAACACAGGACGCGTATTGTTTATGTGATGTGAATAATAATGAGAGCACGTTCCGAAAGTCTATTTGTTTAGAGAGACTTTGCGTTCTTTTAAGATATTTCCTTAATGGTCATGATTAGATCCCCCGAATGAATGAATGTAAATTCTAGGAGTGAATTAACATAACCTCTTCGCGACAGACATCATCAGCTTGAAGAGGAATGAAGGTTTTTAGGGGAGTGGGGGGACTTCATAATTCGCTAAGACGGAAAGGTGTCCAGCACTGGGAAATGTTACAAAAACACCCAATGTAAGGGGAAGTATCAAGTTAAGATTACTATAAGGTCAGGTATTGCTGCCAATTCTGCTATCATAACATTTGTTTAGGACAATTTCAAGATAATGTCGACAAAGATTCAGCTGAATCCTACCCGGAACTTGAGAAGATGCCTTTCAAAGACACCTGTTACCTTGAACGTGGGTCGAGGTCATTTATATTACCAAAATTGAAAGCCAATAACATGTAATTTTTTAGCCTTTGCGCCTTGTAGAATATGAGAATGAGTAAATTAAATTTATAATTTGTACTTTGACCCCTGCCAAAAACCGAAAGTTGGCATGTAACAAAAATTATTTCCTGAAAATAAATGTTATTTTCTTGTGATCCTATATAACATATACATATCCAAAGATGGATTGCGGCAATTTTTTTGTTTTTGCTTTTTTGTTTTTGTTTTTGCTTTTTTTGTTTTTTTTTTTGTTTTTTTTTTTGTTTTGTTTTTTTTTGTCACTAAATGGCAGAGGACATCTTGGAAACTTAAACTAAACTAAAGCGATTAATATAGGTATTTAACAAGTTTTAATAAATTGTCAGCGATTTCGAAAGATCAAAACAAATTTTAAAAATGACCCAACAGCGAGATTTTTTTTATTTGAAATATTTTGTATTAACATGTAATGGGATAAGAATTGATAGAAATCGTCTACAAAAATATAATTGCACGAACTCTGTGCAAATCATGTCTGTTTCAGAGGTTTTAACTGAATTTTTTACATACTTTTAAAAAGTGGCATTGACAACTCCAGATACATCCCTACAGCATACTACATGGACTATTGAACCTGTTTCTTACCGATCAAAATGATTAGGAGTCCACAAACTTCGGAAGAATTATTAAATAAGTATTTATATAATACTACAAATATTTATATTAATGACCGTAGTTACTATACAACAACTGTTCCGAGTATATCTAGACTAAATCAGATGTTTGATCCACACGGGGATATAGTATACGGTTTACTTGCCGTAAACTACGGCATCGAATCCCAGTTTAAGGCGCCTACTCGTTCATCAGTCGCCATTTGTTTAAATCACTATTGCAAAATTCCAATTATTGATTGACTGACTACTTTTTCCTGAAGTAGCCAACTACTGGATTATTTGTAGACTTATAGCTAATGTATTTTTGAGCAAACAGTCGATAAATGCATGGTGCCGTAGCTGTATAATTTCAAACAAAGAACCTTGAAAACATTTTAAACTGATCGGCTACTTTTTCCTCAAATACCGAGTATGTACCCGGGTTATTTATAGGCTGTTTATGTTTTGTGGAATACAAATAGTCGATAAAACTACGGTGCCGTAGCTACATAGTTCGCAATCCTGACAACACTGTAAAACTACCTGATGAACAAAAATTAAGTAATTACTGCAACACTACAACGAAACTAATTTATTATATAGTTTTCAAGTAATAAAAATCACCAATACATTTAAACACAAATTTACTAATATATGGGACACAATAATCAATGAGAATTTGAAACATTTCAGTTATATCCAAATATCTGCCATCACTTTTAATATGACCAACGTATTCAGATTAAAGTGACGATGTCGTCCATTTTCTGTCAATGAAATATTTATGATTGTACAATAAAATCCATTTAAGAATATAATCGAAAGCAAATGTGCCTTCAACTGAATGCAGTGTTACCTCTTAAATAAATATTACCTGAAAGATCAATTGAATCTGTGAGCAATTCGGCATCCATCTTTGAATGCAGGAAAGTTATTCTATTTTGAGCTTGTTCCTTGAATTCTAAAATACTGTTGTTAACTGCAAGAAGGAATGCTTCTTCGGCATATTCTAAAGCCCTGAGTACATGTTTCCGACGATAATGATAGTCACTCTTTGCTAAGAGGAGAGGGACTTTTAAAAATGCTGTAATCGGAATGTCAGAATCTTCCAGTTGACGCAGATACTTTCCAGCAAGTTCAATATCTTCAACACTTGGCAGTACGTCTTCTCTATACAGGCCCCTGTCTCCACAGCGAAGTAACAAAATGATGAGTCGGCACAAAGCAAAACCGAACCCAAATGGTCCGTCATTTCCTTCTTCCCGCTTAAAATTATCCAAGGATTTCTCACAGCTTTTCTTGGCTATTTTGTAAAGATGTTCGTACACGGATGGATAGGTTGATCTTTGGGTGTTCAACATTGATATTTGTACCATAATATGTTTAACGTCATTCATATACAACCAGCCAGCCGCTCGTCCTGTACAACTGGTAGGATCTGCCTCAATCATCATTTTGGCATCATCTAGAGTTCTCTGTAGTTTTTCAAACTTTTTCTTGATACTTAACATTCGCGTTTGAGATGTTAGTAATTCTAAAGTAAAATATTTTGGATTATTTGTTTGTCGTGCTAATTTAAACCCAGTTTTTATGTATCTTTTAGCAGAATCCACATCCACTGAATGCAAGAACCGGCTAGCGAACAGGTAATCAAGAGTACACGATATATCCTTATCACTGCCTTGTTTTAGTCGAATTTCCACCGCACACTTCTCAAATTGATCATACCGTCCTTGATTTATTAATGTACTTAGAGAGTTGAACACAATTTCGTGACCTCTTTTATGTAAATTTCTTGACTGTGGTAACACATTGAAATGAGTCGGAACTAATGACATACTTTCCGTAAATTTGGACTTAGAAGATAGTTTTTTTCTTTGACGCTTAATCCTTTCCTCCTGCTTTTTATGTACTATATTTCTCGCAATGTCCTCTTCGGATGTATCCGAATAAATTGTTGTTTGATGACACTGCGTGTTCTTCAATGATCGAGAAGAATAGTTTCCAGGGTATTTGGTTGTGTGAAAATACCGATCATAACTCGATAATTCGACGTTAGTTGTGACCCTAAAATCTAAATTGTCGGTATTGTAGACGCCTTTTGCTTCAGAATTCGTTAAGAAAGACATATCCAGATTTGGGATCAAAAGTGTTGACACTGATGTAGGTGTTTTCACTTTACTGACTCCAAGACCCCTACGCATCACTTCAAGGAGAATTGGATGAGAACATTCCTCACCAATCTCTTCTTCTGAATGCTTAGGAACGACTGGAATCTCTACTTTTATTTCCCTAAGTCTTTGTGCTATGTAACCATACTTTTGTCGTAGTGACTCTCTAAAAATGTTAAAAACGTTGTCATGGCCACATGTTGATAGCTTCTTTAACAGGGCAATGCATCTGTCTCTTCGGGTTTTCTCTGATTTTATCGATTCATAGTCATGTCCTTCTAAAATGGATTCTTGGTACAACAAATCTAAGAGGTCGTTCACTTCTACATTTTGTAATATCAAACAACAGTTTTCTTGTATTGCTGTTCTCAAACTTGGGTCGACAATGTAAACTGGAATAAACGGCTGACAATTCAAACATACTTTATGTTTTCTTTCTTTTGAAGGGGGACTGTTTCTTATACTCTCGCAGCCATCGACACATTCATATCTGGCCACAGTACTTTCCGTTCCGTGCAATAATTCTTCTAGATGTGAACAGCTCTGTTTTAAAGCATTCTTAAAAGAATAATACGCGTCTGGACCACGAGTAGGAAGAATTCCCAGCAGCTTCCGACATCTTTCCTTTCTTGTTTTACCCGTATTGATAAGTTCATGGTCACTTTCAGTAAATATTCCATCTTGTTGTAAATAATCAAAAACTTCATTCGGATCCAGCTCGTCTACCAGAGTGACATAATTTCTTCGAAGGATTTTCTGCTGTTCGTCGTACATTATCAACAAACCTGCAAAGATAAGATAGTTACCATAAATTTTACCACAACTGGTACATAGTAACAATGCATCAAAATTAGATATACCGTGTCTTTAAAATTAAAAAAGTAATACAAAGTGACATTTCACATCGTTATAACAATAGTGAATATTTGCATCTTCCCTCGAAATATCTTCATCCAGATATTTGTCAAAATGTACCTGACAAACTGTCGCTCATTATCATGGATTAGATGCCATTGACATTATCATATATGAATTCCCTGATATCAATAGGAATATGTTATGCACTGTCTATTTATCTTCATATTTCGACGAATACAACAAAGAAAAGACATACAATTTTCTGCATATCTCCACGTCTTTGTGAACAGAAACATCTACACATCTACATATCCTGATGAACACAAAAACTCCATTCCCAAATCTACATATCTTCATGTCTTCATAACAAAAGTCACAAATAAGTCATACAGTTTTCTTCATATGTTAATGTTTTGATCAACAAAAATGTCTTCATACCTTAATGTCTCGATGAATTCATGAAAAAAGCCATACAGCTATCTCCATGTCTGAATGTCTTACAACTATCTCTTGTACATATCTTCATACTTGTTAAATACTACCTACATATATACATGTCACCGACCTACGTGTATCTAAGTATATACGTCCTCTCAAATACAGGAGACACAGCCATCATCACATAAGAAAGATACATTCAGCCGTTAAAATGTTACTTTCTCTAGTTTACCACTACATGTTGTTGTATATGTTAAAACTCGTACCAAATCAAATTTGAGGGTACACTATACACATAGCTTCGCCATTATATCTACTACATATGATGTACAGTATGAAACAATATGCATGGAAACTGGAATATAGTTTTAAGACATCAAATTTGAAAAAAAACATTGTATTTATACTAAAAAAACAAAAAACAAAACAAAAAGACAGACGTTGTAAGCAACATATTATGATATCCTACCTGTACTTTCACCAGAAAACTTCATGTAACAGAGTTGCTCTACATTAGAGATGACTACGTAGAAAATTTCTAAATTCGTAGCCCGAAGTTGAATGTTACAGTTGGTCTACATCCGCCTGCATTACCGTAGCGATTACAGCACAGCTTATGTCGTTTAACACTGTAGTAATGAGAGGACGGAAGTTAGCTAACTTATGGATACTTGCTTATATGTGCAAATACTCTGAAAATTACATTTTAACATGGCGATCGATATGCCGGTTATGTGATAACAATACATACCAGCAATAAAACAGTATGGGCATACAGAAAAGTGACTTTAAAAGGAAAGATGGCGGAGATTGAGAAAATGACACATATGGGTGGCTAACAAAGAGGTTTACACTCTATCAAAAGTATATGTGTGGTTATCACATTACAGAGGCAACCGGCAGCAGTTAACACCAGGGATTGTGTTACTGTTTAACACACATGTGTATTATGTGATGGCCTCATACAAGATCTTTCACTTTAATGCAGTGTCAGATAAACATGTCTGAAGAAAAACAAAAATCGATAACTATAACAGAAACGAACAGCATGTATTTCTGTCGACAGTAATTAATATCGGTCTTTCTAATCGAACTTTTATGAAATAGAGTGTCTCGATGTTATTGTACTACAGTCACTAACCTCGTCTGTAAATACACATACATGTATATACAATTGAAGGTACGTAACTCTACCGGCCTTCCGAAGCGACCTAATTTAGGAAGGATTATCATTGCTAAACCACTTAATATTTCTCGCTGGGAGTGCTCTGAATCGACAAACAAATACCTTTTCTTCAATTTGATATATAATTCACTATATAAAATGCCTTTGAGTTATCGCTAGATTTCATCATATATATTTTAATTGTCAAATTTGTGTTAGTCGGACAGTCATCTAGCAGCGATCTGAATCATTACATGTACGCGATTCAACCTCAGTGTTAGACTAATCAGTCACTTACTTACTATTGTGCTAGTTCCATTTCTCTGGTTATCTTGTCAAACATTGAAGCTCAGATTTAAAGCCTACGATGCACAGTCATACCTTTAAATGTAAGTAGTCCAAACAGGTTCAAGCTTTCATTGTTAACCACGTGTAGTGGGATTTACAGAAATTTATTTTGATGCGTATACACATAGATGAGGCCGATCCCAGACTATTGTAAGCGTGACGTAAACAGTTACGGACCAGTGGTCGCGTTATTCATTACTGACTACGAAATTTATTTCGCTGATATTTTATTTAACATGGTATGTAAAACACGCGTGTAATATCATCTGTTATTATTAATGATTAGATATGCTTACATACATATTGTTTGTTAATTTATTTTTATGTGGCTTAATTAATATTTTAAACTATAAATATTTTTACTGGAAATACCCAGTTTGAAGAAAAAATCATATTCTTGGTATGACTACTAACGATTTGGGACACATTTAGTTTTCTCTCGCGACGTTCATTCGCTTACAGTACACTTTTGATTCGTGTCTTATTTCATATTTGAAAGAGGGCGCCGGAAAATTTCTTGTCAAACTAATCTAACTCTACTTTTATCATCGTTCACGAATCGGTTCCCAGTTCATATCCTGTAAATTCACAATTCTATTTTAAGCGATTACACATTACACAGAAAACCCCAAACGGCATAATTAGTCACTAGAAACTAGTATGACTTCACTAAAACATTTCGTATCATAAAAAAGTTAATATTCTTTTTTTACAACGAATAATTATAGGTAGACAGATTGGTCATATTGCCCCTGCATAAACGATATATCAAACATCTTCTGAAGTGGAAATGTATCAGTCATATAAAGGGAGTTTGAAGAAACTCTTTATTGTTTAGAATTAGCAAAAAGTAAGTCAAAATAAACAAAGCATGTTCGATTATACAAAATTAGGGTCTGTATAATGTCTTCGGCTAACGTAGACAGCTATTATTTAAATGATACCTGTTGTAATAGATCCAATAATCAATGTTTTTGGTTAGAGGTGATTTCTATCCTGGTGTTTCATGGTTTTATATTGGTACTTGATACATGTATCTATATTTCTGTTTTGTTTGCTTTATATTTGTTTTCCCTCATTATTTCTTACGACATGTATCATAAGGAAATTTAAATCCGATCAATATGATCCTGTCAGCCATGGCTTTGATACTTATTTATGTGTTTAAGATTTATCTTATAACAGTTCCTTCCCAAATTTATCCAAACAAAAAGACAATGTGAACGTAAACAGGCATAGCTTTGCTAGATTATCTTTTCAGTATTATCAAACAATTTGTTCAATATGTCTATCTCTTCATTTATGTGCAGAATATCAAAAAGGCTCGATAGATTAACCTTGAAAAAAACAGAACACAAAACACTGGCTGATCTTACCACCATGCCAATAAATCACACTTGTGGTTGTTACTATCGCTATTTATATCAATAACCATATAAATCTCACGATGTATACATTTTATAATGTGCTCTACGGCAGGGTCGAATTTACTGTTGGATTAAGATCCTCGTCTACCAGCAATTGTAGGATTGCACACTCTAGGAAAGGGCAAGTTCTGGAATTTCAACCCACATGCAGTTGTAGATGAATTGTCTCGGGTAAGAAGAATTGTGATATATCTATTATACACAAAGAATGACAGAAAAAAATGATGTATTCGATGTAATTGCGCATGTTTCGGACGAAAGCCGCGGGTGTGGTCTTTTGCTGTATGTTTCATCCGAGCTGTAATTGGACTGTTGTTCTTGTTTTAATCATTGTTTATTTTTATAAGCATAATGCAGTCAAACTTGCCTATAGACGCCACGCAATGAAGCAGAAATAAGTTACCTTGATAAGCAAGTAGTCTTTATATAAAGATAATATGACCATAATATGTACAACATAAGGTCCCGAAATCATTGGCATTTATAGATATTTTTCATGAACAACAATAGCTGTTTAGCTCATTGTTTGGCTCTACTCTATCTCACTCTAAATTATGAAAAGGTGCTATTCACTTGTGTACAATCTTTAAGCATGTATGACTGTAGTAGTACATAAATTATGTACATTTCCACACCTATTTTCTTGGTAATCATATACATGTCCTTTTATTGAGTTCATCAACGGAGTGCAGCATAATAAATATCAATAACGATACTTTAATTGAATACTGGTTAATTTTAACTGTTTATGTCAATATACAATCTCTACGTATGCATACTGTTCATATTACAGACAGTGGCTGTATGTGTAACAGTTCGGTATTTCCAATACAACACGTAACTAATCACACATAAAACGCTATATATAGTGCGTGTCGTATGTTGAATGTGATCTTCTTCCACGTAACAACGTTGTTTATTTTGTATTCCACAATTGGTAGTATATTACTTGATACAGATCTGAAATGCCCCAGATTAATACAGACTATTTTCATATGCATACAGGTAATTAGAATTCTCTGATCTTCAATCAGTTCTGTTATAATTCAAAATATCATCAAGGAAGATTGAAACCACGAATGGAATGTATACCGTATTAACTGTACGCGACGATGCAGAGTAAAACACTCGTCCTACACCACATAACGTAACAAAGTGTTTAGCACGATTGGCTATTGCGTCGTATCATCATGATGGTCCCAATCATTGATTTTATGTTATTGTCAAGTTCAGCTGTGCACTGAGGAAACTCACCCGGTTTTGAGCCTGTTCCTTGAATTCCAAAATGTTGTTTTAAGTCAACCGTAGAGCATCTCCTGCGTATTCCAGAGCCCTTTGTGTGTGTTTACGCCGATAATGATAGTCACTCTTTGCTAGGAGGACAGGCACCTTAAGAAAAGTGGTAATTGGAATATCGGAATCTTCGAGCTCCTGCAGATGTTTTCCAGCGATTTCGATCTCATGATCTGGCGCTGTACTGTCCTCATACTGACCCTTATCCCCACACCGAAGTAACAAGGTGACCAGTCGGCACAAAGCAAAGCCAAACCCGAAAGGCCCATCTTTACTTTTGTCACGTTTAAAATGATCTAATGATTTCTGACAGCTATCCATGGCCTGCTTGTACAAATGTTCGTACAAGGATGAGTAATATGATCTTTTGGGGTTTAACAAAAACATTCGAATCATTATTTTTTTTACATCATTCATATATAACCAGCCCGCAGCTCGCCCTGTACAACTGTTAGGATCGGCTTCTATGATCATTTTTGCATCATCTAGTGCGTTCTGAAGTTTGCCGTGTTTTTTCTTTATTATCAACATTCGCGTTTGACAAGTGAAAAATTCTAGAGTAAAATACTTAGGATTACATGTTTTTTGTGCTAATTTGAATCCAGACTTTATATATGCTTTAGCAGAATCTACATCAGCAGTATTTAAAAACCTACAGGCGAATAGATATTCTATAGTGCAAATCATGCCGATATTGCTACTCTGCCTTTGTTGGATACCCAGGGCGCATGCCTCAAACTCTTTGTAAGAACCTTGGTTTACTAATGTACTGAGGTGATTGAAAACTAAATCTTCTTTTGTGTTAAGTGGATCACAAGGCTGAGTGAAAAGTTGGCAATGTGATGTGCTTAAATGTATATATTTTGTAATAACATGCGAGGATAATGAAGTTCCATTTCTTTTCCGACTTTTTAGTGTCTCATGGGATCGACATGCATTGTTGTTTCCACAGTTGTTCTCTAAAATGTCAGCTGAAAACGTTGATGGGACACGACAGTTCGAATGAGAATATGTTGAGTTCCAAAATCGAGTTTTGATAGAGAGTTTTCTATCGAGCTTTTCCGTTAAGTCAAGTTCATCAAAACTATCGTTACATTCGTCTGTGGTGTCTGTTAAAACACATTCAGGCAACGGAGAGGAAATCCTTTCAGGCACTGGAAAGTCCGATGTTTCTCCCGGCATTACTTTAGGGAGAATGAAATATGATTTCCGGTCATTCCTTTTAGCATTCGCTGAAGATACATGCACTTCCGTGACTTCTTCACTGACTATGTCAATCCTATCGGCTATGAAGGCATATTTTCTCTTCAATGACTCTTTGAAAACATTCAGCATCTTACAATTTACGCGTTTTGATAGTTTCTGTAAGAACGCAATACATCTGTCTCTTCGGGTGTTCCTCGATCTGATCCATTCACAGTCGTTCATATCTATAATATTTTCTTGATAAAACAAATGTATTAAATCGTTCGCTTCTACATTTTCTAATATCAAACAACAATGTTTCTGTATGACATTATCTAAACCTGTGTTGCTAAAGGTAGCTGGCAGGTACGGTTGACACCTGTGGCATATTCCGTTGTTTCGACAATTTTCCGATTCTTGTCGGTAATTTGCTTTGTAGGAGACGTTTACACGTAAGTCATTTATCGTGCTATTATTTGAAGACGTTTCAGGAAGCAATTTTTCCAAATGAGAATAATTATGTGTTAATGCTTTCTTAAGTGAATCATACGCACACGGGCCACGCCTGGGAAGAATTGCTAGTAGCATAAAACATCTTTCCTTTCTGGTTTTACCCGTATTGATAAGTTCATGATCACTCTCTGTAAATAATCCGTCTTGTTGTAATTGATCAAATATGTCGTTTGGATCCAGCTCATTCACCAAAGCAACATGGTTCTTTTGAAGGATTTCCTTTTGGTTGTTGTACATTTTCTTCAGCAAACCTAAAACAATGATATGTTTGTAATTTAAGCGTAATGATATAAGCATTTATTACTGTAATCTCTGAATACAACTGCTTTGCATAACACATTACAACATCTAGTGCATGAATGTTTTATATCAGAATAATGCATATCTAATAATATAATTTTCTTTAAAATAAGAAAGAAGAAAGTAATTCAAATTAACAACGGTTTTATATTCAAATCAAAGAAGTTTTGTTGTTGTCTCTTTAATTCTAAGATATTTTCCTTTTGATGTCAGCAGTAGGAGTTTTGATATTGTCAACGATGAGATTTTATCACGGATTTAAAAAAAACCCACACAAGCTGAGGAATACAAAATTTAGCTAAGTCATAAATAGTCTCAATTCAACTTCGTGTATTCATAATCAAAACACTTAGCTTTGAAATAAATTGGAAAGCGAACCGCAAATCAACGTCAAGGTTAACATTTGTAGACAAATTTTATCAATATGTTAGAGATCTCAGAAAACAAAAAATAAGGATTTGAATCTGGATTATTTTTGCGTCCTTGTACCTTATTCTGAATTTGTACAGAAATGTGTTATCGCGAATTTTTGCTTTCTGGCTATCTTTCATACGCTATGCAGGTTTCTGCCGATCGATTACACTGTGAAACGGAGTCACCTGTGTTTACGTTATTTACATTGTACTAAGTATTATCATTTTTAAGTAAATTTTAATTGTCTTTACTTCTAATATACATAAGTGATGACACCTTACCTTCTAATCCGATAAACCATATATCTGTCCCTCTTCCTTCAGTGCCGTTTTGCTTTGGCACAAAGGAGAATTGATCACATAATTTGCTATTTTTAGCCTATTTGTAAGACCAACCACCTCCCCTTCAGTGTAGGTTCCACGAATGCACCTCTTGACATTAACTGCTGCATAATGCCTATTCTCTTTCCTTGTTAGCATTACCCGATCGTGCAATAGCTCTATTAAATGTGTATTACATTCAGTTGTTCATAATTTTAAAAAACCAGCAACATGTACCCTACTGATCTCTAGTCATATGCTCTTTATTTATTTATGCACAAGTCAGTCGTAGATAACTTCGTTTTATTGTTAGACGTGGAAGGATTTTTTCCAGAACTAAACATACATTTAAATGCAAACAGATAAAGACACTATGCTGGGTTCACGTAGTCTATTATACTGTTTTATTTGTTTAAATAGACTAGATTTCAATACAAAGGAAGGAGCGGCTTTTAACTGGTATAATTCCTTCTGACATTGGTTCAAAAATGCTTCACAATGAAGTGAATACAATGCACGCGTTAGAGCGACGAACCACTATTAACCTAAGCAATTCTCAACTCCAACTTTACAATACAAGGAGCTCTTCTGCTAGTACATGTTTTATATAATAAAAAATAAAGATATTATATAGTTATTCACTTTTGTGTGTTTTGTACAATCTCTACATTTACATCTGAGGTATGTACGTTTCCCATTTTAGTGAAAAACAAACCCAAACGGCATGATAAAAGCGAGTGTATTCAAAAGCGAAAGATTTATTCATTTGATATCAATATATATTTTGACGATGTAAATCACATAAAAGAGATTACAGAAAGCCTTTTAGATGACATATTAGAATTCGAACAGCTATAGATACATTTAATTGACGTTTCCAAAAATGTTTCTGTTTGATATAATGTTAATGGTTAAACATTCCGTTATAAATAACATTGATATCACACCACACGTGAAGTGGTAGTGTTTGCCCTTAGACATCAATTAAGGGTTTTCAGGTGTATTTGATGTGGTTGGGTTATCGATGTTCAATGAGTTTGTAGAGATAAAATATCATAACAACTTTGTATCACTTGATAAACATATCATTTATACTGATAAATAAGCTGTACTGATAATCTATGTCTGAAGTTGATTATGTTCCTATTTGCAGATTGAAAGTAAACAAGAGGCCCATTGGGCCCCGCTCCTCTCGCCATAGGGACCCTACAAGAATAGCTGAATTATTCTCTTTATTATGTAGCGTTTAAAATCATGACGATATCATGTTCGTGGAGAGGACGTTTTTGCAACACTATTGCTTTAATGCTATGATGTGACTTATCGACAATATTTATTATTACTTCATATAACATGGCATGTTTTGCAAGAAGTCGTTGTGACTTCCAAAGTACCATTGTTGCAAACTTATTGTAATAAATTATTTATTGTTAAAGTTATTACATTAAGGAATTGCAATAAGCTGAAATATATTACGGTCAACAACGCTTATTGTTATAAACACATGATTTATTACAATAAGGTTAACTGTAATGTAATTATTACTTCATAAGACAAACTGTGGCAAAATACATCTACTCTCAGTCCAGCACATCATTCTTAAAGTAATTTCTCGTAACTTCGTAGTGGACTCAATCCGCATAACGTGCTTCTTAAATTATTATGTTTTGATAACATACAACTAAATAACATACTGAAAACAATTCTACATGATTTTTTTCTAAAAAAAACCCCACTAAAATCATAATGTAAGTGGCTAGAATTGGCCGTGCGACCTGTAATTTTTTAAAGCCAGTCAACAGGGAGAACCTACGTGTTACGTTTGAGATAAATATGTTTGTTTAGATATATTGCTATAGCAATAATCTTTTGTTTGCAGTAGAACGACAGAGAGATAACGAGCCACAAGCCGTGTTGATAGGCTATCCATTTCATTAACTGGATTAACAAGGGGGGGGGGGGGTGTCATTGTTACCACAATAGTATATGTAAAGCCACCAATACTATTACTCCCGTCCGCCTTTAGATACTCGTATAAAAATCATTTTTGTTTCAGTTTTCGGTTTTGTCGCTATACTTGTGATCGGGTTGTCGAATATGCAGTGCAGATCTAAATATACAATGCACACACAACTGTTTACAAGAGCATCACACTGATGAATGCTCCCGAAAACTGCTTTATTGGACACAAAATTTTGACAAAGGGTAATAATTCTGTAATTAGGGAGTTGCAGTATCTACAAAGCTTATTTACCAATTTTAGATGCAAGTAATATGATGCGCTCTACTCACCAGTTTTTAAGAAAGGGCAATATCTCTGAATCAAGGGGTTGCGGGCCTTGAATTTGGTATACTACACATCGTCTTAATATGATCAATATATATACCAAGTTTCGTTATCTAAATTAAATAAAGCAAAATGATGCTGCGGACATGTATTGAGGGAACAAGGCCCCTGAATTTGGTACAATACACATCCCTTTAGTATGTCCAATGTATAAATTCATGATCTTTGCTTAAATAAGGGCAGATTTATACTCTGGACATGAATGGAAGGACGGACGAAAAAGGCGGCGACTATATGCTCCCCCGGAAAACCTAACAGCATTATGTGCATTGATTTGACACATCATAGGTAATGTAATATCTTTATTAATGTATTACCATTGTGTGAAGGGTTGTAATATTTAATGTACTCTCAAAATCACTTGTATCAGGGAAGGGAAGTAACTCTTCAGATATCCAGAAACATAAATTCAGATTGCTTCAAGTAGAAACGATTACAAACTGAAAGCGTAAAAATCTAATATGGCTACCTGCCTCAAAATACAACCGACGTAATAAGACAACAAGTACACATGCAATTAAAGTTTTGAAATACTTCATCCTGCTATTCTTCAGAAATATCACTTACCTTTCAGAATGAAAGCATTCGTACTAGCCTGCTGTTACAACCAGATGCTCAAGGAAAACTACAGGTGATATTTGAGAACGACCCATGTAGGACTCCATGTTAAGAAATTTATAACAAACTTTATCTGTCAAATACGATGTCAAATACGAAAAAGGCTATCCAGACCAATATTTAAATCAACCTGGCACATCCAGGCATCAAGGCCGTCCTACATCATATGTGCGATAAAGATACGTCGAGTGCTTTGCAAGAAATAAACAGGAATTGTAAGCAGGACGACGGAAAGACAACGGAGTATTGAGGATGTTGATAAGATATCCATTTCATCTTTTTCGTTAACTACATCGGGTATTATTATATCCGTTATAGTGTAGGTATAATTGCTAGTAAACCGATTTCCCTCACCTTTTAGCAATTCTTATACAGACGACAGCGAATCTTTCTCCTTCCTAATCATTGTCGATGTTTTCCTTCAGTAACACCATCCGTCTTCTTTCTCTACCAATATGACTTCATTACTATATATATATACAGCCACTGGTAGGTAAGTCACATTATCAGTAGAAAGGATATATTTATCAGTATAGACATTGATATCAGCTGTATTTTTTTATCTCAAACAACTCGATTTGTATGGAGGCTTTAAATAAAACGTGCCATGACTGATTTTACACGCCAGAAGTATTAAATAATCTAATAGATAAATTGCCAATATGGGAAAAGTTGCAGCGTTTTATTTCTAGAGCTGCAAATTCGAAAGCATCACTGACAACATCATCCAATTAGACAAATGCTGAACTGGTTAATGTTTGTTGTGGATTTTTTTTTCTTTTTGTCACCATACCATTAACATAAGAACGTTTATTAGCAAACTCCGAAAGAAAATACTACAAGAAATATATAGTTTATCATCTAGTGAAAATATTAAATCATTGTCCAAATAGAGCACACTTCTAGCCTTCCATGATATACTTGTAAGATAAATGATTTTATATCATGTAGATATAAGATATATCTACGGTCATACAACAGGAATCCACGTTTATTTATAAGTACGGACACAAGGACCTTTTCCTGTATCTATATTATCTCCGAAATTCACACGTGTTATCCGGCTACTTGAACGCTATCAAATGATGCTTGTTTATCGGCGATATGTGATATGTGATATGTCGCTATAAATGCGAGTGGATTATCGAACATTAACTCTGTAATTACAATGCAGCAAATACCTGACAGAGTCATACATTATACTGATAAAAATGTAAGTAGAAAATTAATACAATTTGTTAAAAATTATTTATACTATTAAAATACATTGTAATGTTGTCTTACAATTAACATGATTATGATATTACGTTAATGATATTCCGAATTGTAGGTTTGAATTTGGGAAGAATCACTACCGGAAAATTTCTTAAAAATAATAGTTATTGGATTACTTCACCTGCTAGACATCAGGAAGTAATACAAAGCATAGACGGGACCCGATGTGTTCAGTGCGAAATCCAACACCCGCTGTAGGATCTCCAATGAAAGAAGGTCGAATAACGGAGGGGACGAAGAAAAAAGGACGAAAAAAGAATAAGGTAAAAAGTGTGGGGAATGCCAGAGAATAACAGATAGACAGTAAGGGACACTAATATGTTTATATTCCGTCTATTAATTATTACATTTGAACTGTTCTTGAAATCCTCCAAATCAATTTATTGATGAAGGGAAGTAACTCTTCTGATATTAAATATAAAATATATCGAAGACAGCCACGGATATTAACAATGATGTGGATATGCCAGATCAATTTTTGTGCAATTAATTATATGTCCGTGAAAGGAAAAAACAACATGAACAAATTAATCTGCGATTGTAAATAAACAACAGATTCATATCAATCGAATCTGGTGAAATATGTCCGAACTAATCTTATTTCCTTCCTGTTCCAGCAGTATTACTGAGTTAAAGTGAGATATTTTCCATTATCGTTAGTCAGTATTATAATGTGATTCGCTTTCCATCACATTTTGTCAGTGTTATAAGGTTTAATTAGTATCATAGGGTTTATGTGACCTGTTTTCCTCACCTTTAGTTAGTATCATAGGTTTCAAATTACCTTTTCCCTCTCAATCTCAGGATATGTTAAATTATTGAAATCACTCTGTTTTCCTCACTTTTAGTCAATGTTATAGATTTCAAGTAACATGATTCCGTCTCTTTCGGACAGTTTCATAGGGTTCAAGAAACCTTTCACCCGGGCCTTTTGTCGGTGTTACAAATTTTGAGTAACATGTTTTTAGTCTCTTTAATCCATTTACAGAAGTGGACTTTATTCCTTCACCAACAAGTCAGTATCATAGTTTCATCGGCCTATTTCTTTCACCTGTTTACCCTTACCTTCAGGCAGTATGATAGGGCACGTTTTTTTTTATTATTATTATTTATTTTTGTTTTTCTGTGTGTGTAAGTGTGTGTTTTTTTTTTTTTTTTTTTGGGGGGGGGGGGGGGGGGGTTGTTACATTTTTGGCAGTACTAAATGAGTGAACTGCTCCAGAACAAATTTAATCTTGTCACCAAATCGTTTCAGAATTCAGATATAGTTGTTGTTCCAATTTACTGCTGAATAGTGTATGTAAAAAATCTTGCCAACATGCTTTAATCATTTGTCATTGATTAAATTCAGCATCGTTTTGATGTTGTTGTTTCGGTGGTGGTGGTTTTGTTTTGTGAATGTACTTTTGAATATCTAAATAAAACACAATGTCTCCTACTAGTTAATTCATATTTATTGTATCACACAGATATTTCGGTTTTGAGCATTCTTCGGTGAAACTAGGCGCTAAGATATATCAGGAAAGGAAGTAAGAAAAATAAACAAACAAACAAAAATGTCAACATAATCATTATCCATACCCATACTCAAATTCAATAAAATACGAGTTTTATAAAAACGAAAGAAAGACTTACACGGAGACTTGAAAAAGTACAAGAAGAATAAGACGAAGTGTTCCGGGAGAGTAAGCGTCCTAAATCGAAGACACCCGATATGAAACAATGGTCAATCCAAGTAAGAAATGCCACGTTCTCAAATGAGGACAAGGTAAACAACAGCGGAAACAACGGGAAAACGCACATCAAACACGTCCAGTTTCATATCTTACAAAAATAGAACATTTCTAATGAGATCTCTATGACGACTGTAAAACATCTCCATAATTTTCCTCAATCTGCATCTTTTGAAACACTTTGTTATGAATTTATCCGCCATTTGATGACATCTTGCACGAAAATCGCGATAAACGGAACAGGCCCTTATAAAAACAAACTAAATCCTCTTCAAACAAGTCATTATATAAGAGGAGAGACACTTTACGAAAAATCAATTAATTTCATGTGATTTTTCACTTGTGTAAAACCGAAATATTATATTGATTATTTTACCAAATTATTGAAATAAGATGCCGCAAATACTTTCTGATTACTGAATACGGATCGAGAAATTTACATCATTATATCAATTAGAGTTTTGATACCTCATATATTCATAAATAAAGCAGCGCAGAGTATATCAACCAGTAAACACATTTCTTGAAATACAGCTATACTGCAACATCATCGATCAAATTTGATTATTTTGAAGGTAGATGATAGAATCTTTCAAACACACATCTTAATTCTTTGTAATAGTGTTATTTATCTCTTACAATTAAAAAAAACTATTTGACATAGATCGTTCAGCAAGAAAGATGATGAAAGAATGCGTACCGGCTTACGTAACAGAAGCAAATGTTTGTAACTGAAAGTGATGTGTTTCTGATCTGCTCGTGATGGTATATTGGAATTGCCATCTATCTCCATTGCACTCCATTACGTGATGTTTTACGCAGATATTTGTCTACATACCGCAATCTGTTCTGTTACTTCCGATACATTGTAAATTAGGAAGAAGGGACACGTATATACAGTTCAATATCAGATCAATTCCAGACGGGTTTTAACTACGCCTATTTGGTTTTTACTCGTTTGTTATGCAGTGAGGCGTATATATACAAAACAGCGACACAGCGGGGGATAAATTTCTACATCTATCGATCATGTAGTAACAGATTTGTCAGCTTGACATTAACATAAAAAATCTCCAAAATCATTTATTTGTAAAGATTTTTATATTTTGAATAACAGAATATAATCCCTTTTTACATTTTGCGTTTCAAAACACTCTTTTATCCAGGTGTAATATATCAAAGACTATACAAACAGCATCGATTATACTTTTATCATTAAAATGTCAATCTAACAGGACCGATATTTCTTTATCAATGTAAATGTTAAGGTGACCACTCTCTATTTTACTGCATCAAAGTGAATCCTTCTTTAAATAGCTTTACGGATTTTTCAATTCCATCCAAACTTATAGATCCTAATTAAAAATATCACATCTTTGATGAATCAGAGAGTAGCTAAACCCTTTACTCCAAATACAAACGGTACCTGTGTATTACAGGTAGATAAATCTCTATGCATTTAATGAATATTTTATTTTCATTTCTTTAACCCATAGATAGATAAATGTCTCGCCACAGTTGAAAACATGTTCATGACCTTCTTGCACTTATAGAATCAAGCATGAAGATATAGATATGAATCATAAAATGGTCAATGGATTTCCGGATAAAAACATGCAATCATCTAAATTATTTATGGCTTCGGTTAATCAAATCTAGCTATTTATGTAAAATAACGATCCCTAGAGAGCTGTTTATAGTTACCTATTATATCCAGCATGTACAAATCGGCATACACTGTGTGTTGCAACTAGCTACTGGATTTACCCTAGACGGACAGATGTGGCAGAGCTAGCCGTTACTACACACTGCTATACATAAAAGACTCCCTATCAATAATATATTATAAACATATTTATCAAGTCCTAAATCACAAACTGTAAGCATGTAATTTGTCAAACAGAAGGATGATGGTCAGTTTGCGGATAATGGACTTACTTGGAGTATTACAATTTGAATGAGACATGTTGCGTGTTCCTGTGCTATATCCTCCTACTAAAGTTGGAATGTGTGACTTTTTGTGACAATGTTTCAGCCGGTGAAAAAGCTCAATTCCAGGAGGCCAACACTTATACCTCGGCGATGGGCTCCTGTTCTGCATTCGGCAAAGGTGAGATTTTTTTACGCATAGTTATCGCCAAAAAATTGTTCATATTGTAGACAATGTAGAGATAATCGTGAGTAGTTTTAAGACAATTGTAGACGGTGTTTGTTTTGTTTTGTTTTCAGGAAATTGGTATCAAAATTCTGACACCAGCATGATAACTATCAGTATAAAACGGCCACTTATATCTATTGACTTTATATTCATGGTCTTGATATTCTGCATATTTTTTTTTTATATTCGCTGATCAAAACTTTATAACTACTGATAATAGAATAACTAGCAAACAAATGTACATACTTCGACGGGTAGTCAATACAAAACATCTATAATTATATGTTCAACATTTTTATATAAAAATACGGAACGCATGTTTACTAAATATTTTGCAATATGTTATTAATAACTAGAATATGATCTATCTATTACTCCATTTGATCTAAATCTAACAATATTTTGAAAGGAAATCAGAAGTAAACCTAAATATGTGGAAGTTCATGCCGACTCCTTTGATTTAAAAATCAAATATTTATTCATTTCGGAATGCTATCCCAATCCTTTAACCAATTCTGCAACATAATTTATAATACGTTTGACCTGTGTATGTTTACTATGATGGGAATTGATGATGATTGTTGTTGATCATCGGAAGTCCACACGTTGCTTTTTTAAGAGAATGGAAAGAATGGGGCTTATATCTTGACGTTACTACAAATCAATCCCGATCAACATCCCATGTGTCTGATGGCGCATTATAGTGTCAGTGGTGTGTTGAAACTGATCCTGTGACTCTCAAATGCCGTCGGATGTTTGATTAAGCTTAATTATTCTATACTTGAAAATTAGATTAGATAATTAATGTCATAATATTAATCTCAAGTTTTGTGAAAAAAAAATGACAAAAACTGAGAAAATTTGTTTGTACTGAGTACACAGAAGTAACATACACTATCGTTTCAACTCTTAGAAACAGTTTAGTGCAAGTCCATACAATTTGACATGAACTTGCTTTGCATTTACACATATAAAACATTTCAATGTCCTTTTATTCAGGTAAAACTGCCATTGACATATTGTCATTGTTTGATATAAGGTCCCATGGACACGACACTTTTCAAACATATAAGTTTTAACAACATGTCTCTAAGTTTTATCTTTATTTACTATCGAATGTCAAAGAGCAATGTTAAATGTAATTATACTTTTCTCGTGTAAGTTCTACTTTTTTTATTTATTTATTTATTGTCAGTCTATTTAGAAGAAATGCGGGAGGCCAGGTTAGTCAGGTTCCGTCGCAGTTTTAGTGTTACACCATAATACGTCTACAATTCCTAGTGTTTAAATCAATGAAATATCGACAGTATAGAAATAGTTCTACCTCAAAATTTGGGCTCATTTTGATTTCCTTTCCGACATGAATGTCATTTCATGTCTCTCGTTAGAGTGTGTGGTTTGGTTGTCACAAATACAAGAAGAAAATATCGACTTATCAAAAGAATCTTAATGATAGTCAAAAAGAGAAAACGAGGGCAGAATACGTAAGATTAATGTAGAAACCTTCAAACAAGTACAAGGAGTTCAAAACATGGTAAATGCATCCACCCTGCTCATCTTGGTAAAGTCAAGAATGTGATGGCACATTCTACAATTTTCAACGAGAATGAGACCAATGTTAAAAGTAAGCAAACCAGTATGCTTACTAGCGTCCTGTCTTTCGTGTATATTATCATCGTGAAAATAGATGTCTATATATCGTTCGTTAATTTCTTTTCACACTGATATGCAACCTGTTTGCGCTTCGTTATCTTCTGTTGACACTCTATAATTTCTTATTTTAATCTTTCACAAAAAGTATGTTTTCCTTTTGTTCTGATTGCTATGATTGAAATGAAAGATTGATTCTTTTGCACGATTTGCAATCTATTTACAAAATCACAAAAGGAAGCACAATGAAGCTCATGAGTACCATTTCAACAATATATATATCGTGGTAAATTTTGCATGATTTTCTAACCACTGAAGTAACATGGCTGGATCGAATACCGATTATAAATCCATTTGGATTCATCACGGTTTGGCAAATATTTACATTAACCAATTCATGAAACGAGGAAGATGTCGTTACATTGTGGGGAAGAGATTAATGTCGATCCCGCGTACTTTGTTATACGTCTAGTGACAATAAACACATCACTAAGTGATAAACTCCTCTACAAACATAGGCAGAGTATATACTAGGTGTTCGTATTATCGTCCAAATGGTAATTCATGCAGGCTTTCTTGATCGGCCAGCGTTGTCTTGTTAGCGGTTGTTATTGGTGTTTGCATACCGTGTCTATTACTTGTCATTTTATATCCTATGGAAATATCAAAACCGAATCTCTTCACTTTTAATGGCTCCTGTTCACGCTGAATAACTTCATAACGATGAAAAAACTTATGGCTTTCATGTTATGTTTTGTATCAAACCACAATAACTAGCCTTCGATATACGTTAATAAAGCCGACAGAAATGACACTGGAATGCATCTTCCTGTACATGTCACAATTTGTTATAGTTGAAGATTACATATAAAATATACAATGTTTCTCAGCATTAGGACTCTATATTAAACAATAAGATAGAAAATATCATAATCTGGAAAATTTTTATCACCCAGGTTTTATTATTGATACGAGGCGAATTTCGGTCCGATTTTGGAACTATAAAAAAGCAGTTAAATCAATTAATATGACATACAGAATTCTTAGATTCTGAAAAAAGCATTGTTGAAACTTCATTGATTTAACAACAATTCCTAAACAAGTCATGTAATTATATATTTTACACACTTGTGGCTTAGGTGAAAGGCGATTTCGTTATTCCTGCACCATCAAACCACTCCTGTCTATATGAGGACTAGTATGAGTAATCATAGTCAAGTAGCTGCCCTCTGAAATATATCTCATTTGTCAAACCAAAGGTCTCAACCTTCTCTACCAATTACTGGTCTTGAAGCAAATTACAATAGTGTCGCGTTTTCAATGATATGCATACAAGTGGGACTGTATTACTTTGACCAGTATCGACCACAGATATGGCAGGCGCTGTTTATGGCGTGCGAAATCATTTTCCTTCTTGCAATAAATTGGAACTGTATATTTGTATCGCTCAGAAACCGTTTTAAGATACAACAATTTGAATTGATCTGTTGACAATTTAGCTTGATTTTATTATGTCAACAGTTAAATCTTTAAAATAAATAATTCACCACAGATTAATATATAAGTTACTTAATTTATTCATATAAAAAGGATATCCGCATGGAAAGAAAATTAAAGGCATGTATGATCAAATACTGGTAGAACTATCTATCAAGAGGACTGTCAATACTTAATGTTGTCACAACGCGTCCACACTACAAACCAAAGGGCAGAGTAACAGTTAGGCCGGAACCGGTGTGACGAGACACAAACGTTCCGGATTACACTAAGGAGAATAGACTAAACACAAAGTATTTATATATGTTGCAGTGTAACGATGAATTTGAAGATGAAGACGACGTTGAGGATACCAAGACTGTTAATTCAAAAATAAGGTATGTCAATTTTATAAATATGTCCATATCAAACAGAGTTGCTATTCATACGTGTCACAAATACATCATTGAAGATTGTGTATATAATTTAATTCGTTTGTATGAAATCGAAACTCACTTGGGGAAAAAAGGCAAATATGGACAAATACTGGTACCACATATACCAAGATGTCTATCAGTTCATAGTCACTATGATTTATTTCAACAATCGTTTTGTATCTGTCATATGCAACAGAAGCCGCGTGATTACCAGTGCAATATACCAAATACATCTTATCTATTTATTTAGCCTATTTATTCGTACACGTCAGAAGAAAAATGGCAAACACATGTTGACTATTGGTTTAAAAATCAAAATAAATGAATCTGCTATCATAATGATTTGTGTTCATTAATCGAGGGATATGGTAACTTAACATCTACCCAAGTAATAGAAAACTAGTGTGTTCAATCCAATAAAAGTAAAATAATTAGTGTGCCACAGATTGTTTTTAATTTTCAAAAAAAAAATGTTTTTTACCATGAGTTGTACTCTTGAAATCACAGTTTGTAAGTAGGTCCTGACGCGAAACGTAAAATTTACGCCATTCCCTTTTAGACTTGCCAAATAAAGAGAACAATGAAATTATATAACGTCTCATGTCTTGGTAAATATTTAATTAGCTTGATAGAAAAAGTTTGTAAATATCTGTACTCAGCGTATGGTAAAAAACATATTAATCTCAAGTTCATGACATAAACAAGTGTGTAGTGAGAATATGAAAAATACACGATAAAACGTGTCCATAATCAGGTGTATCGCGATCGAATCGCATGTTTTATTGTATATGATACAGCATTATATCAAAATAAAATTTCAAAATGTCTTTGCAAATATGTCTTTAAATGGCACTGTCTGAATACACGTGAATGTGTTAATATTATATCCCGTTTATGAATTTTGATTATGCCAGTAAGTGCGTCCTCGGTTGAGACCATGTTCAAAATTATTTCAGGAGCCCCAAAATAGACTTGATTCATTTCCACACCATACACTTGAACAATCATGTGGGGTTTAATTCCCATAACGGACGTGTAAAGGTAAGGTATCACCTGCCCGCCCACTTGGGCTTCCCCTGTTCAGTTTCCTTCCACAGTAAGACCCTTAAAGTGATTCCAACCGGGACAACAAGAATTATTGACATTAGTTTTGCAGTTGTTGTAAAATTAAACAACTTTCATTGTTTATTTAGAAACTCAAATTTTACTACCGATCATATTTTGTGTGTAATTTTTACGAGCCTAGATCAGACATGGCAATGTCTGAATTGAAGAATTATACACATTTTTTTTTTTTTTTTGTTATTCTTATCATACAACATTTAAAAATAAGCATTTTCTTTAATATAACTTAATGGTGTACTTAGAATGTACTTTAAGAATCAATCTTACAATGTGGAAACTAAGTTTTTTCTTGGAAACGACATTTTTGGATTCGAAACACTATACAATTCATTTGGAGTTTGAATACACTCGGCAAATTACTTTCCGCTCTAGTATGCCATTACCAATCTACTGGATTACAACACAAGTACAAAATCGTTTATTCTTAAAGACACGGCGCGCATGTGTTGTTTGTCTCCTTGCTACTCGGCACTAATACAGGATAAAGAACTCACAGATTCGTTGGTGGAATAACCATTCTTTAATACAAGTCGACTCATGAATTCCTTCGTTCTGTTAGCACAATGTATCTATATAGGTTCATCACGAGTTAGAATCAGATTGGCGTTCTACGTTTTCCATTACTATCACGTGATATTACATCATGATGAAATGTGTACGTCAAGGATTATATAAACGCCGAGCCAATGCGTCGGGTAATAACAGAATCATTATGAAAGGACTTTAACACCTTATACTAAAGTTGAATGGTTGTTTATATACCCTCTGATTCTCTTGATGGCCCATATTTAATGTTCATTATTATTCCCATTTTCCCCTTTGTTACTGACATTGGCTTTATGTAATATCAAATGTCAACTTAGTTTCTTGCAGTCCACTGATTCAATAATGTTTTATCATTATTAATTTTGTTTTTTATGTGAGTTGTAATCTTGAGATGGTGAGTTGGAGCTCCGATTAAGTCTTTTCTGAATTTGTACTAAAATCTGTAAGTCACACGTGTCCCTTTTGTACAATCTTCTTTATGGTTAGTGAAAGTATGTCACGGAGAGCGAGCAAAGCAATTGTTTAGTATTATTCAGTGAGGACGTGGTACTTCACAATCATTTGCATTCTCCTTTATCTGGAGCCATTCTCGTAATCTGGACTACCGAAGTACTATTAAGTTGCCGGACCTAAATGCAAAGGCAATAGTTTGTGTTTACTGGTACACATTAGCGTCTCATGAATAACTAAGCAGGACAGTCGTGGAGCGTATTCTGGGCGAATATATATACTGTTTTACATCCTGCTGCACTGTTATTTCGACAATTGATGGGAATATAAGGGAAATTTCAGCATACCCTAAAGCTTGGTTTAAGCAGCCAACATACCATTTATAATATAATCGCTTGTTGCAATGCATATCGTGTGCGGCATAACTTCAAATGGATGCATTTATACAAACAAACGATATGCTGCTTTTCAACGTCAATGATGCTCCGAGGTCAAGCTAAATATGATATTGCTGTATTGACTTTCAATCACGCATGAAGCGAGCCTGGAAACCACGACCATTTTGGTTTGGTGCATTGCACCATTATGCCGGTGCTGTAAGAGGTTATAGTAGCCAGACATAACATTATTCATATCTTTCATGATCTCTTGACGGCGCCTGCTGAATAAACGTCAGCTTTCTTTATTGAATTACATTTGATGAAACACAAATTATGACAGGTGCATAATTTAGAATATAGTTATTTCTATTTGATTTCTTTCCTTCTACCTAATAAAGACTCTCCCTATTTAAGCTTGGAAGCCAGACTATAAGGAAAACTGTTTTGATGTAGGACGTCAACATTTAGGAATCTTACTCTTCTGCCGATATTTAAGCATTCAACTTCGTTTTCATTATCATAATGATTTCCTGTCATTATTAAATCACCTCACGCAACTGTCGTTTTAGTTAATCGCAATATCTAATAATTTCAACTACACAGGATAATTTCAATGAATTTTCGACGTATTGTTTTTAAGATAAATTCTTTCATCTAGCGGGATAGATATTTGTCAAAATTCGGCATTTTCTAAACGAACTTTAGTGTGGTGCAGTCTTAATTAACAAAATGGTTACGTTTAGCAGTATCAGACATCATGATTATAACCAAAAAGAAGAGTGTATTCTGATTTGCACATTTCAATACAAATTTAAAAGTAGATATGGTACATATAAAAAATGAATTAAACTGTGTCATTTAGTTGTTTCGTTCTTGATTAACTAATAACTTTGAGTAATAGTTATCCATCAAGTACCAATACAAAATATTGGTATATTGCTAATAATTTGAAGCTATCGTCAGTTGTTTCTCGTGAAATACGAAATCTCAGTACAGTATTGAATTGTCCTCTGTCTATTGTTATTCTATCAATTCTTTCAGTAGGATAGTTTCCAACAGTAAGAACTATATCTGGTTTCGACGTTATAAAACCAAACGGTCAAATGTGCATAATGTTATTCTGAACAAAGATACAAAACTATACGTGACATTCGGATGACGTCACAAATCTATTGTTCTAAAGACCAATTATACATTGTCGTGTTGATACACTATGGTAAGCTTTTCTATGTGTTCTGCCTGTTCCATCAATGCTAGACCTAGATGTCTGCAGTGTATCCGACAACTACTATATTTGTCACGTTGCCGATACCAATGTGATCCATATTAGGATTTGAATTCGAGCTATTTCCATTTGTGAGACTATGATTGTATCCATTATCAGCACTCCTCTTCAAAAACAACCCCGCGTATGATGTCCTCGGTTATATCTTTAAAAACATTTGAATCTAAATTTGATTGGTTGAAAAAAGAGAAACATTCGGTATGAAGTTATCTATAGAATTATCATCATGTAACTGTAATGATAGATTAATATTCCTCTATGTTTCAATTCGAGTCTTACGTGTTGTGTATATAAATTTGCTGTTGTCACTACGTATTGATTTTTACAAAAGTGATTATTAAAGATTGCATTTCAAACTGTGAGCTCTCTGAACAAAATAATGTGTTAGTCATATTTTAAAATATTGACTTTAAGAATTTACTAATCAGTATTGATGTTAGATCATCCAAAGTAGTTAAAAGGAATGTCAAAATCTAGATGGCGAGATGTGCAAGTCTCTTAGTTCTAGTACACCTCTCCATCTAGATTTCGATTTTTCTGTAGATCACTTTGGAGTTTTCTCAGTCGCCTTCTATGTTTTTAAAACATTTAGGACATAACATCACTGACGTGTCCTTTAACTGTGACTAAAATCAGTGCCTACTACTCACAGATTAAGAAAAGATAAATACACGAAATAAAAACAACTCGCACACATAAATGAAATGGAGCAATGTGTTACTGAATAAAATATAAGTTTTACATTTACCGTTTCAAAGTTCAAAAGGAACCTTGCCTTCACTTGGTTGTTATCCGTTTGTTAAGGTTGTAATTTGTGACGACGTTACCTAAATACACATAACAGCAGATGCTTTCACTCCTTATAAATGTTATCTTACTCATATACCTCTGACTCCGTAATCAATAACGAGGGTTTAGGCAAAACGCATTGCAATCTTCATTAACTTTTCATACATAATCGATTATAGTTTAGTCTTTTATCGAAATTTACAAAAGTCGAAGTTGATACACTAGATTATACTAGTTAGTCTCGTGTAACTTCATCCCTGAAACTGAACATGCTTTTATCATTTCATGTTATTTCAGCCTGATATACGTTGCATTATTGACCTGTCTAGGCACGTTGTCCAAGTTTCTCGCGTCTAATGAAAGTTCTAGAGTGCCCTGGAGAAATGACTTAGAATATAAATGTATCAGATGTCAATGTGAAACCCTTAACAAGACACGGAGGATTCGAGGCAGATGTTCATGGACAATTAACACAAATTTAGAGTCTGCTAATCCGTAAATGTAGAAATATATTGGAATTACTTGTCAGAGACGTTCACTAAGTGCAACTATGAATATCGGTTACTGTCAAAATACAACCTAACAGTAGTTCCTTGACACATTACTTTTTCTTGTCGTTGTATATAAAAGCCGGAACAGTCGGAATTGCTGAAGGTTATTCGTCTGTAGCAACTGGGTATACTGAACTTTCTTAAACTTATATTACCATAAATATTTGAGGTCAAAGAAGAAACATATTTTAAAAAAAGGTCAAAATTCATTTTAAAACAAAATGCAATAGAATTTCGTCTGTAAGTTTGAGCTTTTAAAAGATTACTATGTTCATGACAAATTGCATTCATAAAATGCTTCCAACGTCTGATGTTTTTAAATTGTAGACAGATTAAAGGCATTGTGATAGTACAAATAGAAATTCCATTGGGTTTGCTACAATTTTAAGAACATATGTGGTCAGCACTACAATACACGCCGATTAAGAGTATGCACATTACTAATCTATAAACTGAAGGCCGCGATAGCTTAGTAAAGCGTTGACTTATGAATGCCCAGATATATATTTGAGGGTCGTGATTCGACGCCCCCATGTCCATGGCTGTTTGTGTTTGTGGACGGACTCCCGCATTGTATTCAGTGATTTAGTCATCATCCATTACGAAAAGACTTAACCTTAAAAACGACCTTGGCTGTCCAAGGGTTGCTAAATCCCGAAAACAAAGTATATAAACAGCTTATGTATATACTGTGGTATTTTACAGCGAGCGGTGTAAATCCTGAATATAACTGCTTTGCTGGTGTATAATACCGCACCTTAAAGAAAAAGCATTCAGCCTCTATTGAAAATAGCATTTCTGTCTATTTCATTTCTTTACTTCTTCACATCATAATAATTATTTTATATATATATATAAACTAAAATACAAACCATTTTAACACAGCTTCCTTAGGTGATGCCGACTAAAGAAATCAAAACACTGCTGCAATGTAAAATAAATAATTTGCTTAATCGGATTTTTTTCACGCAAATATATTATGAATTCTGTACATTAAATGGTCGTCGTTTATGAGATTCATTATTTGCATCAATTTGTTTGTGGGTGTGTTGAATGGCTCTGCGCTGGTTGTTTCTCCCCCTAACATATTACGTGTCCAATAAATCTTGTTTTATGGGTGATTTTGTAGCATGTTGGATATACAGATTTTTTGTCTCCATCCATGTGATTTTCGTGTTTAGGTCCTATATATCTACGTAGAATCTAAGCATTTGTGAACTAAAGGCCATCGTCTGTCGACTAGTGGTTATACAATATGCATCAATCTGGCTACTCAGTTTGTGCGGATATTTATTAGAAGCGTTAAAACCAGCTGACACTGCAATATTTCTATTAGGCCTGGGCACCATGCCATACCATAACTGTCATGTTTGTAATTAATTTAGGAATCTATCCAAGCGTGTTTATGAGAATTATTCGATAGACTATATTTGAGATATTACGAAAATGCGAATTTAACTGGACAACAAATAATACTATATTTTAATCATTGCAGTTAAACCATTAAATATATGTCTGAAATATTTTATTGTTTGGCCATGCAGACGAATTGAAGGATTAATGGAGACTTGCAAAACGCCTGATACCGTATACCAAAACATTGATTCACCTGTAAAGCGTTGCCATGATAACAGCGGGCGTCATGCGCGGTCAGGTGAAGGTTTTCCGGAAGGAAGTTGCACCATGGACACCACAATAGCTTCACATGAAAACAAGGTATGTGGTTAGGGTTAGTGAGTTTCATTGTTCATAATGTCATACAGAGGGAGCGTGACATAAGTACAATAATAACGTTCAGTTCGTGTATAAATTGAACTTCCCGTAAGTAATACTCAACTATTAATATTTATTACAGTCAACAAAATCACAGCATAGTGAAATGTCCTGTGGAGTTTTGGACCCCGACGGAAACAATTGCTACAACTGGATGGTATGTGTTCCAATAAAAGACAAACCATTTAGGACTGAATGATTTGATGTTGGTGTCGCCTTCAAATATAAAATGCATTAACCAAAGTAATAATTTCTCCCCTGTATGCTCAAGAATACATTTAAAAAACTTTGCAACATTTTATGTTTAGACAATTTTATCAAAATCACTCCGTGCAATAGGTTTCTTTTAGGCAGTATTTCAAACTGACAGCATATCTAACTGTAAAGTAATGTCCAGGTAAACATTTAGCGTGACGGTACATTAGAACGACCCTTGAGCTTCCCAAATATCATTAGAAACGGTCTTCTCTTTTGTTAGTTGTTTCCAACAACAAAGCATCCGAAATAGTTATACTTCACCGTATCACTTGGTAATTTCTGACATATCCTTCGAGTTTCTCCTATTTAGTCACAAATAATGAATATTCATTAAATAACGAGTATTCATTACTATTTCACTGATTTCCATTGCGTTGTTCTTCCAGATCATTATCACCACAGCAGCCCTTTACAACATAGTTGTCATCATACTTCGGCTTGCCTTTACAGAGATGAGGGAACATGTAAGTAATGATGGATTCATATTTTCCATATTAACAATATTCGTTATTTCATTTTATTAAATATTTTAGTGTTTATTCTATGTTACAATCACATGTACTAATTATGCATGGAATTGATTCTTTATGTAAAGCATAATTGTCTGATCATAATATTTCGTATTAGGTGTTACCAAGAACGATATTTACCGTCCTTGACCTTGGATGTGATGTGGTATACTTGTTTGACATGGTAGTACAAAGTCGTATGTCTTACTACGAGGACGGCTGTCTGGTAAGAACATTGAAATATATCAACGGTCAGAACTTGTTTGTTGTAAATTAAGACTGATATGCAGTGTAATGGTATTATCACGTATTTTTGTGTTTGTGTGCAACATGATTAATATCACTTACTGTGGCGTTACAAAACCAGGCAAACACAGCACTGGTCAGACAATCTTTGATGTTTCTAAGTTACATTATATGGCCATTTAGGTTTTAGTGTATAATGTACGTTTTGATGGGCCGTCTACTATCTTATTTGGTGGTTTATTTGTTGTATACCTTGCTCTCAATTGGGAACGTAACATTACTCACTTGGATTGGCTAGCCTATACACGTGTTACTTTTCCAGAACCTTTAATCTTATTCTCCTTACACGTTTATGAGGAGTCTCTGTGTAAAGCTTTTTTTTTTTTTTTTTTTTTTGCCGTGGTTACATCGAATTTGTGTTTGAATTAAGATTTTGTCGAAATGTCAGCATTATTTTCATACGACTGATTCAAATGTGCTAATATATGTGTTTGAAGACATATGCAGAAACGCAGCAATGGTTCAAACTTCTTTATAAAACATCAAATTACAAATGAATTCAGAAAAGATAATAATTAACATCGTCTTGCCATTTATAGGTAACTGATACTCAAAAGGTGTATGAGGAGTACTGGGGTAGGCCACGATTTAAGCTTGATGTGTTATCAATTCTTCCACTTCACACCATCATCTTCGTATGTCAAGGTAACTTTCACCTGCTGACGCTCGATGTTTGTTTATACACACACACGTGTGAATTGCACGTACAGTCGCATCGTATACAACGCAAAACAACTTTATATGAAGTTTTTGAGTAAACACATTACTATCGAAAACATACAATTAACCAAGAGGTGTTTGCTTATTTTGCAGGAATGCTGAAGTGCATAAAGATATACATAGGCTTCGATAAATATCGTACGTATTTGTTTTCATTCCTAACATTATCAAAACATTGTGTTATTTATTCTAACTTACTGCCTGTTTTACTTTATACACACATTATCTTTGTCTGTTTACTACAATAAACTTATGAATACACATCTTTATTTGGCTTTGACAGAAGGGGTTTACGTTTCCTTGACACGGTTACCAAGGTTACTTAAAGCTCACACTGTTTCCGGTTTCTTCGACATTACTGACAGGTAGTTAAAATTGACATAATACACGTCCTTACGAGTTCATAGTGTTTTTATTAGATTTTCAATCTTCATCAAAGTATACATCGCCAATGTCCACTGATGGTAGGGCCTTAGCTTTAGAACTAAATATAAATCGATATGGTTTAAAATTTGTTTTATTTCTTTAAATATCACCAAAAAAATTGATCATGCTTTTCTAAACCCGGTAGAGTCTCTTTCAAGCGATTTTTGTGAAAGTGAAAATTGTTCTTGAATAATATTGCCTGTTTGTTTTACATTTCGCAGTCGCACGTCCAACCCTAACTGTGTCCGGGCGATCAAGCTCTCTTTGTATTTAATACTTGTTATTCACTGGATCGGGTGTCTATATTACATCGTATCCTTGGTAAGTATTATGTGTTTAACGATACGCTACAGAAAAGGATATATTGTTTATTATTATTGTTGTTAATTTGATTTACCTATCTAATGAATAGATTTAATTATAACCCCTAGCTATTTTAATTGAGACCTTTTCAAACAATTTTTTTTTCTTATGAAAGACTTATTAATCCCTACAGAAATCTTTCTTACGCATTATTTTGTTTAGATACTATGATGTTAGCATATTGAATAAAATATATCATTACAAATAAATTATTTCTGCAAGATTGAATAATTGTACCAATGCATATATTGTTACCAAGAACTTAGTCACAAAAGGGTGATGGGTCCTCCATTTCGTGTCTCCTGTGTAGCCCGTCATTCCTCTGCGTGTGGCACTCGCTGTATATAGCCTTTTTACCAAAGAATTCCATCAACCTGTAAAATGTATCTAGTTACTTCCGACGTTATGCCTATTCCACTCATCACAGTCTTTGCGTGACTTGGACAACATTTTGTATGTGTTGATTCGTTCATGTCAATGATGTTGATAACAAGCAAATCGATCGTATAGACATCTTGAACACAAGACCCACTAATATCTTACGGGAAGAGCACAGGACTAGCTTACTGATAAACGCTTGGTTATGCATACCAATCCGGCGTACACAAAATCATACAAGTGTTCGTGAATTTACATGAAAATGTCATAGAAGAGAATAGGATATATATTGGTGTTAAATAGTATCATATATTGTGTATGATGTATAGTGTACCATGCACTATTTGATAATAGATCACCTGTGTAAAAAAAGCATATTTCTTTCAATGTCTAGAATTTCAAGTTATGTTGTATAACAGTTGTGGCATGAAAAGGAAAGAATCAAAATATTTTCGAACCTGAATGTTGAGAAATTGGGTATGTTTCACTTACCACTTACAACCGAGGCGGATGATCGCAGCAACATTGATTATATTTGCAAACCAAATGACGCATGGTCCTGTTATAATCGATACATCTTTAACGAATCATAAACAAGCGTACCAATTAACTGAATACGTTAATTAATCCTTAACGAGAACTGTTTCCTTTACAATTTTAATTCACGCTCACAATAGATAAAGACGCATTATCCGTAATTGTTAAAGATCACAGCCCTAAAACATTGTTCTTGTTGAATATATGCCTTGTAAACCAAAACGACATTTCAATGTCTATTACAGTACGAGGGGATAGGGTCTACTGAATGGGCCTACTCCAGTGGAAACTACCCAGATAATTTCATAAGGTAACCCATCACTGACACAATCACTACCACACTTGTCACTTTTCTAAATGTTTTAATAAACTGATGACACATTTAGACAATGATATGTTGATTTTGTGTTTATTTCTTACTTGATTTAGCGAATAAATATGTATAAAAATCATATATATACACTCAGTCTTCAGTAAGGAACCACCAATATCTTAGATTTGGCTTTAAGAAAACTATTCAGTGACAACTCAACAGGATACATACGATTCTTCGGCATTTAACGAAGGATACACATTCAACAGGGAACGAAATTCACATAACCAGAGGTGTTGCATCTTTTCATAAAGACGTGCTTAAAAAGCAATCCTAAATTATAGAAAAATATAACTGTAATTAATATAACTCTTATTTACAGATACGTCATCAAATTACCTAAACAATTAATTAGTTCTGTTGGGTCTGAAAATATCAACTTCGGGTAAAGCTACCACTTTTCTGGTACAATTCTTTTGTCCATTGAGTTTGGGTTTGAGATAACCCCACTCATATCTGATGACATTGCATGCCATAAGAACATGTTTCATACAAGGCGGGCTCTGTGTGGTTGAATTGTTATCAATTAGGATAGGCGGACCTGTCGATAGAGGGCATCAAAATGTGGAACAACTTTTTTCAAAAGTAACAATAAGTTTTGATTTCACTTTCCATACGGAATTTGATGGTCCCTTACTTGTGGACAAGTGTTGTATAGTATTCTCTAATGCGTCTTAAGTTACTGTGTCTTTGTACTGTCATATGGGGCTTACTTTGACGAACAATAACATGGAGCAGAAGACGCTTAATCTTTAGCAGCACCCGATCTTATTTTCCTCGTCCTTTTTCTGGAGCCTCTCTTAACCTCGCTTCACTGACTATCAATTTAAATTACAATTCCGTTAAAATTTCCTTTGTTACTTTCATAGGAAATACATTTGCTGTATTTACTGGTCGCTTTTGATACTGACCACTATAGGGGAGAGACCGCCGCCTCAGACTAATTTGGTAAGGTACTGCCAATGAAGTATTGATGCGATTTTATATGATCTCGGTGTTTTCACACTTTTTTAATTTTCATTTAAACTTTCTGCCAATATAATTTTATTGTTGTCTTATTTCAACAAGTCTCGATTTTTTTCTTTTTTCTTCTGATTGTTACACGTGCTTCCTACATGATCTTACATAAACATAGTTAATCATCAAGTACGAAAAATTTATTGTTCCTTTGAAGTCATACATTTCAGATTAATTGTTTCAGGAGCACGTGTTTACTGGATTGACGTTTGTTATTGGTGTTTTTATATTTGCTGCCGTTGTCGGTAACGTCGGCGATGTGATCAGTAATCTAAATGCTTCTAGACAAGAATTTCAATCTAGGTGAGGATCCCTATATAAATCATGATATCTCTACTGGCATTGAAATTTGCATTTCACGTAAAGAATAGCATTTTACTTCCTGTGTTTCGTCATCCATTACAAAGATGTTCAATATCTTGCATAGCATATAGCCGGTTATTTTCGCGGGAATATTTTCGCTCTTTCGCGATTCATTAACGAGATCGCGTAAAAATGATTTGCGTAATAGTGAAATATGTGTACTTATAACATGTTCTTTTAATGTCCAGATCACGAAATATAAATTTTCTAAGATAAAATTCGATGGTTATAGAAGAAAATTGCGAAATTTTGACCCCTGAAAATTACCAGCTGTACGGTAGCGATTCATTTACTGTGAAACCGCTGATCGCATTCTTATGTACATCTCCTTATTGCAAAGAAAGTATTTTCCATTTTATAAAATGTTACACTGTTTACACAAATAGAAGTTGTCGGTTGCAAGACGTTTTCGGCAATCACTTCGTAATAATCAACCTGTTCATGTTTTCACAGGATGGACCAGATAAAGTTTTACCTGAGGCACAGAAATGTCCCTATACCTTTACAGAACAGAGTCAAACGTTGGGCCGACTATACATGGGCAAAGTATGATTATATAAATTTGGAATGAAGTGGTCCATGATTTGACAATAATAAGTAGGATAACTGTAACATAAGTAAATCAATGATGTACTTACGTCCTCGTCGTTGAAACTAGACTCCTAAAAACGGATAACCCAAAGATCAAATGCACATTTGCTTTCATTTTGCTCAATAATGGAAATATATTTACATCACAGTGTTTTGTAGATTTCTTCCTATCCTCGCCACCTCTCCCTCCATACATTACCGGTTTCTTGTATATAAATGTTGTTTTTGTTTGGCAACAATACGGCACTAAATGTTCTCAGTATCCAGATGTTGGATGTTCTTCATCAGTAATTGTACAAAATGTTTTCAGTACACATATGTTGGCCCTTCTTGTTTAATCGTGGTACTAAATGTTTTCAGTATCCAGAGGCTGACTGTACTTGTTTTGTTGCAGTACTTAATGTTTTCAGTTTTCATATACTGCATAGCTTACAAAGGAGAAATCTAAGGTAGTTAGAGAATTACTTCCTGGCATAAATTGTAATAGAAAAAGAAAAGTGTCTTGAAGGAAAACAATAACAGGACATTTTGCTATATTTACGAAACGGATTATGCAAGAGATAAAGAAAACAGCAGTAATACAGTAGTATATACGAAGGATCGAGGGACTTATTCTATTCTTACTTCTATTTCGACGTGTATTACAGGAATCAAGCCATGGATGAGCCTCAGTTGTTACAGATGTTACCCGAGAGATTGCAGATGGAGATCGCCATACAAGTCCATCTAGATACCCTCAAAAAAGTATAACAAACCTCATATGCGACCTTAAGTAAAAGAAAAATGGCAATAATTTGCCTTTATTAAGTTTTAAATTTACTCCTTCAAACGGAATGACTTCTGACTTTACAATTATTATCCTTTGCGTTAGTATCAGTCTATAAATTTGTGAAAGGCCGCGTCAGTGATGTTCGAAAATAACAATATGGTTTTTTTTAATGTCACTGTGTTTTTAGGTCACTATCTTCGAAGAATGTGAGGAGGGACTTTTGAGGGAGTTGGTGTTGAAACTTCGACCACAGATCTTTTCCCCTGGTGATTACATATGTCACATCGGAGACATAGGTGTGTGGAATGTTGATAGCTGGAAACAAATCACCCTCTCACTCCTCATTTCTCTATATCCCTCTTTTTTTTTAGTTGAAAAGCATTTTTCCATTCGTTTCATTCACTTAACATTAACATATATGATAATTCATTTACATACTCTAATCACGGATTGGGACTGTTTAGTCAATCGATAGATCGATCTAAATCATTCGCTCAGGTAAATGTGAATTGAAGACTGACTTTAGTATCACTTGTTATATACTCACAATTACCTAACTTTTATTGTATTGCAGGTCGAGAGATGTACATCATCAACCATGGAAAGATAGAGGTACAAATGTCCCTCATAGATGGTATCTGAAGTTAAGATTTCTTTACCATTAGTTCTATTGATATATAAGTTTCATTAGTCTGACTCGCCCATTCCTAGTTTGCATGCAGGGATCTCTCAGTTGATCACAGGATGAGATTTCAAGACAGTTTTGCACCTATACGTTTTGATCATCAATATTTACATCGCTAGGACTGAAATTCTCGGTATCCTTATTCGTTAGAAATCATTTAAGATCTTGAATTTGTTCAAACATGTTCCGACGGGTTTTGTGTTCCCATATTTTGAACGTTGTTATTTTTTTCATGACTTTGAGTTAAAACAAAGATTTCTTTTCTAGATTTCACTCGTTCATAACAAAGTTTTCCCGAACTCATATTGTTTTAGATCATAGTTCCTTGTGCCGACACAGGACAGAAACAGAGAGTTGCAACATTAGGAACTGGTAATTACTTTGGGGAGATCAGTTTGCTCAAACTCGATTCCGGACAAAACAGGTAAAAAGATCTGAAAGCAGGCTCGTGAAATTAAATATCAGCAATAATTAGATAAACGCATCTATGTATTTTCCAATGCATGTAAAAAAATGCTGGTGAAAATGAAGTTTTAAAACGACATTTTAAACGTATAATGGCAGGAGGACCGCAGATGTCCGGTCCGTTGGATACTCGGAACTGCTACGGCTTTCCAGGAAGGATCTCCTTACGGTGAGTGTTGTGGTAGGACAACATGGATATTGATACGTTACATAGCATTCACTGATGACACTCAGATTGTTTCTTCTTTAATAAGAAAAAAATAGTTGTTATTACTTTTTAATTAATTAAATTTTCATATTGTGTACTGTTGTAGGCACTGGTGGAATATCCTGAAGCAAAGCTGATACTGGAAACACAGGCTAAGCTTAGGTATAGTACTATCTCAACGAAAATGTCATCTCATTTGTGACATCGAATACGGTAAAAGAGTGATACAAATACTTTAAAATTCTTGTTATTTACTACAGTACACGTTTATCTTATTTAGATGCTGCATTATTTGAATTATTTTACAACTTTTCGTTTTCAGAATGAAAGAAACTATGGTCATTCGAAATACCAATGGGGAAGAACCGTCTCCTCCTTCAGAACGGCAAACAAACGAACCTTCTAGGAAAAAACGTGACTGGCTCACAGGAATTGTCCAATCAGATGGATTTAAGAAACTTGTGGAGAGCAAAGGTAAAATTATATGCTATCATTTTGATGTGGATAAATGACATGTTGCATTCAATATAATATCTCATCCCACTAGGTTCTTTCTATATTCCTACACGGGTGTCATATTTGTAATATATATCGTTTATAATTAACCAAGTTTTTATCTTCAAATGATTTATTATCGTTTCTACACGGAGAAACATCCAGCTGGATCGCCCAGGTAATATTTTAGCGTATGTCATTAGTGTTATATTCCCTGGAGTGTTTTTCATTGGCTGGGCCAGTCAGACATTGATTGTGATGTCATGATATGAAAAATGACGTTATGTCATGAGTTGAAAATGGTGCCAAAAAAGGATGCCTCCAACTGCTTTTATCATCAACATTTTGACTTTAAAACTTTTCTGAGTGATAAACAGTATATAGCCCAGTCTGACAAAGACAAAAGGTCTAAGACTCGTTTCATAAATTCTGATATGAAATGAAAACTCGTTTAAGATAAGATAAAAAATAAACTGATTCAAATTATTTTGATACTTTTACATAGGCACTGAGTTGCTAGAACTGAAGACGATCATAGCCCAGTTGAAGGATTACCAAGCACAGGTCTGTATCGTGTTGTGTTTAAAAAAAACTCTCTTCAAATCTGAATCGACCAATGTCATAAATATATTTATTATATAACATCCATGGAAACTTCAAATCACCTAGTTAGCGCAAAAAGGAGTTTTGTGAATGCTCCTCTGTGAAGATTTTGCCTGGATTTAATCTACAAAACGAAAACAATAAGTATTACATAGTATTGGTTGATGAACATTCCCAAGAATAGATATGATGAAATATGTGATCCATACATGTTGAAAAAATTTAATGAAATCATTATAAAATCAAATTCCTAGATTTTGTTGAGGTTCAACAAGGTTATAAACTTGAAAGTGGCTCAGCTGAATGATTTTTGTGTCTGAAATTGTATCGAGTAATAATCATCTTGCTAATTCTATTCATTGTATTGTAGATTCAAGAAAAAACCAATACGCGTTGTGTAGAAAAGGTTTGTATACATTAGAAGAGCATGGTGGAGTAAATTTGATTTTTCTTCTTAAATTTTCGTTAATTTAAACATGTATATAAATGCACGTTTCAATAATTCTACTAACACATCGCAGATTATATCAAATAACTTTTTTTCGATTTAATTGATTTGGGGATTTTATCTGCTATGTCCTTGTTTGAAGAACATGATACTTATTTGATTGACGAACGAACATTTACATGACACGCAGAATACCATTATCTTTCTGATTCTACGGTGACCTCCGTGTAAATCTTTATCTGCTTCATATTTCCTCAGGTTTTTTATTTTAGTTTGCATTACGCGTTTTGTTGACAATTCAGTACTTTTTTGTCGATTCATGACATAATTTTGTCCTTTCAGAACAAACGACTTGAACTGAAATTACAGCAGTACGACATTAATCTTCGAAAGGCAAACGCTAAGTTAGAAGAACTCCATGTGGCTTTAAGGTCGCCCTGCTCCTGTGGAAGACCGTCCAGGGCCGTGAACACAGAGAGTCCGTTTAAAAATAGAATCACGCGTTCTTCCGTTTCGGATAGATCTTGCAAGTTATCGATAAGAAAGAAATGTGCTTCAGAACACTACTTAGAACGTCGAGGGATGAAACCGTTCACAGGTTTAGAACCTGGACAGTCACAACGTGGAAAGCCAGGTTCAAACAAAATCTCGACCCTGATGACTAGGTCACAATTAAACGTAACACATTCCGACAACATGGAACCGGTGAAACAGAGTAGCGGTTATTCAAGTGATACAGAGACCATGGCAACACTGCTGCGCGTCAGTAGTGCTCTGCGATTGCGCCACCGATCACAAACAAATTCAGAAAGCAATTGTGATTCAAGCGTGTCCACTGATGGAGATCTAGATTCAGACTGGGAGCCGGTTTCCATTAGCAACAGCATTCCGCTCACACACTTGACAAATAGTCCAAAGGCTAACAGTACACGCCGTCGATCTTTTTTCAAGGAGACCAATGTCTAGTAATGCATAAAACGAAACAAAATCGCCTCATTCTTTGAACAATACATACAATAACAGCTCAGTGGTCACTGATGGCATTATCAAGAAACAAGACTGTGGGGAACTGTGGGATATCTTTTCTCAATTTCCATACATTAGTTAGTCTGAATATGTACACAGGTTTTTATATTACAAAAGACGAATGCAAGAAATGATTAATTCCACAACAAAAAACGACACAAACCACGAATATTTCCGTACTCACAGAAAGTGAATTTGCAGTTAAACGATAGAAAAATACCGATCTTGTGTGTAAATGTTTCATTTGATTTAATAATAAAATTGTTTATAAATACAACTGGCTTTCGGATGGTGAACACCTAACAACACAGTACTATCTACGTATACCAAACACAAGTTGATTTATGGTCAAATGTCACTGTATCTTAATTAAAACGAACTTCTGGATACATTATAACATTTAGACTATTTCTGTTCTTTTTTTTAATTTTTGAAGTCACTATTGGAATAACCGTGAAGTTTTAAGTCTAAATATGTTTCTATTATGCTTAAGTTTTTAAAAATGTGTCTAGGAATATTTATCGTAAGATCACAACGATAAATTTCTTAACTTGAGTTCCAATAAAAGACCCGTTCAAGTCGAGAGTGAATAGATTCATCTAAAGATTGAAAGAATGCAAGGTCCGATCAGTTTATTTCGGAGCAGACATGGGTAAGTGATGTTATGTTTGGATGGCTATGTGATCCGTAAGTGCAGAGGAAGTGGGACAGTGCTCTCCCTTCTAAAATTAGCAAAGATTTTTTTTAACATAAACTAAAATCCCATCAACACACAGATATAGGATTACGGCACTTCAAGTTATATACGAAGTGGAATTTGTTATCTAGATCTATTAGGAAATGTTATCCTCCTGCCGACCGTTGTTAAAACCTAATCTTTCCCACAGCTTTAATCTAATTTATTTCAATTCCATGTAGTATTAATATGTACTTTACTATTTTCATGTAGTTATGCCAATTTTGCCATTTCAGTTAATAATATGCTGTGACCGAATTGATTCACTTCAAATCTGTAACTTGAATCTTTTTCAGTGTACGTCCCTTACATGGAGTTAAAACCATTTTGTCATTCAGTTAGTAAAATCAAATTTTTCCGAAGTTTTAACCGGTTCACTTTAAATTTGGAGTTTAGGACAAAATCGTTCTAAGGCAGAAATGTCAACCTAATACAAATTATGTATCTTTGGAAACTTCATTTAATTAGTTTCATTCATTTTCATTAGGGGTCATTAATGGAAACGTCCAATACAAAGTCTATTTAATATCGCGTGTGACCATCATTTGCGTTAATCACAGCGTTGATTCTTCTCCTCATGGACCTGGTAGGATACTGTTCCTAAGAAGTCCCAAATGTGCTCTATCGGATTTAAATCCGGGGATTTTGATGGCCACAGCAACACATTAATGTTATTGGTCCTCAGGTAATTTTCTGTTGCCCGCGCAATGTGCGGGGTGGCGTTGTCATGCATTTACGTCAAATTTGGGCCATGACGTCTGAAATATGGTAAAACCTCTCGGTTCAGTACCTCGGCGCAGTACCTTGTTGCAGTAAGATTCCCCGGAATCGTGATCAGATCTGTTTTGTCATTATGTCTGATTCCTCCCCACGCCATAACACTTACCCTTCCCCAACGGTCGAACTGTTGTACACAGTTATCGTGAAAACGTTCTCCGCGACGTCGCCAGACCGTACAGCGTCCATCGTCCATGCCGAGACAAAATCTCGATTTGTCTGTGAAAACTACACGATTCTAGACCCGTTGGTGATGAAATTGACGTTGGCGAGCCCACCGAAGACGTTGACATCGATGACGTTGTGACAGAACCAAACCTTTATATAGCCGTCGAGCTTTCAACCAAAAAGATTTTCAGCCATCTTCATAGTGTCCATGGACTGACACGATTCCGAAAATAACGTCGTGACGTCAAATAACGATCCCCGAGATGACAAAGGTGGATGTACCTGTCCTCTCTGGCGGACATTTTACGCGGTCGACCACTTCTTAGAAGATCTTTTTTTGTTCCGTGAATCCTATACTTTCTCCACAATTTAACGATTGTCAGTCTTGTCACATTGAATGTTCAGGCAACGTCAGTTTGTCTGACGTTAACTAGGAGCATTCCAACTGCCCTGTTTCTTTGTTCCTTTGTAAGTCGTGGTATATCTGTATTTGTCAATTATCAATGGCGGATTGCCGGGGGACCTCCGTAGTACAGATGTAAGCGCAGGTAACAAGATACACACCGATAGCGTGCACTGCACGTGCAAAGTTAGAAAAACAGCAACATTCGGTAAGACGTTTTTACGCTTGGATGGTTTTTCGTTTGTTTTCATTTCAGAACATGATTTTGTGTCAGGAATATCATGTTTTATAAATTATACCGATCTTTCTCTCAATTTAAAAAAGAAATATGTTTTTCGCATGTACACTTCCTTTTGCACCTCGGTATGTATGTGTATGTTTGGAATTTTATGACGAGATAAAAGTTTCAATAAGACGTGGAAGAACCGCATCATTACAACCTGATTTGAGCTTGTGTGCCGTTTACACATATATATTATGGTTGGACATATTGACGACCACCGGTTGGGAAAGAGAATATATTCGACCACATAATTCGTTGTTTTTGAGGGGGAAAATATGAATAAATATCCGTGTACAACAAGAACCATAGGTATCACATATAGCTAATGAATACTAATAAACATTTGGAAATATATAGTTTGAAAGGAAGATTGTTTCTGCATTTTTAGTTGAAGTTGTCATAATAAAGTTTAACCAAATTTTCAACAAAACGATTATTTCCACAAGTTCAGTGACAAAATCAATGTTTTATCATGTATAAATCTGAAAAGAGTCGTATCAGACAATTAAGTATATCAGCTCCCCAACACACTAGCAAAACTTTGAAGAGCGTAAAATAAGAATTAGTTTTGCAATTGGTAAAAATTCGAGTGTAATTTCATTGCTGTGATATTGTTGCAGTACCATTGCCGTGAATATACTAGCTAAATGGACTGGTGTACAATATAACGTGCATTTTTTTAAATCTCAAATATATCATACGTATTCTTTTGTCATATATTCATGCTTGTTAGCGCTACAACGATGCAAAATCATCCAACAGATTCTTATAATTATGCATATGCGATAAACGAAACGGAAATCTGAAATTGACGTTTCCAATTTCTATTAATTGGAATTAAAATTCATAAAGTTTCGATCTCGGAACTTTTTGGTCATAGAGCAGAGATAATTTACTAGGCATTTCTTATTGTATTTGTTGGTATTGTTTTAAACATGTTTTATTTGCAAATATACCAATGCGATCAGCCACACGATAACAATTTATAATTTGTCTCCTTTCGTAAAAAAATAAATCGTTATATAAACATATGACCGCAAATTAGAAAAACAAAAAATAATGATGATGAAAGAAACATTTGGAAAAATGGAAAAATCGTAACAATTTACCAAAACCAAAGGTCAACAAGACTAACTATCCGATGTTACATCAGTGTATGACTTTTATCAGGATCATTACACTAATTAGAATTAATTAGAATTTATTGTTATACTGCAAAAACAATTATTTCTATTACCTAAACAGAGACTGGATATATATCAATAAATGTGAATCAACCCAAAGGTGATAGCTTTGATCGGTCTAAGTTGCTACATTAACGAAGCTCCCGAAAAGATCTCTGGAACCCTGTCGCCATGGATGTGTTTTCGGAATCAAAGTGTCGGTGCTATTTCGTTAGTTTCCTTGAGGCCTAATTTTGGACTAGTTTAAGACTACCGACAAAAGCCATCCTTTCAATATGCATGAGTGTTGCCAATGTCTGAATTTTAAGTTCCCTTTTAAACTCGTTTAAATGAATAATATTTATATCCTATGGAAGAAGTGAATTTCTGTATGATGTCAAAAACCAAACGCATATTGCCTGTTTATTGAACTTCTTAATTCGGGTTTATAAATTGCATCTTGGTGAAAGGGGATGCTTTTATCCTGGCTAGATGATAACGACTTTTATCTTTTTTTTTAATCTAGTTTTAACATATGATCTGGAAAAGTGAATGACAACCAGAAAAGGTTATGTTTCCAACAAAACTTACTACTGATTTAAACACTGTGAATAAGCCATATTTCAACTTTCTGGTGTTTTATGTCCTTTAATCACTACCGGCATATGTTACCCCTACTATTGATTTTCAATACTGAAAATTTAGATTGGATATATATCAATTAACCCGAATCAAAATCACGGTGTGCATAACATTATATAAGACAGGCAGATTATATCACCGTGTCTCACCTAGCTTTGATCAAATAAATTATTTGAATTTCGACCAATTTATTAAAAGGACAATTGAACTCAAACCCCTTTTAACAACATCATTATATATAAATTGTGTAAAATTGTCAAACAACACATGTCAAAGATTCTGATGACATTTGCCAGCTTGTTGCACATTCTCGAAAATATAGTAGCATTTAAGCGAATTTGACAAAAATAGATAAATAAATAAAAATCAGTATCTCTTAATATATCAGTTAGCTTCAAATCTAAAAAAAACTTATTCTGGGCTTCCATTCATTCATTGAACAAAGCAAAACATACTCTTACATTTGGTCACTGTCACTTTTCACTTCCCTTTCCTTGTTGTTTGACACTTGGTTGGTTTTACAATGGTGTATCTTTAATTTCATTGTAAAATAATTCATTTTATCATGAAAAAGGTAAATAATTATATAAAACACTTCAAAAAGATTATAGATACATAAATAGTGTTTGTCATTTACAACTAATAATTATTTCATCCATAAATACATATTACGTGAAAGAATTATGTATTTTTAAAAAAAATGGTGTAAATAATCGACTTGCAGGGTGTTAATATTTTTGACAAAAGAGCCCGTTCAGTGGAGATAAGTCAGACCAGTTCTTTTTCTATTAACATGATGCCTAAGGAACCTTAATCAACTTGATGGTTCATCAAGTCAATTTCTGAAAATCTGAAAACATGCTACTATGTAAACACATTTACTATAACCAAAGACCTATTGCTTGTTGAACAGGAGAAATATTAAATTCCTAACACATTTGGCTTCTGTAACTTTGAAAGTATGCCAGGGTCATTCATTTGAACAAATTAGGAAGCCTTTGATCCCAGCCTGCTACCAAACCAATATCAGCAACCTAGGCCCAGTATTAATACCCTAGGCTTTTTGGTTATTGAAAAGAAGTTGTTGAAAGATTTCAACATATTAAACCTGTGACATTGAAATTAGGCCAAGGTCGTGCAATTGTACAAACTTGTTTGCCCTTCATCCTTTATGCTAAAGGCCCATTAATTTTTATCAGTGCCCAGAGCCTTTTGGTTATTGAGAAGTTGCTTGAAGGGAAAAATTGATGCTGGTTGGACATTCCAAGGCAAAGGGCACATACAGGTGAGCTAAAGTACAAAAATAAGTTTAAAAATACTTTTACAAATGTGTATGTATGACAGTGATATTCTGCTCTAGGGCCACAAAATAAAATACTTTTGTCAATTTTCCCTGGATAGTAAATGAAGCAGCCTTTTGTGTGTTCCTGATCTTGTATTTTTCAATGATGTCTGAACTTTTTCATGTTCATGTTTGCCTTCATGTAATAGATTTTCACTCTAAATTCTAACAAGCATGATCATCATTTCGAATGAGATGCATTCTATGCCTTCTTCACAGCATGGTATCTTTGCACACTTAATGAACTGGATAATCAAGACGCAGTTGGTTATTTAATTTTTCACAAAATTTGATTTCTATAGGATGAAGGACTAACATATTTGTTGAAATGGATTACCTGGAATCATTTCCAAAGTCAAAGAGGTCAAATGGGATAAATCATTTTGACAGCTTTTTACCCCACAGCCCGAAAGGGTGTGGGGTATTGCGATCACGCACAGCGTCCATCCGTCTGTCCACAATTGCATACCGCTTATTATCTCAAAAACTACATCACCGGTCATTTTCACTGGGCCCATGGACCTACGCAACCCATTCTTGAGATAACTTTCCACTCACCCCAACCACACATTTCCAACTATATAATAAGGCTGTGGGGTATTGCCCGCATTTGCGGAGCTATTTTTTTTCAATAACAAGGACATGATATAGGGCCAGTAGCATTAGCAAGAAGTAGCAAATGGCTACTTCCCAGGTAGCATGTGTTAAAATCATTAAATGATTTCTCAGTAAATAAAAAAGAGATTCAGGGTCATGGTATTGGTCCTATTGTATGTTGCGAAGAAAGGCTACCAAATTTGTTAAAATGAATGACTTCTCCTATTTTAAGGTCACATGGAATGAATGTGATGAAATATTTAAATGAATTCAATGTCACCCCAGGTCAAGTGTATCTGTCCATATTGTGTCATCTTTTAAAAGTTAATATTCATGTGTCAATGAATAAAATCTTTTCTTCTCTTAAAGGTGCAGATACTTCTTGCAGTGTCATAAATGAAAGAACAAAATATACACAAGCAGCTTCTACTGTGTATTGATCAAACTGAACATTTATTATGCTTATAAAACATCATTTAAGCTTGGATATATTTACATGTATACTCATGTTTCATATGAAACTGGTTAGAATTTTGTTAAAATATAAATTTCATTATTTACTACATAGAATTGTTTAAGATATTAAGTTTGTGCTTAATATGTCAAAATGTCTTCTTTAGGTTGTAAGTTTCTTCCTATACCTGGTCATATCGAGAAACCAACAAAATGGTGATGCATGACATTGGATTATTTCTGTCATTCATTGTGCAATAATTCAAGTCTGCATACATTTAAATATTGACAATGTATATTAAGACAGCCCTAACTGAATCAACTTGTCTACTTCAGTATTATAATGTAAATTATTAAATCCTGAGTGAACATACCCTTAAAGCCAAATTTAAATTGAACTCATCATAAACTTAATTTTATAATGATCTTGAAATAAAGTATATAAATTTATATTAATATTCATTCTGGCTAAAAATGAAGTACACAGGGAGTCTAAATGTGGAAGGTAACCAAAGTACTCAATGAAAACCTGTAAGATCTGGATGTTCAGCCAAAGCGTTTTCATATCTGATAAAAAAACAAGTACCTCTTTTATGCTCTGGTTATAGTCTACCACTCAAATATCCTGTAAATCTGACTATCATATCACACTGTATGTTTTAAAACTGTATCATACTTTTATCAACAGACAATGGTACGCTGGTCATATATCTGATGAAAGTGGGCAAGAAAATATCTGAACAAAGTAATCAAAATGTCATACAAGCCAGTCAATATTGACAAAGTATGTGCTCATCAAAATATCATAATTTCCACACTTCATTATATAATTATATATATATATAACTCTATTTTATGACTATCACAAAAAAATTATCAAAACTATGAAATGTATCTGTTAAAGAAGCAAACACTGTAACACTGATATCATGCATGTTTTTGGCTTCAAAGCATGCAATGTTGTTTGACAATCACAGTAATACATATAATAAAAACACTCAAAAAAACAAAAGATAGATTTTAAAGAGCAAAATTTCAAGACAATTCAAATTTTGACTTATCATCTGCCTTCTTGTCAAAGTGTATGTTTGTAGTCCTCTGAAATTTGCATGTATTAGAAAAAGTTTGTAGAATCATCAGTCTTTTTTCGTATCGTCATTGTCATTATCCATGTACTCCAGTTTTGATTCAATTCCTACTTTTTTAAGTTCTTCAATTAATTCTCCACTTTTGTGCATCTCAAATAAAATGTCGCAGCCACCAATAAATTCACCTCCAAAGAAAACTTGTGGTATAGTAGGCCATTCAGTGTAATCTTTGACACCTGGAAAAAACAAGAGAAAAACAATAATGGTATGAAGAGAAATGTTTTCAACTCATTTTTTTTTTAAATTCATGTGAAGAAAGATCCAAAGTGAAAATCAAAGAACAATCTAATGAAATATCATTCACTTCCTTATTTACTATAGTGTAAAGTATGGAGTGAAACACAAAATCTGATTGGTGCCAAGTGAATTGTGAGATCTTATTTTCTACATCTACTTCTTAAGTATTCTGATAAACTTCTTATACACTGGTTGCTGAAGACGTGAAGTACAGAAGAAAAGAGAAATAATGTTTAGTGGAGATGGAGACATATCTTGTGGATTTGGTTCCATTGAGTAAAACTGGATTTGAATTAAATTGATTAAACAGAGAACTGTCCTGTTAAATTCAGTTATTAATTTATGACAGTTTCAACAGCAAGCAATTCATCAAAATGAGGAAACATGTTACATTATTTTATCACAAGATCTATAGCAGTAGTATTTTTATCACACATAACAGTAAAAAGTCATTTTTGCACGATAACTAATTACTGACCTTGTCTCATATCTTCATCTGCGAGGACATTGTGTGCATCATATTGATTCACTCCGTGAACGTGCAAGATCTGTACAACAGCATTGCTGAAGCCACATCGAGGAGTCTCGGGAGTGCCTTTCATGAACACAACAACAGGTTTGTCTTTTACAATTGCCTCAATAAACTCTTTTGAGCCAGATTTCGCAGAATAATGTGCGGCAAGCAGTCGCGAATATGACAAACTCTTTGAAGGAAGCACCATGCGTCGCAGAAGGGCACTCATGATTGTAACTGATAGAAAATGCCCTAGCGCATTTCCGGTATATATCCTTCCAATTCCGGCTGTAGAATAAAAATAGTGCAATATATCAACTACCAATACTGACTGTATTTAAATTAAAATGTATCATTCTAACACATTTTGAATATTTTAACGATTATGCTTCTTATCTTACTGTTTCTTTTAAATCAATTAATTTCGTTTATGCAATATTTTTGGCGTATTAATCTCTTGTAAAGTTGTAAACTTCCGGTTAGCGTGTCACTGGTGTCACTTCAAGCACATGCAGTGGGAAAAGAGGCTGGGCTGACATGGAATCTGTATCTGACATTGCACAGCAATTGAAAACAGCAGTTGATGTTGACAGAGCAGACATAGTCAGATCTATATTATCGACACTGCAACAAAGTAATTGAATATACTTGTGTTACAAAAAATGCATACTTGGTTTTATTTTAAGTTTCCAAAGAACACTTCCTAACAGGAGCCCACTCGATCTTCGGATAAGAAATCGTGTTTATTCTTTTTTAATCTTTGTGACTGCATAGGGGAAAAGATGCTGGTGATCCACTCATCTGCATTTATTACAGCATTAATGATTCATGATAATTCAAATTTTACAGATAGGTATATGTGCGAAACCTATGGTTATTCCAAGTACTTAACTGCAGTTATTTCTGAATTCATTATACATGCTGCATGTATGTCACCAACTGATATTATCCATCAATAAGTCATGCATGGTGATAAGCTAACCCATGTCTATTACTGTTCAGCAGAATTACAAACAGACGTGTCTGCATTGTTGTTCTGTAATAAGCCCATTCTCTGATTTCGAGTCATGATTTGTATATTGGGATTATTTCAGATATATAATCATTCCAGAGAATCCTGTTCCCCTGATTCTTCAGGCTTATGTATCTGAAACCAAACCTAATTAAAAATCATGACTCGGATACCACCTTGCAAAATGTGCATACAGCCATACAACACAGAATAACTAGTGAGGCCACACAATGTTAAAACCAAATCTGAATAAAACATATAAGTGTATTTGTTTAGTTCTTCCTTGAGACCACTGATCCATGCCTTTTACATAGTCCTATAGGATCGTGTTTTGTCCTTTCATTAAGTCTTTGACATTGCCTATTGTGACATAAAAGAAGAAAAAACTATCACCTCTTATATGTGAATTGAAAAATGTTTGTGTCTGTAATAAGCACATTGTAGCATCATTGGGTTAATTGAAACATTGTCCATATTGATCTGTTCTATAAAAAAGGAAATATATTGCTGTATTCATTTAACTTTTTTAACTTTAAGTCTTAGTATATGTAGTGTAGTGCTGTTTTTGGTGTTATATCTGCTTCAGTTATTTGTACATCTTCTGAATTATGTTTGTGAGGATGATTATATGTAATTATTGATTGATTTACTTATAGAACTATCTATAAATGTCTTTCTTTCCAGATAATAAAGATATCCTTCAGAGTGTGTTGAGTGAAGTCAATAATGAGGATGGGACCTTACTTCACCTGGCTGCTAAGGTATAACATAAACCAAATATCTATTTGGAGAAAAAAATGTATTTGCAAATTCATCTCTTTTATGTTTCAATTTCAAAAATATGTGTTGTAATTATTAGCATTTTTCAAGGTATAAAATCATGGAATAACGTTGGATTCAAAGTCATAAAGGTGATCTTTATTTATATTGATTAGCTTATTCAGAATATTGAATGAGATTGCTATATTAAATATATGAAAAATAAAATCTAAAGGATAAACAGCATGCTTCAAAAGGTCTTAAGTAAGGCTTTTCTTGTGTACCTGCTATTTTCTAAACCAGGATTCTTGGCTTACTTTGTAGAATATTTTATTCTGCCAAGAGTATATTGCCAACAGGATCATTTTCAACTATATTTATAACTAAAATTATTGATCATATTTCGTCTTTTTATTCCTTCCTGCACTTCAGGAATAATCTAAGTTTGGTGTTGTATTCAAATTCTATTATATAACAGGGTGGTAAAACAGACATAGTGCGTAGCCTATTGGCAGCAGGTGCTGACCCTGGCATACACAATGCTCAGGGAAAGACAGCCTTTGACCTTTCATCGGAGTTCACCCATGTCGTTACTGTCTTCAATGAAGAACTCCTACAGGCAACAGCACAATCAAAGTAAGATTTGTAGGTCATATCATAAGGTTTAAGCCAAGTTTTTATTGTCTTATCTCTAATGCCTGCACAAAAAAATGTTTCTTCATAATAAGCTGAACATGCATTAAACTACCTCATGCAATTAATGCGACTATTCAGTCTTCCTGCTGAATGGCTGAAAACTTGGTTTTGCTGTATTTTTAGGATGTCAACTCTGTTGATTAATCATTTTGTCATAAAAATTAGTTTAGGATGTAAATATAGTCTAAATAAAATTATATTGTACACCAACACCACCAACTCTCAGTGTGCATGGAAGGAGAGTAAAATTGATATATGGGCTTATCACCAGGTTTGGTGGGCTTGTATCTGCATAATTAGGGCAGTCCATTAACATTTTCCATGGTAAAAGTTGTTTCAGAGAAAATAGCGAAATGATATTATGAATAGTTCATAGCAAGCTTTAATGGTCAGATCTGGTGTTTCCTTGATGTTTTCTTTATTTTACGCTTTTCTATTTAGTGTTGGTCGTGTGTGCCAGCTTTTGGCCTCAGGAGTGAATATAAACCTTTCGGACAGTGTAGAAAGTGGAAACACCCCATTACACTGGGCGGCTAGCTATGGTTCAGCGGAGATGGTTCAGTGCTTATGTGGTAGGTCTGTCAGCAGAAAACTGTATGGTCATTGATTGTTCCTGTTTGGTTTTCTGTTACCAGGTGTTAATTATTCTGTATTCCTTGGTAGTGGTGGACTTAATGGCTGCATTTTAAAATTCAGTATTAATTGTCAATGTAAAGCATTTTATTGAATTTTATCAGTGTCCAGAATTTCATTTAAAGCATAATTCTAAAAACATCACAGTTTTGTGATAAATGCTTATTTTTGTGATAATATTTAACATAAATCTGATATAAAAGAAATTTCATCTTTTACATTCAACATGTATAAATTAAATTAAATTCCATTTAATGAATACATGGATAAAGTTTGCATATACAAATTGTAATGGATTGTTTGATTAGCCCGAGGAGCTGTGGTTGATGCAGTAAGTGGGACAGGCTACACACCTCTTCATGATGCTGTTCGGAGAAAGGACCGGGCTGTTGTCAGAGAATTGTTGGTGTATGGGGCAGATCCAAATATACAGATACAAACTGGGTGTGTAACTTTAAAAAAATAAAATCATTCCTACCATTAAGGTTATCGAGTGCTGTCACAATTAAGTACATCATTGAAATTCACTATTGACAACAGGGGGGCGGGGGGAGGAAATCTCTGCACCTTTGCAGTTTTGATTTAAAAGTACAGGATATGTACATACAGGTATATTAAGATTGAAAAAAGTCTATAAAATTCACACAAAAAATATAATTTGATTTCATTTATTTATTTTAATATGTATATTAAATTTGTTACTAATTAATAAGATATTTTCACAGGAAGGATAAAGATAAAACTGCCATCACCCTAACAACTGATGCTCCTGAGATTGTAGAACTGCTGAAGAACCCACCTCCTGTTGTTGAACCAGAGCAAATTAATACAGAACCACACACAGGTATATGGTCTTTTTCTCGCTTTTGGGAGTCTTTCTGGTTATTTTTCACAACATTGATATTAATCCATGATTTATATGGACTATAAACTTTTCTAGTCATTTTCTTGCCTATTTTAGTTAGGTATGGGTCTGATTATGTGATAAAGATTTATTTTTTATTTTCCAGGTCTCATTATATTTTTTCTGCAAATGTTTTTATGTAATTACATCAAGAAGTGAAATTTCAAATTTTACATCATATTTTCTAATGAAAACAGTGTTTGTTGATGATGAATAGGCTAATTGTTAATCTATAACTTGTGTTACCTGTTGTGTGTCTGTTTTATTTTGATGATATCATTATCTGATTATGAATTACCTATGTTATCTGTTATGTAGAAGACAAGCTGGCTGGAGGGAGTGGGAACAAAGACCCTGATCAGACTCCTCCTATCAACACTCCTAATGGTGTCATTCCCAATGGACCTGCCCCAGAATCTCCGCAGCTTAAAACACCGACATTCGTGGTCAGTATTTTAACACGCATGCCTCACAGAGTTACACATCACTACAATATCATGTTAACAGAAATTTGTAAAGACACTATCCATAGTTTTAGTTTTAGTTTTTGGTGAGCATTAAGTTATACATAGAGTAGTAATATTGTGATGAATTGTTGCTGCTGTAAGTTCTTAATTTGGGCATATGTCATTGTGTATTCTCACATTTTATGACTTTTTGTAATTGAATAGACGTCGAGAGTAGGCACAACACGAAGCAGTTCCGGTCCAATTCACGATTTATTCGTGCTAAGAGTTGTTTACGTGTTTCGGATCCAAGCGATCCATCATCAGAACAACATTTCACTGATTGCGGGAAGCTGTGTCTCCACCCCCCTGTTGTTGTTTTTGTAATTGAATATAAACACCTATCACATGTAATGACTAAATAGGTATGTTTTTTGATAAAGATGATATTGGTGTTTAAATGTGATAAGAAAAGCTGCTCATGGAAAGTAAGACTGTTTACAATATTTTGAAGTATAATTGTTACAGTAAATAAACAATAAGATTGAAAGATTACATGGCAATAGAAACATTTATAACCTTATATTTCATCCCCGGTGGCCCATACATTTATGACCAGTAACAAATATTGCACAAGAATTTCAAGTAGGTGTTTTGGAAGGTAAACTCACTTACAAATGACTTTGTTCATGATAACTTGATTAAACATTTTTAGAGGAGTTTGTCCTTCAACCAAGAGGAAGTCCAACAGGTAGTTACTGAAGAGAAGATGGGGTTACTTTGGCCACAACCACAACACATCCTACAGAAGGATGGAAACCCATTCTCCCCGCAGAGGCCTGGCTTACCTGTCTATGTGTCTGCTGGTCCCTCACATAGTAAGTGTTAGCAAATCACACATGGTAGCCTAACACAGAGAATTACTTCAACAATACACACAATGTTACTGCAGCAATACACACCCTATTACTACAACAATATACACAGTGTTACTACAGAAATACACACCCTATTACTACAGCAATACACACAGTATTACTACAGCAATACACACCGTATTACTACAACAATACACACCCTATTACTAGAGCAATACACACAGTATTACTTCAGCAATACACACAATATTACTACAGCAATACACACAGAATAACACACGGTATTACTACAGCAATACACACCCTTTTACTACAGTAATACACACAATATTACTACAGCAATACACACAGCATTACTACAGCAATACACACAATATTACTACAGCAATACACACAGTAATACTACAGCAATACACACAGTATTACTACAGCAATACACACAGTAATACTACAGCAAAACACACAGGATAACACACAGTATTTCTACAGCAATACACACAATATGACTACATCAATACACACAGTATTACTACAGCAATACACACAGAATAACACACAGTATTACTACAGCAATACACACAATATTACTACATCAATACACACAGTATTACTACAGCAATACACACCCTTATATTACAGCAATACACACAGTATTACTACAACAATACACACCCTATTACTACAGCAATACACACAGTATTACTACAGCAATACACACCCTATTACTACAGCAATACACACCCTATTACTACAGCAATACACACCCTTTTACTACAGCAATACACACAGTATTACTACAGAAATACACACAGAATAACTACAGCAATACATACAGTATTACTACAGCAATACACACCCTAATATTACAGCAATACACACAGTATTACTACAACAATACACACCCTATTACTATAGCAATACACACAGTATTACTACAGCAATACACACCCTATTACTACAGCAATACACACCCTAATACTACAGCAATACACACCCTATTACTACAGCAATACACACAATATTACTACAGCAATACACACAGTATTACTACAGCAATACACACCCTGATATTACAGCAATACATACAGTATTACTACAACAATACACACCCTATGACTACAGCAATACACAAAGTATTACTACAGCAATACACACCCTATTACTACAGCAATACACACCCTTTTACTACAGCAATACACACCCTATTACTACAGCAATACACACAGAATAACTACAGCAATACACACAGTGTTACTACAGCAATACACACAGTGTTACTACAGAAATACACACAGAATAACTACAGAAATACATGCAGAATAACTACAGCAATGCTTACAGTTTAACTACAACAATACATGAAGTACCACTACAGCAATACACACAGTAACACTACAAAAGTACACAGTATTATAACAACAATACACACAATATTACTACAGCAATACACACAATATTACTACAGCAATACACACAATAAAAATACAACAATCCTCTTTGTATTACTACATTAGCACACACAGCATTACTAAAGCAATGTACAAAGTGAGATTAGCAATACCTATATTATTACTTCAACAATTGATGCAGTAAAAGTACGGCACTAAACACATTTTTTGTCTCATGATGACATATTGTGATCCCCTTTTGTCTGGTTGTAGTCCAGCATTTGTCATCCATCATGTGTCGGCAAACTTTCAAAGTCTCAGCATTAGGACTTGTTCAATCTGGGACAACAGAAAAGTCTCATCATTAGGACTTGTTCAATCTGGGACAACAGAAAATGTTTGGCGATTAAACAATTATACAGTGCACGATTCAGACTATTTTGTTGTGCCAAAACTTCTAAATGTGTCCCTTAGGTGTCTTTATAATTAAATGTGTTTTTTTAATTTTCACCAGGTTGTAGAGAAATAATACAGCAGCTGAATGTCCGTAAAGGGATGTTTGAGTTCCTTGGTTATGAACTAGAAGTGGACACTTATACACCACTCTCAGACACCCGCGTTCCACATATCCTCTGTCACGTCAACAAACGCCTCTGTCCACTGTGGGCCTCATATAAACTTATTGTATCCAGTACCCAGGTAATAGTCATAAAATCTATCGGATATAGCTCACTCAAAACCTTTGTTTGCATGTGGGTCATTCCTAACATATTTGCACCATTGGGTGACTAATTGGAAACTTTAATGTTATTATGACAGAATAAGATGTCTGAACAAGCTTTTGTCTTCTCATTGTTACTGTGGATTATCTAGAATAGTTATTTTCACAATAGTATAGGTAAATGATGATTGTTTCATGCACGATCTTGTATTCTTTCGAGACTGGTAGAATTGTTTGACAGATCTTGTTGTGTAAATTTATTTTAAAACAGCCTGCAAACTCATATATATCTTTATTCCTGTAGGAATCATTTGAGCTAAATATTAGATTATTGGTATTTTTCACTCAATATGATTTGATACAAGAAATCATTGTTAAAATTTGATTTGTTTGTTCACCAATTGAACAGCCAGGGTCATTTTGAGGAGGTCTCTCATTGTAGTGGCTGATGGTTGGTTACCTCACTGAACAATATGTAGGAGGCCATTCAGAGCAATTAGAGTTAAATGTGTTGTTCTACAGGACACAATCATAACAGCACAGATCTATAATTGTAATGTTGATATTCAGCATCGCTGACTACCCTGGATAAACTAACTTAATATTTACAGTTCCGTGCCTTTTCATCTAAAATAGAGGTAATAACATGTTATCAAACTTTCAGATCTTTTGATCTGGCTTAGATACATGTATATCCTTTACAAAGTAAAAATTAAATACCCAAGATGCTTAATTATTATGTTACAGCTGAAGGTGATATGTGGAGATTTAAATGCCCTACACAGTGCAATATCTACCATCTACCAACTATTTCTCCTGTACTTTGACGAGGGCCGCACTACAATACCCCCGATATTGGTATAGTCAAACATTTTCTATTCATCAAGAGGCACAAACTTGACTGCTCATAAACTTCATGGTTAAATATTAAGTTAAAATAATGCATGCTGCTGATGTAAAACCTACGATTCAGATTTCATTATGTAGCAAGAGTTGATTATGATACAACGACTTTTATTATTTTTAGATAATCTGATCTGAAGGGTCAAGATGACCTTTTTCTTTTGTGCAATCATCTGTCGTCATGCAACATCCCCGTCCACTGTAAACTTTTTCTTTAAAACGCAACTCCTGCTCTAAGCCATAGCAGATTTCATCCAAATTTGATCTGAATTATCATTGGATGATCATTTCTTAAATTCAGAAAGCTGATTAAAACCCTAGGGACCTGGAAATTGGGCCCCAGATAGGTAGTTAGACAGTACTTTGCTTCAAAATGCTTGTCTTCCCTAATGCTTGAATGGATCTCATTCAAATTTTGTCTGTAGTATAAGTGGGGTTGGCAAATGATTTTTAAATTCAAAAAGTTAATTTTATACCCAGGGACTTAGAGGACAGGGCCCCAAATGGGGAAGTTAGTCAATAATTTTGCTTCAAAATGCTACTCTTCCTAATGCTTGAATAGATTTCAGTAAAATTCTGTCTGAAAAATCATTAGGGGTGGGCAATTAATTCTTAAATTCTTAAAGTTGATTCGACTCCTAGGGCTGTGGGGCGAGGCAGCAAATGGAGAAGTTAGTGAATGTTTTCGTCTGAAAAATTATTGCAAATGTCATTATTGGGGCCCATAAATGGAAGCTAGACAACAACACTACTCCTTCTTAATGCCTGGGTAGATTTAATCTAAATTTGGCCTGAAACATTATCAGGAAGTGTCAGTGATATCAAACATGCATGAAGTGATCCAGAGATTGTCCTGACTAAATTTCATTTTTTTGTGTATTAGTCAAAAATCCTACTGCTTCATTAATTCATTCGTTCATTCATTCCATTGAGAAAAATATTTGGTGTTTGTAAAGAAAAGAGAGAGATGATTTGATGTTATTTTTCAGCCTTATCAAAACATCAACATAGTATCCACAGTAGCCATTTTGTAAGATGATTATGCAACTGTTTTTCACAAACAGAACCCACCATTTATGACTTTCTGATACTTTCAAGGAATGTTGAAAATTTTAATTTGTCAGATTTGTCAGACCACTATAGCAAAATCTGTGGCTTGTCCATCCATTCATCTATTGTCAGATGACCGTTAAGGGCTATGGCCCTCTTCTTTATTTATATCATACATTTAATTGTTACATTTTTCATAATAGGATTTCTGTTGTGATGTAAAGCTTCTGAGGATTAGCGAAAGAATCACTTTTTCATTGGTTTATAGGTGGAAGATTGGCCTGATATTTCCTATCGAGGTGTACTATTGGACATCTCCATGGGACGCCTTTCCAGCATGGTAAGATAGACATTGTAGCTGTTACCATAATAAGAGTTAACAGGAAGTCTGACATTAATGGGGCTTCCTTGAACTCCTTGGTCTGTATACGCTTTTGCCATCTTTGTGTAAACTGTCAAACCAGAAGGTACTTTATAATGTGCTATATTTGTATCTTTTAAATTTAACTTTTCCCTGACGTGATTATATTATGTCATGAATTAATGTGTAAAAGTTAAGTATTAAAGTTTTGGGAGAACTTATTAGTGAACCACTTCAGCTTACGATTCCAAAATTGATTCTGCAAAGATGAAGAAGAGGGCTAAATTTGTGAAAGGGGCTTATTAGAGTATTTGTTAGGAAAAAGGCATAGTGTTGATAATCTCCTGATAACTAAACAAATTTTTTTTATTCTTTTCAGGATGTTCTTAAAACTACTGTTGAACAGTTGGCCTTGCTTAAAATCAACCAGGTAATTAGAGGACAAAAATTAATATTAGATTAGAAAGTATTGGAGGAAAAATATGATATTGATGTCAAAGTCAATGCTGTGTTCACTTTTCACATGAATTTGACAACCTGTACCCCAATTTTACTGGTTTGCTTCACAGTCACAGTCACCTGTGTTTCAGAGGTAAATGATGTATAACATTTGCATGAGTAATGAGATTCTACATAAATACACGTACATGCAACACTGGTCTTACTGATCAAACAGATTTGAAGGCATTTAGATAATTTAGAGATAGAAATATATATGTATTTTTCCTTTAATGTACAAATATTTTAAGGAGATATACAATGGGTCAATGGATTTTTAATATAAATACAAGGTAAACATTGAGAAATATGGTCTTGTCTGATACTGAAGTTGTCACTTTTCAGATTCATCTCTTCTGTCGATTCTCAACACAGAAGACACCTGCATGGCAGCTTGTATATAGCAAAAGGTACTGAATGGAGATCATGTCAACTCTATTATATATGGATGAAAGGGATTGAGACATGTTCTGATACTGGGGATATCCCATTAAATTTACTCTTACATTAATTCAAGTTATGAGCAACACACTTTTTGAATTATGGTGATATCAGTTTTCAACATTCTGATGAATACATGACTTGTAAATATTTTGAGGAATATTCCATAGAATTGTTTTTAATTGATTCAGATTTTGATTAAGATTTCAGATGTATTGTGATTGCTCAGCATTCAGTTTTCTATTTCAACATCCACACACAAACAGTTTTTAGCATATTGCGTGCCTTCTGACATTACAGTGCTTTAATGGGGCTTGAGAACCATTGTACTGCCCTTGGTATCCAAGTTATTCCAATCCTAGAGGTGGCACCACTGGTCCAGTTTGACGACATAGAGGAGCTATATGATGTTTTCCAGGATTTTCTCTCCTGTTTCCATGATTCAGAGTATGTAATAGCAATAATACTGAGCGTAGACATATCAGTCAATTCAGATCTAAGATAGTGTCGGTCTCGATACTATACCAGTCAATTCAGATTTAGAATATTTTCTGTCTCTATACTATACCAGTCAATTCGGATTTAGAATATTTTCTGTCTCTATACTATACCAGTCAATTCGGATTTAGAATATTTTCTGTCTCTATACTATACCAGTCAATTCAGATTTAGAATATTTTCTGTCTCTATACTATATCGGTCAATCAAGATCTAGAGTATTGTCAGCCTCTATACTTCATTCATCAATCCCGATCTAGAATACAAGTATTATCAGCCTTCATACTATATCTGTTAATCTAGATCTAGGCTATTACTGAATTCGTTATTGACAAGGTTGACCAAGATATAACAGACCAAAAATATTCAAATAGGCTTAGCATTTAGTTCAATATGTAAACTTTATTTATATTTCAAATTAAATTTCAATTTTATTCTCAATACTGATGCCCAGACACTGACTATTTGGCTTTATTCTCATTAGCCTCTGTGTCATGTCTTCAGGTACAGATTGCGCCCAATACTCATGTTGTGTCCTTCCTAGAAGTAAATGACTTCATCATTGGTGAAATGATGACATCATTTTGGTTAGGAGTTAAAAGTTGTTTACAATTTGTTCTTTCGAGCTTATGTCCTAAAATTCAGTCTTCTTATTCCTTTAAGTAGTGGGAGACTATACAGCCTTGTGTTGTTTATATATAAGAACCTTTGGATGGCAATGGTATCAAATTTATAATATTATCAGTGACTTTGTTTACTCGGATAATTCTTACCTGCAGTTACCTACTTGTATTTCAATGTTAGTGAAACACTAACAAAACAAAATATTAATCACATTATGCAAACCTACTAGAGCATTATACACTATTTAAGAATAGGTTTAAAGCCAAATTTTGTGCACACAACTAAGTTGTAATTTTCTTGAAAAACAGATTTGTAAGTCTTGGACCACGTCTTAGTAGTTTCGTGCTGGACACGGAGGAAGGCCGACTTGACATGACAGACTGTGTGAAGATGTTACCACTGGGTAAAAACCACACAATACAGCTGTGTGGCTACCCTCTACATGAACTCAGTACGGAACTGTTACAACAGTTACCACCCAGTGTTGTCATCAACGAGTACGGCATACAGGTAAGTCAAGTGACTTAGTGGTTTTTACCTACATTGCCATAAGATAGTACAACATTCAGGTAGGTTAAGTGAGTAAGAAGATATTTACCTGGATTCTCATTTGATGTTATGGGAGTCAAGTATAAGAAGTGAAGAAAGCTGATCATGCTGCTGGGAGTAAATAAATGACTCCCTTTCACCTGGGACTTCTAGTATAGTTGTTTGTGATATATTTGTATGTACAATGTACTTTTTTTTTTTTGAAATTTTACTATTTAAAAATATTGTAGTTGATATTTTTAGAGGATAATTTCTAGTCACTTATGCATATTGTCTATGGAATCATCTGTTGGCACATCAAATTTGTAACGGGTAAGAGAAAATTGATCTTTTCTGGAAAATGAATACCTTATTTGTAATACACAGAGTCCTATTCTGCTATCAACATACAGGTGGCTATTTTGTATTGGTCACTTCTTCTGACAGTAGATATATTGAAGTGAGGTATGAGAGGCTTGTCTGACGAAGGTTGCTGATATGCGCGATATTCCTCAAACACTGCGAAGCATTTGATACTGTCATATTATTGACTGTAGAATGATCATGATACTACTAATGTTGTCTGATATACTGTTAGTTTACAGGTAAGCACCTACCTAGATAAACACTACCAATTTTGTAATAATTCCAGCCAGTGTTTTAGGAAATAGTTCACATGTCTTTTCACAAAAGTAATCCAGGAGTTTCTGTATCTGGTCTTTTTTGGCTAATTGAAGGTGTTTGGTCTGAGCAGTCTTCACAGATTATTTTTCAGGTACAGTAAATTGAGGTATGAGAGACATGTCTGGTGGAGATTGCTGACATACGTGATATTCCTCAAATAGATTTTTAATGACAAATTACTTTTACCTGTGATTGAAAATGTTATTGCTTTGTTTTATCTTCCTTTACACATTGTCACATATATTACAATTCCAAATAACAGTTCGAAAAGAGAGAACTACTTCATTGTAAAATGACAAAACTTGATTAAATTAGAGTCATCATTTATGGTTCTTTGATTGTGGGATAAAGTAGAAAAATGATATTGGAAATAGCAGTTAATTGGCACTGAGATCTGTCCCTACCCTCAGTTAATTGGCACTGAGATCTGTCCTTGCCCTCAGTTAATTGGCACTGAGATCTGTCCCTACCCTCTGGCAATTGAAAATATTGAAAAATTATCAAAGACTGATACTATATACTGATTATTCTTTTTCCTTGAAACAGTTACTTCTAAATAACTACTGTTGAAACTCGTCTCCAAGTCACTTGAGTCGAAATTCTGTTTGAGTCTAAATCATTTTCAAGTTCCGATTTTTTCCCTTTTATATCTTTGTAATTTTAGTTTGGATGACTCAAATTTTATTGAGGCCAAATGTCATTTGTTGTCTCGAAATTAATTTAAGTCAAAACATTGCCACGTCTTCCGACGAAATCGGTCAATACATACACAGAGTAGAAAGTCACCTGTTCACACAACACTTGGTCACTGGTGATTAATTAAAAGTCTAATTATTGATTCAAAGGTTGGCATCTTAATTAGTGTCACCTTTCTATAAAAGTGACTATCCTGTATGTAAAAAAAAAAGTAGCGCATTTACACAAAACATAAAACATTAAGCTATGTTGCATGCATCTTCAGGAACTATAAAAAACAAAACCATCAAACCAGTATGAACTTTTTGACGAAATCTGTTCCTCACAATTCCTAAAGAAACTCATTTTGAGCTTTTAAAGTAAAGGACTATGATCACGCACTTTATCAGATTTAGTGTTTGGAAAATGAAGTGCTGAAAGATGTATTTCATTTATAGAGTCTATATTTGTGTGTGAGTCTAGTGCTTGTACAATGGTTTCTGTAACAGGTAAAACCTTTCTAGTGCTGCGTTTTCATGCATTTATTTATTCATAAGAAAGTCATATTGATATGATCTGTGGCTTTATACATCACTTCTTGTAGCATATCAAAAGTAAATTTAAATTTCGTTATATGTTATTCCATAAGATATGTATATGTATATATGTTTGGTCGGTAAGGGTATTGTACACATGTGCGGGTTGGAACGACATGAGTATGATTCATGTGATTGGTTGTTATTAAATGCATTGTTATTTGGATGTATAAACAATAAAAGGAGAAAGAAAGGATAAATTCATTTGTTAATTTATTGCCATTTAAAATAACAGATTAAACTATGCTGTTTGCATGCTTTCATAGCCCTACTTCTTTCATCCATAATGAGTGTTTGGAAACTGATATTGTCAACCTTATTTATACACTTCGTTTGAGTCAAAATATATCCACAGTCCCTTGAATTTCAAGATAACAAGTTTTGACCATAGTTCAATGACACATGTTGCACTCACAATACAACGGAGTGGAGAATTCACAAACAAAATTACCACATATTGCAGCAAAAAGAGTAAGTACCACTGGCATTTGGAAAAATAAGCCATCTGTATCATAGTGGTACTAGGCCATTTCTACTTCAGCTTAAGAGCGGCCATCCTGATATTGGTGAGTCACTTTTCTGACAGTAGATACATTGAACTGAGGTAAGAGAGGCTTGTCTGGCGAAGGTTGCTGACATGCGCGATATTCCTCAAACATATATTTAGTGTAAGGTATTTGGTTTTGAAGTGCTCAACATGGCATGTCCTATTTAAACTGCATTTTCCTTGCAAACTGAGTGATATTTGTATTTTCAGGCTGACTATGATTTCAGGAGATTCTGCCGACCATTGTCTGATCTAGGGTAAGATTGTTTATTAGAGATTCCATTTTATTTCACTGCAAAAATTTTTGAAATCTTACCATGTTATACTTGTGAACCCATTTTAATACATTCACCATACTGTACCTCAGTTGTCAGATTAATATCAAGTTTGATTCTATACATTTCTCACAAAATGTCTGCACAGATCCTGATTTGTGATATCATTTGTATAATTTTCTACTTTCAGTATCAATTTTTGTGTGTGTCCTGGTACCGCCTCATGGAACAGGTAAAGTAATATCACTACTATGTGTGAACTTGATGTCTGATTACAAGCATATGTTACTACAAAAATAAAAAGTTAAATGCTTGTTCTGGATTGTGTTGGGAACATTTTAATGACAAGTTACTATTTTATTTTGATAAAACATCCCATTTTTTTTTTTTTTTTGAAAATTATGATCTTGTGCCATTTTCATACATTATTTTGTTATATCTGTATATGCATTGGGTACCACTGTGACTGACTTGTGCTGTGATACAACTTTTTAAAGTTTCTCTGGCTGTCCAGAAGCAGCAGTGAACAACATCTTCAGAGCTGCCAAATGTGCCGTCAATCAGGGAGCAATTGGCATGGTTACATGCAATTGGTCAGGAAAGGGTCACCTGACTCACCAGCCATTCTCCTGGCCGGGCATCCTCCTAGGGGCTGGACTGGGTTGGAACTCTAGCTGTCACCAGGTAAGCTTTGTTCTGTAGTTACTGTGGTCTGGATTAGTGATAAAAAAAGACATGACATGTCAGAAGATGAAGTTTACCTGATAATGATGAGACATTATTTACAGCATTTTTTTCTGTTTTCTAAAACAACCATAGAAGCTGTATTAAAGGAGAAAGATGGAAACTTTTATGATATGATATTTTGACTGTTAGAAAACAGAATAGGTATTGGAAACAAAAATGATATATGAATTATTTCAGGATTACCTGTACAGCAATCTGTCAGAGTTAATGAATCGTTACGTGTTCAGAGATGTGAAGTCTGTGGTGGGCCATGTGATAGTGGAGCTTGGTCGAGCGGAAACCTACCTCATACGCTGTGCCCGTGGACAATCAGGTATAAATGACACCCATTCTGAGAAATCTAGCTCACACGATGTGCCCACAGACAATCATGTATATATGACGCTCATTCTATGAAACCTACCTCATATGCTGTGCCCACAGACAATCATGTATAAATGACACCCATTCTGAGAAATCTAGCTCATACGCTGTGCCCACAGACAATCATGTATATATGACGCTCATTCTATGAAACCTACCTCATATGCTGTGCCTGCTAGCACTAGTCAGCCACTGACAATCTGTTATGCATACCCAAGTCATTAGAACCCTGCCTCATACAATGTGTCCTTGAATAAAGTGGTACATACAAAAGTTATTCAAAGCCAAACTCATATACTTTGCTCACTGTCAGACTGACTCTCTGATATCTTACCTTTAAGACCTTTGCTCAGGTAAATAAATGTACACATTAAGAAATACAGAAGTTACATGTAATTTTAGTTGTGAATACTTCTTATTCAATCAAGGAATGAAAAGTTTTTTTGATATCTTTTTCAGGAACTGACTGTCAACGACTGCCCGATGACCAGGGCTCCACCCTGTTTCAATTCATTACTGGTCCAGACACTGTACCACTTGAACATATCACCATGGATGCTATACAGGTATTAAATGATATAGGGAGTATATTCTTCAAATAATAAATTTGTTTTGTGTAAGTTGTCTTGCAGAAGTTTGTTTGCTTGGTAAGAAAGACTAAATGAAATTTCTGTGTTTTAAATTGCAAATAAAAAGGTTTGTTGAACATACATTTAGTTTTGAAATTATCATTACGGGTATTTGTTTAAACAAATAATGGGTCTATGTCTACTTTCACCGATGTACATCAGTGTTCAGAAGACGTAGGAGAAATGACCTTTATCCATTGAGTCTTAGGCCCAGTCTATTTGGTACATTGTCAGAGGCATGTGAGTTGTCTGGAATAGACTGGCCCATTGGATAGCTGAAGGGGTCCGTCAAGGTCTGTCAAGGTAGAACTCATTGGTGCGATGTTGTCACTTCACTTACTTTAGCTTTTGTGTCTAATGAGCCTGTAAAGTGGGAAGTTGAAGTAAAGTTAATATAGATATGGGTCCTCTTTGATAAATTCATGCTTGAATTTTGACAGAGGACAATGAAGCATGTGAAGCGATGTCACTCTGAACTAGAAAACACAGACATGCATTGTACCTGTAATAGACTGATTCTGGCTGAACTCCAACTAACATGTGACCTGATGATGTTTGCGACAAGGTGAGACTCATCCTCAAACTGATCTTAATTCGTCCTGTAAGTTACACTGGCTTTGTAACTAAACCCATGGCCTTTTTTCCTTTCAAAATTATCATATCCAGAAGTTTACAGTGTTATGTTCTAATATTGTTTAGTGAAACAATGCCCCTTATTTCTGCGACTGTTTTTATAATTAATTTATTGACCAGGAAAGTTCTTGGTTTGAATCATTTTTTTCTTTTTCTATAAATTTCCTTCAATTTATTTCAGTACATTTTGTAATGTCACCATTTTGTCTTTTTATAGCTAGAGAGATGATTTCACTTTATTTTTACATTAGCTTATTCACTTGAAAAGTAAGGTGCTGTAGTGATATTTACAAAGTCAGATGTTAAATGATGCACTCCTTGTTCCTACAGAATTTGTCGTGCCTTGATATTGTCTGGACGAAACCCTGTGGGTCACAATGGTTTTCCTGTTGTCAACTTTGGGATCAGTAATCTTCCAGCTACAGCCAAGACCGACCTCGCCAACAGGTATATCGGAATTTTGTTGTCTTAGTTCATCAATATTTCCCATCATTTATACTGGAAATACACTATATATCAACAGTAAAAAAAGAAGGAAGAAAAATTGGCTGAGACTTTGAATTTATTGCTGTAGGAAATAATGGCTGTTGTAGAAATGTTTATTTATCCATCACTCAAACACTCAGAACCTTTCATATTCGTAAAATACACAGATATAACAACAAGTGTTACGTATTGAAGGATGAAATAGTTGTATAGGATATAGTTTTAACCTTCTTTTTCGTGCCAAATGACTTTTTAAATATCAAAAATTCTCTTTACGTTTTGTTACTTAGATTGCTAGAGATGTTGGAACGATACAAGTCAGTGTGGAATGGACGTTATTTAGAACATGTTGGACGACAGGAGTCCCTAAATACTCTACATACTCTCCTCAAAACATTCCTGCCCGACCAAGAGACAGCGGAACTCCTTGAGGCCAAGGATTGATGTTCACAGTAGCCTTACTTCTGAATACACAGTGTCATATCTAACATATAGATCACTCTTGGACAGGAGAAAGGAGGTTCTGGATCGATAAACTGATCTGTACAAGAGTCTAATATCGTTAGTGTATTTTTAAAATGTGATGTCCAATTTCTTTTACCTTTATGTCCTAAGTAGTAAAGTGATTAGTAAAGAGATTCAGCTGTTGCTACATTAAACAGGAAATCTCAGATGACTTTCTCTTTTAGTAAAATGCAAATATGTAAATGTTTTTTTTTCATTAAAAAAATGATTTAATAAAATAAAAAGTTGAGAAAAATATGCAAATATTAAGTAAAAGTTTTTGATTTTAAATAAATCACTGATCATATATCCCGGTGTATGGAATACTTACTTTGATAAATTCTGGGGTACTGAATCTAAGTTTCTCAGCCATGGTAAATAATTTTATGTGTGAGGGTTTATAATTTTAGAAAATATGTCGAATTTATTTTTGTTATATTTATAAAAGTTGAAAGTAGTGATATCTACTAAGGGAGTAAGATCTTGCATGTAACTTACCAATTTTTATTTATTTTGTTAGTTTCATTAACCATCTACATAATTGTTGTTTTCAATGTTTCTACAATACATGTGATTAGTCTCATTTTAGTTACTGAAGGAATTTTGTTTTCAGAAGTGATTTTCTTTATTATGGAATCATTTTATTTTAATCTGCGCAAAGTTCTCTACAAAAGTCACAAAATATTGTAAAAGCGTTTTGTTGTTCCCTGAGTTACATTTTCATTTCGTGGTACAGTGAAGATTCATTCTTTAGATCACAGAGGTTGTCAGGGTAGCTTCTAGTGGTTATGGTAATCAATAAGAGACTTGAACATTCAGTTTAGGTTTTTCATTTGAAAAATGTCAACAAGTTTCATACATTCAAACAAATTTAAAAAGCTTTTCATCACATGATTTTTTTTTCACTATTTTGCAGAATAAGTGCTTTTCCATGTCATTCTTTGTTGTTTCTGGTCTTCATTGTGAGGGCAAAATGAAATCTGCAAGTGTGTAATTTCCTTTCATCTGCTGATGTCACAACCTGTCATTTTACAGGAGTTTATACTTGTAAATAGTACAAATAACACAGCAATCTTGTGATTTCACAAAATGATGGTTGCTTTACCAATTTAAATGGTTGCTTCAGCACATTTTGAAAATGGTCTAAAAATATACATAGGGGAATCAGAATGGTCTCGTTAGCTAGGAGATGGTTAAGGTATTTTCTGAACTGTTTTGTAAATAATGGGTCAGGTAGGTCTTTAACTGGCATATTATCAGCTATATGGGTCTTAGTGATTAGTTAAGGAAGTAGACACTAATGTATTTATGAAAGGACTAATTATGAATAAAGATATGTTAAGGTGTTATGTGGGATTTATTTCACATTTAGAGGGTAATTCATTATAGGAGTATACATACAGACTATAACTTGTATAACTTTAACTTAAACTGACACATACTCATTATATGTTTGGGGATGTGCATTTTGGAATAAATATTTATCTACAAGTTCTATTATTACCTTTATAATGTAAGCTGCTGACTGTAATGTATGTTACTGATGAGACAGTAACTTGTTCATGTTAGATTTTAAATGTAGTATAAACTTTGTCTATCAACAGATTGTATGTGTAACAAGCTATAATTATTGGACTTCTATCTCCGTAGTAAGATACAGACTGATTTTATGTGTGCAATCATCTTTATTTTTATTAAAGTGCTTGTTTTATATTTTATTTTAGTACAGGGATTGCTGATAGATACTGTGATAATTACAAACAGAGATGTTGGATATTACTACAAGTAGATTCTATTGACCAAAAAATACACCAGATGGTAACAATGTGCTGTAGTCCACTGTATGTCCAAGTGTTCAACAAAGCTAGCTGAATTGACTACAGTACATTGTTACCATCTTGTGTATTTATTGGTCTATAATCTGTTTTACCTTTTCTTCACACTATTTTTGACCTTAGTGTACATAGGATTATAGTGCAGTCGAAAAAGTTAGTCGTTTCCATACCATCTTGTATACTACATATGCCAGTGCTGGTATTACTGGTTATTTGTAGTCATCAAAACGTCACACTCTAATCTTTTACTGGTTGTTATAAGAACTTCTGTTCTGTTGGTATTACCAATTTGAAGAAAATGTTTCAAAATATCTATAAAGGGGTGTTAGGGAGAGTTTGAGGTTGGTAAAACAATCGAAGTCAAACATACCTAGGTATATCAGTTTTCTGACAAACTTCAGAAATTGCTTTGTGACAAATTTATATACAGGTACATCATTTGTGAGTAATTTAACAGAAGAGCACTATATATTGATGAGCATATTACAGGACATTAATATACATCATTTGTGAGGTATGTATATGTACAAATATAGTGGGGTAATTTTATATACAGGTAACAGGGGAACCATATAGTACTTTTTCATATTCATTATATTTTTATACTCTGTTTAAATGACTATTACGGATAGCAGTTATTATTTTGATACTTTCATTATGTTCAGTTTAAGAGTGTTAAATGACTTTTTTCTTTTTTGTCTGCAAAACAAGGTCACTTAGTGATATAAATAACCATGTTCATATAAAAAATAAGATGAAGGATTATCATTTTGCTTTGAAATATGCTGTAAAGAATTATGACAAAAGTGGGTGTTATAATAACTTTTGAAGGTATACTTGTCCAACTGTCCTTCTGTACCTTTGTTTTGGCCAGCTGCAATTGCCAAATTTTATGCAAATACATGTACCTCGTGGAAAGGCAGCATAATGCATTTAGATCTGGTATTCTGCTACATATAGAGTAACAAAATTTGGTTCTGTTTACTGGGCGTTTACAGGGGAAATGCTATATACTCCGGAGGCTTGGATGAACACTATATGGATTTATCCACATGGCATCACTTTATCTTTGACTCGTATCTTTATACACATCCGTACACAATAGTAAATATGAACAGGGTTGGACCTGTACATCGTTGGAAAAGTGATGCATACTGAAATTTGACATCATGGTTATGCTCTGAACAGAGTTGTGGCCCTTTATTACCAAATATTAGTAAAGATAATGATTGCTATGACTAAAAGCCTTGACTGATTTTGTCTCTGCACAACCTGCTGTAACTGCTGATGTTCACAGTGTTTCACTGTGTATATTTTTTCACATTATAGATTCTAAATACTCTACCTTTACTTTATTTTGTTAAGTTTTTGTTTCAAATGTATATGGCATTATTTTTTTATTTCAGATACTAAAAATAGATGTTATCTATTATTCAGTCCTGTTTTGTGGAACTAAACTATAATTTCAAGTGTTTGTATGAGTTCAGGTGCTGATCAGTAATATTTTGTTTCAAAATAATTGAGCTTACAAGTTAATGTTAGAATGGAATGGTCTACATTTCATCATAGAATATGTGATGTTTATGCCTTTGCATATGTTTAAGATCTGAATGTTGTGTGACTGGATCATGGTTTTATGGATGCAATTTTAAGCAATTATCAAGAGAAAAGATGTCATCATAAAATTGTGTAGCTGATCACCTCACATACCATTTCATCGATTAGTGATTACTGTGAGAATGTACTGAATGATAACTGTAAAAGTGTTAAGTAAACATAAGTGAATGTTCAAAATCATCTAATTATTATTATTGTTTACTTTCATATGACAAAGAGGAGGTATATCCAAAATTTTGATATAAGAAAGAAGATAGATAAATCTCAGTATGCTGTCTGTATTCTATAAATAGTACGACTAAGATTTGTGTTGTACAATGCAACTATAGTTCTGCAACTTTAAGCGTCCACAATTTCCAAACAATCATCAACTTACAGCATTAAAACTTTATCTCGTAGGGCATTGACATTGAGTCAAATCTATCTATCTGTCTACAGGTCATTACCAGGCAGTGATATAGGAGTTTATCTCTTTTCAAAAAGTCTTCCTGTTACCTTATTCACTGCAACAAGATTTCTCTCTTTTTTCAGAAGTATTGTGTAATGTTATTTTTCATCATTCATTGATTATTAGCAAGTCCTTGTACATGTCACATTTGGAAATCTGGTTAACGAGTGTTCGGTGTGTTTAAAGCAAGGTACCTGGTCATAATGATATCACAGATAGGACTAATAGTATCAGTAGAACTGTAGATACAAAGGTACCTGGTCATAATGATATCACAGATAGGACTAATAGTATCAGTAGAACTGGATAGCAAGGTACCTGGTCATAATGATATCACAGATAGGACTAATAGTATCAGTAGAACTGTAGATACAAAGGTACCTGGTCATAATGATATCACAGATAGGACTAATAGTATCAGTAGAACTGGATAGCAAGGTACCTGGTCATAATGATATCACAGATAGGACTAATAGTATCAGTAGAACTGTGGATAGCAAGGTACCTGGTCATAATGATATCACAGATAGGACTAATAGTATCTCGGTAGAACTGTATAGCAAGGTACCTGGTCATAATGATATCACAGATAGGACTAATAGTATCAGTAGAACTGGATAGCAAGGTACCTGGTCATAATGATATCACAGATAGGACTAATAGTTTCAGTAGAACTGGATAGCAAGGTACCTGGTCATAATGATATCACAGATAGGACTAATAGTATCAGTAGAACTGGATAGCAAGGTACCTGGTCATAGTGATATCACAGATAGGACTAATAATATCAGTAGAACTGGATAGCAAGGTACCTGGTCATAATGATATCACAGATAGGACTAATAGTATCTTGGTAGAACTGTATAGCAAGGTACTTGGTCATAATGATATCACAGATAGGACTAATAGTATCAGTAGAACTGGATAGCAAGGTACCTGGTCATAGTAATATCACAGATAGGACTAATGATATCAGTAGAACTGGATAGCAAGGTACCTGGTCATAATGATATCACAGATAGGACTAATAGTATCTCGGTAGAACTGTATAGCAAGGTATTTGGTCATAATGATATCACAGATAGGACTAATAGTATCGGGAGAACTGGATAGCAAGGTACCTGGTCATAATGATATCACAGATAGGACTAATAGTATCAGTAGAACTGTGGATAGCAACGTACTTGGTCGTAATGATATCACAGAAAAAACTAATAGTATCTCAGTAGAACTCTGGATAAACGTAATTGCACTCAGATTTATTTATGTTATACAATTGTTTTATATCACCCACTTGGTATTAGTAGAAATGCAAAACCCAAATTACTGCAATAGTGTAACTGTTTCCAATCCCTAGTCCATATATGTATGTATTGTATAGGATTATATAGGGATACAGATTCTCTTGACCTCTTGAACATAAAGATAGGTTTGATTTTTTAAAGTCCCTTTAATTCAGTGAAAGTTACACATGTGAATTATGATGACAATCAGTCAAATAGAAGCTATGGGATATGATCAAACTTCATCTGGATATGGTTGTGAAAATATTTTATTTACATTCGCCAAGGGTGTGGTACAAATGTAATAAGTAATGATTTTGCTCCCCCCAGAGTGTGGGAGTAAGTTATGATGACACTCCCCCCAGAGTGTTGGAGTAAGTTGTGATGGCGATCTCTGAGGGTGTGGTAGTAAGTTATGATCATGCTCCCCCAAGATATGGCTGTAAATTATGATGACACTCCCCCAGGGTGTGGCAGTAAATTATGATGACACTCCCGCAGGGTGTGGCAGTAAATTATGATGACACTCCTCCCGGGTGTGGTGGTAAGTTATGATGGCACTCCCCCGGTGTGTGGTAGTAAGTAATGATGACACTCCCCCGGGTGTGGTTGTAAGTTTTGATGACACTCTCCCATAGTGTGATAGTAAGTTATGATTACACTTTCCCGAGGTATGGTATTAAGTTTTGATGACACACCCCTTAGATACGAAAGTAAGTCATAATGACACACCCTCAGGATGTGGTAATAAGTTATGATGACACTCCCCCGGGGTGTGGTAGTAAGTAATGATGACACTCCCCCGGGTGTGGTTGTAAGTGTTGATGACACTCTCCCATAGTGTGATAGTAAGTTATGATTACACTTTCCCAAGGCATGGTATTAAGTTTTGATGACACACCTCTAAGATACGAAAGTAAGTCATAATGACACACCCTCAGGATGTGGTAATAAGTTATGATGACACTCCCCCAAGATGTGGTAGTATCATTATGATGATTAATAAGTGATGTTCTTTTTCTTGGTGTAATAATAAATTATGTCACTGCCCCAGAGTTTGATAATATGACACTCTCCCTGGGTGTGATATTTGATAGTATATTACAATATTACTTTGATGAAATAACAATTTAATGACTCCTGTCATTGGTATGTCATTGTTTGGGATATTTTATATTAAAATCATTAAATAAATGATATTGTGTTTGTGCTCTATTTAGATAAACAATCTACATCAGCTTTCAAATAAGCCCTTTAATTGCACATTGTACATACATAACATTTTTCTTCTCAGCATCATTCCTTGAGGGAATTATACAGGTATATCCATGCTTTTCACTTTATATCCTTTATGTCTCAGCTCGGGGTTGAAACCGGAGGATTCTCCTGTACAATATCTGTGACGTCACATGTCTATGACATGAAGCATAGGAATAACAACTCATACCTTAAAAGGCCAGCAGGTTTAGAGAAAAATAATATCAATCACTTGTTTGTTGGACAAGGGGACCCCAACATCAGGGAAAAGATCATCAAAGTTGCAAACATACCTATAATTTTCTTTTCCTTTATAATGAGATTCCACTTTCTCGCATCCAAGTGGATCAAAGATTTTATTGATCTTGGATAAGTTTGATTTTCAGGGCTCTAGGGACAAGGTCACCATTAATATCTTTAGAAATTCCTTTGTCAGCACCTCCTGGAATTAAGGACTTTCATCAACTTCACACACTTTCAAAGGATAATTATATCCAGATAAAGTTTGAATTGCAGGGTTCTTTGATCAAGGTCAAGGTCACTTGCTATTTTCAAGAACTCTTTGTCATCACCTCTAGCAGTGTCATTACTTGAGGGATTTTGATCAAATTTCACACACCACGTAAAAAACCATTTTAAACTATGACAATTTTGAATTTCAAGGTCATCATTTCTATTCAGAAATATGTCGCTGCTCAAGCAGTATCATTCTTTGAACGGTTTTGATATATTACTCATCACTCATTTTTTAACCACAAGGAGATCACTGGCTATACTTAGTTATTAAATGTAAAGACATGTTTCTACTTTAATTGTTTTTTTTTATTGCTTTCAACTTGTTCTCAAAAAAAGTGCATGAAAAATATATTCACAACGAGCTTGTATGTAGAATGCTGGTATTTCAGCCCACTATCATCAAATAGTGCATGAACTATCATATTGCCCATTGTCAATTTTTAATTGCTGCATCCTTCCTTAAACGTGTCTCATTTTTTTTCTCAAAAAGGTTTTACTAGTCCCTCATTATGGAGATTAACATGGACGCTGACCTCTAGTGTCTCTGACACCCATCAAAGACTCTACCTTCAAATGTCTCTGATATTCCTCACACTCTGCCTTAAGTGTCCAATACCCAGCAGACTGACACCACCTTTTGATATCCTACACCCAACAAACTAACTCTGCCCTCCGATGTCTCAACTTGAAGACTCCATCATCCAATGTATACCAAACATGATAAACTCCAATGTCTCTGATACTCTTCAGACTCAATCCTGTCTCTAATCAAACTTATCTAATATCTTTGATACCTATCTAACTTTGATACTGTCAGTCAAATTCCTTCCATCTGTATCTCCAATATCCATTCAGACCCCTAACTGTCAGACTCTCAAATGTCTCGATCTTTATCAATCATATCCTGCTCTCATGGACCTCCCACACCTACAATCAATCTCTATTCTCAAATGTTTCATGTCGCTCACCAATCAGATTCTGTCTTAAATTTCGTCCCAATAAAACCACACTCATTCCTGATATTCTTCCACACACAAGCATGAACTCCCAAACCAGTCATATTTATGAATTAGAGTCACTACAATGCACAAATATATAAAATGACATTCTTTAAATACGCTCACTTCCTTCAGATATCTTTAGGACCAAACAACTCAAATTTCTCTGGCGTCTAGATAGAGCAAGCTTTTTGAGTGCATGTACAAGTTAAAATTGCCCGGCATTGACAGCAAAGTTTGAAAGATGAACAATTGTTATGTGACTTGGCTTGAAAGGCTTCACTTATAAGGTAGTCACATGTACAAACTCGACAAATAATCATCGTAGGCATCAAATAATAATGTACTTTAACCAATATTAGCATATATCCACATATTTTTCAATCTGGATGTTATTGTTCAATGCTTGGGACCAGCTACCTTAAACCGTTTTTGTTTACGTATTGAGAGTTGTCTCCCCTGTTCACGTGTGTACTGTAGCCCAAAGAAGAAGTGATGCAGTTTTTCTGCAGTGCTGGTCGTGGGACGGAGAAGTTTGTAGCTGAGGAAATCAAAACAAAACTTGGTGGGAAAGCGATTCAGGTGATGACAAGGAACATGTAGACGACATGGTGATATGCTACTGATAGTGCAAATTTCTCTGTATATGTTATAGCCAGTAATAAGTTGCAACCGATAAATGCTACCTCCTTTTTGTTGTCCACTAATAAGCCCATCCCTTAATTTGTGTCAGTAAGTTATGTGTTGGACTTTTGAATTTATTTCAGGACAAATATAACATCAATTGTAGTTTGATAACTTGCCACGGTATTGAGAACATCCTATATACATCTTAAATGTGTATTATCTACAGTTGAATTATGGTGCTCGCCTCCATTTGGACATTGCAATTTTTCCTAGTTGATGATTCTAACAAATGAGACGATAATTGCACAATACATCTGTAATTTAAAATGTGCATCAATCTTTTCTGCTTGTGCTTGCAGGAGAAATTTTCACTTAGTCTGATCCAAATCAAATTTAAATTGAGAATCTAGCCAGTTCATCAGATTAAAATTCCAACATTTTACTGAAATTATCCTCAGGTGACGGATGGAAAGGTGTTTTTCCAAACAGGTGTGGAGGTTGCTGGAGAAATCAGCCAGCTGAGGTCTATAGAAAGGGCATTTGTCCAGGTGGTCAGATGCAGCTCTCTAGGTAAACTTCAAGAATAATTATCACTCTAATTCACATCAAACCTCCAGCAGGAATCAACCCATTCGTTATCACTATATGAAAACTGTTACATCACTCAAATCATCTCATAAGCAGCTCAATCAACAATAACATCAAAACTATCAGAAAGTCTAAAGGAAATGACCATACTAGTCTATTTTGGAGGAATTTTTGATATTATGTGAAACATATGTGAGGTTGGACCAGAAACTTGTAAGGGTGCTAGTACAGTATGTAATACAACAATACAGATTACTTGGTATTACTCATTTTGTACATCTGACATTTCCTATATGAACCTTGCATGCAATCTAATATAGAACATGTACCATGTCATACTTCTGTATATTATATGATATCAACGTTACAAAATGCATATACAAATCATGACTGACTCAGAATTCATATGTGTTATGATTCCATTATGTTAAAATTAGCTGGTGACACTGCTGTACAAAACATGTAACTGAGTACTAAGTTTGCTTTCTCTCAGATGGTGTGAAATCTGTCCAAGATGTAGGAAAAATCATACTCTGTAAGGATCACTGGACCAGTGCTGACCTTACAGGGTTAGTTACTAGGATGCACAATCTACATGAAGATGGTTCTTGCCCAGAGAGTAAGAAACGGCGCATAGATGATGAAAAACCACCAGTAACATTCAGGATATCATGTAAATGTGCAGGGAGAATAGGACGAAAAATTCAATCTCAGGTATAAATCTTGACGATAAAAAAATTCATTTTTAGCATGTTGGAAAATCTTATCTCAACAGATTTCTTAATTTAACAGAAACTTGTCAATAGAGGACTCCTTCTAAAATGTCTATATCTTCAGAATTGTATAAGATTAATTCTCGCTAGAGATACATCTCTACAATGGACACTAATCTTCATCTGTAAGTTTATAAAATTTTGATGTGATAATTCTCATTTATTTTCATATCATTATCAAGATGCTATCAAGGTATATTGGTGGTGGTCTGCAGCGACTGGTCAGCTGGAAAGTTGACCTGCGCAACCCATCCATAGAGGTGAGTTGATTATAACTTTGCATTTTTTTTATATTTTTCAATTAATGATAAACAATGAAAGATGGACAGTTATATTTAGTATAGGAGCCATGTTAAACAGTTCTATTGTACAATCTATGGTGCGATGTTTTGGGGTGTTTTTCAAGAAAAAAACGTTCATTGTTTTACAGATCTGTGTCCATATGAATGATGACCGACTGACTGTGGGTATTCCCCTTCAGAGGTAAGTAAGTAGCAATATTGCTGCTCAGAACATAAGATGTAAATTCACTTTTCACACTTTTTTAGACAGATATACATGTGAATCAGTGGAACTGTGATAATTTATCTTTCTCCATTCTCATTGGGTGAACCAGATTTATGGGGACTGTATAGTGGGCCTTCCAGATAAATGACTACTTGATAGTGGGCCTTCCAGGTTAATGGTGACTAAATAATAGGCTTTCCAGATAAATGACTACTGAATAGTGGGCCTTCAAGGTAAATGACTACTTGATAGTGGGCTTTCCAGGTTAATGGTGACTGAATAGTGGGCCTTCCAGGTTAATGGTAACTAAATAGTAGGCTTTCCAGATAAATATAACTTGATAGTGGGCCTTCCTGGTTAATGGTGAAAAAAATAGTAGGCTTTCCAGATAAATATAACTGGATAGTGGGCCTTCCAGGTTAATGGTGACTAAATAGTAGGCTTTCCAGATAAATATAACTGGATAGTGGGCCTTCCAGGTTAATGGTGACTAAATAGTAGGCTTTCCAGATAGATATAACTGGATATAGGGCCTTCCAGGTTAATGGCGACTAAATAGTAGGCTTTCCAGATAAATATAACTGGATAGTGGGCCTTCCAGGTTAATGGTGACTAAATAGTAGGCTTTCCAGATAAATGACTACTGGATAGTGGGCTTTCCAGGTTAATGGTGACTAAATAGTAGGCTTTCCAGATAAATGACTACTTGATAGTGGGCCTTCCAGGTTAATGTTGACAGGATAATGGGCAGCCAAATTTATGGGGATGGATGTGGGGCAACCGATAATAGTGGGTGGATATTGGGGTCAATTAGATAAATTGTGTCTGGATAGTCATGTAAACCATATCAACGGTAACTGGATATTGTAACACCAAGGTTACTGATAAATTGAGATCATTCAATTTCATTGTGTTTTGTAGCATCCCAGTATCAAAACGCAGCTACATTCGTCACTTTGGTCTTCGAGGGACAATCGCCTGGATCATGTCAAACTTACTAGATATACAGGTAAACAGAAGAATAGGAATATTTCTTAATGTTCATGATCTGAATACAATTTCAGTGAAGTAAGAAAAAACAGCTACAAGAGAGGTATCTGATCGAGTAGCCATACATCTTGTAATTAGGGTATTATTTGAGTTTCAGTTTGATATGAAAATATACCTTCCATATATATCAAGTGCTGTTCCACAAAATAACAGCATTCAAAAATGTTGCATGCAGTTATTTTCAATATACATGTACCAACAGGATTTCTGGTTCCAAATGTCACATATATAAATTATGATAAATTAAAATTTTAGATTGCGAATTTCTGATTTATAAATTCCAAACGGAAAGCATTACAGAAATATATTTTTAGTTGAAGCAGCTTCATGCATGCTCCTCATAGTTATCAAGTGTCAATTAATCACTTGACCAACTGACCCACACATTTGTGCAATTTTCATATTTGGTCTGTGATATTGTTGATTCTCATGTATTTTTTTTACCTTCTCAACAGTCTTATGATGTGGTACTGGACCCAATGTGTGGGAAGGCCACACTAATAGTTGAAGCCTGTCAAAACTTCAAAGTAAGTCTTTCATCTATGCTTCAGAGGTAACACAAGAAAGATAGCAATATGTAAATGTAAGCTATTATTAATTTTAACGGCCCGTCAACACATAAAATGTCATTAGGGCCATTAACCGGAAATGTAAGCAAACTGATTTATCTATATTGGACATAAAAAATCGGTAAGCAGGACCAGACAACACCAATGAATTTATATATTCCTGTGCCTAGCAACTACACATGTTATTTCCACCAACATCAAAGATAGTACACTAGTTACTATGACGTAATGAATTGGTGACGTCATAATGCAAGTAAACGGATAATAGCGGAGTTCCGCTTTGCCCTAGGCTAATGCTATGTAATGTACAAATATCAATACTTTGTATTGGACATAAGTAACATAAGTTTAAGGGTTTAGATAATAGTTTTTGTTTGTGGAGTGGAAATGAGAAGAAAAAATGTAGAACAAGTGTTGATTGGTGACACATGATGATTAATATGTTTTCATTCTTTTTCAATAACAAGAAAAATTTACACAAACATGGTTTAACTATCATCTACTGTATTTATTGTATGATTTGTGTGGGTATGCGGAAATTTTTTTTTGTTACTATTCTGAATAACCTTCAATAGTGGAATTGATGTTAAATGAACATTTAAATTCTCAAACTTTTTGAAATAACTCTCAAGACAGCAACCTATCTTGGCATGGATATCAGCAAGGATCAGCTTTCAAAGGCTGCAGAAAATCTTTTGTGGTCACATCTTCATGGTAACATAGGACTTGTTCAAGGGGATGCCAAGTGTAAGTAGAAAGGTTAAGTATATAAAATGTTGAGAAGACATGAAATACCATGTTACAAATCTAATCATAAAGCATTATCAATAATTTACTGTTGATCAGTATCAAGCCAGCTTCAAGAATTTGTGTAAAAAGATATTTAATTACAGCAAACCTTAAATTACTAAAGCATTCATAAATAAACAATAGTTATGAAGGAAACATATATACAATTATTAAATTGTCTTGAAATGTGTCTTTGTCAGTAAAATGTGACTCAGTGGGGTGTTTTGCTGCTGTGTCCAGTTGACAACACTTCAGGGTGATGACACTATAAACTGCCCCTTGAATGTCTCTTCATCTGTGGACAGCATCCTATCTAAAAAATATCCAAACACTCCAGAAGACTTGTAATATAAAAGTTATCATCAAACAAATATAAAAAAAAAACACTTTGAAGTTAACTTAGAGACCATATTGCTTTTTAAAATACTTTTGAAATTATTTTGTATTCACCGATTTGTTTTAGATTTTTAGGTCATCTGACCCAAAGGGTCAAGATGACCTATAGCCATCGTGCTTCGTCCGTCATCGTTCGCCGTGCGCCGTCCGCCGTGCATAAACTTTTCATTCAAACAACTTCTTCTCAAATACTAGAAGGTCTAGGGGGCTAATACTTGGCACAGAGCATACTGGCATGGAACTCTACCAAGTTTGTTCAAGTGAATGACCTTGACCCACTTTAAAGGTCACAGGGGTCAAATATCTTGTATCTAATGTCAGATGACCGTTAAGGCCAATGGGCCTCTTGTTTTTTTTTTTTTATTGTTTGAATTGTTATTGTTATACTAAGAATGTTATTTTGTCTCCCAGGTATGCCACTAGATTCTGAAAGCATTGACAAGGTATTGTGTGACGCTCCTTTTGGTCAGAACTTTCTCCCAGACTGTGATAATATTTTGGAATTCTACAAGCAAAGTCTTACAGAAATATCCAGGTAAACAGTTGCACTATACATCCTTCAATACTTTCTTGATCAAAAACTGAAGGTAATATTATGCCTACCTTATAATGTTTGCTGCAGTTAATTTTTTTATTCCTTTTTTGATGTGGATGATTTTTTTACTGTGATTATTAGTGTATTACTGGAAATACATGTTTCATAAATGAGGAACAAAAATGACCTGCGCAAAACATGGGGATTTTTTTTTTTTTTTTAGTTTCTGGTTTTCAGTATTTAGGTTTTAGGCTTGCAGTCTCTACAAATATTTCCAGCAGTTTTAGTGCAGACCTTTAGAAGGTCATGTTCAAATTTCAATATGTGATAATCACTGACATCCTCATTTTCAAATTACTTTAGGTTATATGGATTAATGAATTCTGAACCTTAAATTGATGTCCGTGTTACTCATTACCACTATAGAAAATCAGGCAACTTTTCTTATGGGCAATTCATTGTTAGGCAATATGCAGATGTGTTGATTTTATTTTATAGAAACAGTTCATACAGGAGACATTTTCACTTTTGTAGGGTGCTGAAACCTGGGGGTCGTTTGGTATTACTGACAAGTCAACAATTAAGTTTGAAAGTGTGTGGTCTGTGTGGACAGCCTGGTAACAAAGAAAGGGAACCAGTGTCAGGGAGCGAGGATGATGATTTGGTGAACATTTCTGATGGACATGGTCAGATCAAGGTCACCCCATTGACCTTTTCAACAGAAGAATCAATAAATGACCAACAAAAATCAGAGATACTTGACAGAAAATCACCAGTACGTGATTGTGAATTAAAATGTGGGGATGCAGATGGTAATGTTATAAGTCTGCAAACAAAAAGTGAAACTGATGACTTGATTGTGAAAAGTCCAATTTGTGATTCTCAGAATATATTTGTACAGTCTGATGTGAGTCACCATTGTAATGATACTAAGCTAGTGTTAGGAGAACCAGTTCAGGAGAGGTCAGGTCAAGGTTATGTTGATTCATCTTCTCAAGGTCACATAAATGTTTGCGGATGTATTGTAAGTGATAACCAACAATTAAAATCTGTGAACTGTCTCAGTAAATTGAGGGTAAGTGAGAGTCACTATGTCAAACTAGGAGAAACTGATGCAGTTATATGTGTGATTAACAAAATTGATGAAAGATGAATAATTTAATAAACTTACAAAATACATGTATATCTTATTTGTTTTCTGTCTATTTTTTCACAGATCTTTTGGAAAGTATCATTATTTACACCATCTTGGATGTAGTATTGCATGTCTGGTGGTTCGGGTAGGGGTATGGGTGTTTCCAGAGACACAGTGTCAAGATCTCTCCATCTCTGGATGGAATTTTGTCCAGCACAATGTGTAAAGTGTACAGTATTATAATTTTTGCCTAATTTATTTTCTCAACTTGCAATTATTTCTACATGTATTTAAAATTTAAAATGTTTTTTCACAATTTCACTTGAAAGATCCATTTTCTTGCCAATATTCAGCTTGTTTTCTGTCATGGGGACATACAAATGGAAATGTAAGATCCTTTTCTATTCCTTGATATCATCAGATTTCAAGTGGACTGTCCTGGTGTGTTGATGGATGGGGACCCATTCTGCTGGAACTGAATCCTAAATGAAATAAGAAAGATATGTTAGGAAAAATTGTGACAAACAATTGATCAACAAGTATTAATTGTTCTTGTCACCGTGAGTACAAGCATGAAACGGGTCTCATCAGTGGGGTAACTGGGGAAGGAACCAAAGTACCAGAACAACCAAATAGTTTGGTTCAGGTGTTGAATCCTGGTCACTTGATGAAAGCGAGAACATCACCACTGATGAAATTATATCGCAGATCACCCAGCATGTCTGTCAGAAAAAGTCAAATCTGCCCTAAAATCCGCCTTTGTATAGAAAAAATTTGCACTGAGAGATCTTGACAATATAACAATCTTGAAATCTAACATGGGTCATTTGTTTTATAATCAATAATATTTTACTGAAAATATGTCATATTATTTCTTCAGAAATACGAAATTATGTTACCGCGGTACCATTAATTGAATGAATGAAGAATTGGACATTATTGATTATTTTGCCAGTAGAACTGAATATTATTTTCAAAAGGCATTGAACATCATTTTACCACAAAAGATGCATTATCATCTTATACTAATTACATATGGAAGCTTTGTCAACGTATTCATTAAAAGCTGACCACATATTCCATGGCTCCTTTGGGAGGGAAACATTTCCTGAGAAATGGACGAGCAGGTGATGAGTAACAACAAGACTTTCCTCAAACTGTAGGGGGCAGTACAGATTACTTGACATGTGACTAATGCAATAGACGCCAGGGCTGTTCTAATAGATAAAGCAAACATCTCCCAGACAGGACATCTGAATCTTTTCCTCAGGGAAGAATGACTTGAAATGTTTTTGGACTTGAGGTTGGTATACTCGCTATTAAACTTTGTCCGTCATTTTAGTCTAGCCTGAGCATTGAATTCACCACCAACATACTGGAAAGACTTTGTGAAATAATGTATCACCATACAAGTATCATTTAAAATCTGACCGATGTTAGTACAGTCTTGATAATTTGCAAATGCCTGTATTTTCCACTATATTCCCTCCAAAAAAACGTTTTGATTCACCATTTGAATCCAATCCATACCAAAATTTCCAAATGATTAAACATTTTAGATCAAAAGACTGTTTACGTATTCAAGAGCAAGTTCAGATGTGGACAGAGAAAGTCAAAATCATTCATTTTGCCATGTGTGGCAGCCATTCTGGAACCATTAAGGCATATATGCCGCAGGCCAAATATTATGATGACAGACATCTTGAATTCAGAAAATTAAAATTGTTCAAAAAATTTTGTTCTTCCATCATGCTATGCATGTTATTTATAAAATAATTTGAGCAACACTGCACTTTTTTTTTTAAAATTATTAAATATAAAATGCTTCCACTAGGGTACTATGTATACGTTATCAAAAAATAATTTTGGTCGTTTTATCTTAAGTTCATAAAGATCAGTTTACTGTCAGTACATGTCAGAACCTAGTAACAGTATACATTTACCAACATCCAGATGTACTTGTATCAGAATCCAACTTCACAGGTTGATATGCAGTAATATGAGAGACAATTCATCATTTTATTCAGCAATAAGTACATACCAGATAATAAGCCCATCCTTTCTATAATTGTATTTCATTAAAATCATACACCAATGTTAGTTCATCATCATGTTATAAGGTTATTCCTTTCATATAACATTAATATAGAAGAAATTCTCATGAACGCTTAAATAAGGTAAATGTTTTTGTTTGTCAAAAACTATGATGATACCTATTATAGTAAAGCATTGTCTTTCATAAACTTTCATTTGTGCAGAGATCTCCGCACATAGTTTTCTACCAATCTCTTTCATACTTGGTAGCCTCAATAAACATGATACGGAGTTGTATATTGCTAAATGGCAGTTTGATTTAACTGTATTTGGAAGAGTTACTGTCCTTTGTTTTTTTTCATAATATATTGTCCAAAGATCTCCTTTGTCAGTTTTCAACCAATTTCTTCAAACCTTGGTAAGTTTAATCACCATAACATAAAACTATCTTTTCCTGAATGTCAGTTTGATGCAATGGTATTTTGAAGAGTTACTGCTCCTTGTTTTCATAATCTAAATCTTGTTTGTAGATCTCCTTTCTCAGCTTCCCATCAACTCTTCCAAACTATGACTTGAAATTGTATTTTTTTCTGAATAGCACTACAATTCAACAGTTTTTTTTTTGCCAATATATAATGTGTTGGGCCCCTGGGCCAACAGCAAGATAAATAAAAATAGATTTCTTTGGAAGTTTAATTCTTGCTGGTTTTATTTTTTGTACCTGTTTTAAATAAAAAAGTGATAACAATAGAATCCTTATAAAATATGTAGAAAATGACTTTTCAAATTCTTCTAGATTTCGACTTATCAATAATCTGAAATTGTTGATACCCTACTGCATATTATTCACAGTCTCCTTCAAATCCTCGGTCATCATCTTCAGTCTACAGTAGTTGAAAGTGGGACTTAACAGTGATCACTCCATCATTGTTATCAGATTACCTTGAAATATGATCAATGAAGTAATAACAACAGTATGGACAAGTGAATCGTCCAATATTCGACATATAAGACATATATTATTACATCATATATACAGAACATAGATTAAAAACAAAATTATCAACTAAAACTGAGAATTTTAATATTTATACTACTGTTCTTGGTTTTAGTTTACAACTTTGTATTTGCTGTATGTTCTATGTATGTGATGTAATTTTTGTAATATTTGTGTCTTGATAAACCGGCAGATGGTCTAAAAATATTAACTTGTCCATACTGCCACTATTACTTCAGTAATCATATATATATATATATATATGATCAATGAAGAATAAGGACAGTATGAACAAGTGAATTGTAATACAATAATAATTGTATATATATATATTGGGAGTGATGCAGACAATTTTCAGAATGTCATCCATGCTTGAGATGATACAGTCATCAACACATTGCATTGTCCATAAAATTCACAAACACCTTACAAAGTTTGAAAAACAACATTTATTACATTTTAAAGTATTAAATTAAAACTGTACTAAATATCAGATATGCACTCAGATATATTTTTTCAATGAGTATAACCAGCATACAAGGTAGATATTCAAAATTGGCCATTCTGGAGTTGATTCCATGTATTTGACATTATATTAATTTACTGTAAGAATGAATATCAAGCTCAGCTTTGTTTCATACATTTCAGAAGGTTTAAAGCTACTGCAGCTGATCTGCAAGTTCTGTACATATGCAGCTACTGGGATATATTATGATAACTATTCATTATATGGACATCAAGCAACTTTATAGACTGGTTGTTCCTTTAGCGTAATTTTACATGCAATAGACTGAATGGCATTGCTGAAAGGCATTTCAGTCAACTGTAATAATAAACTAATATTAGTATGAAGAGTCTAAGTGTTGGATTTCACTTTTCCCCTTTTCTCCAACACTTGTGAATGTTGTAAGTACAGTATTTCCTTATGGATAATTGACATGAGATGAGAAGTCACATGCCACATACAGTGGTACTTCCATTCTGTATTTTTCACAGTCAAATAGGTCCTTTTTCAATCAAAATATGGGTACCAGTATCTGTTGTCTTCATAGTTCACTTGGATTTGTAATCATTTTCACTTTTTACCTGAATTTAGATGCAACAGAAATTGGCTAGATATCTTGGTAATGTTGCAGATAATGTAGGATAACCGATCAAATTTCCCTTAATCACAAATATTCCGTCTTCTGTAGGCAATCTGCATATGACCAGATTTATTTCGTTATTTTTTCCTTATTCCTATTCTTTTCCATTTTACACTTTGGTTGTGATTTGTTGAATTTCGCAATACTGCAATAGGGCTTTGTAAGGTTGTCTTGAAATCACTTCATATTTTGTTGTTGGGTTTATTGTATTTTTCTAGTAAATTGTTCACTTTTACCTTTCCTTTGCGAAAGAAATTGTCCTAATTCGATCTTTCCGTTAGAAAAACACTTAACTGCAGATTGAGTTAATAGTTTTACTCTGTATATTCTAAGGATTATTTTAGTTCAAGAAACATCTCCATCACATCTTTTCCACCTTCTGTGCAAACAACCAGATCTGTTTAGCAACTTCTTTCTGAAGCTCTTCCTTAGTAGCTTTCGGATGTGCTTTAATGAACTTCGCAATATTCATACAGGTTTCTGCTCTCATTGCCTTGAGCTCCCTCTCACCACTCAATCTTTGATAAAGTTCATATCCCACCCGAACTGTGGTCACTTCTTTCAAGAAGTCAGTTTTGTCATTGTGAAGCCAATCTAGGTCAGCAAGCTGTTGAATCAGGTCAGCATTCCCAAGCTCCCAACTCTCATCAAGACCTAACGCCATGATTACCGATTCTAGGTGATCAACACAAATATATGAATAGTGATACAGGATAGCGTGAACAACACCCAAACATAAACGTAAATAATGTAAACCGGAAGTCGTTCACAGCAGCGCCGCCTGTGAGAGAAATTTCATTTCCGGGAAGAATGATGAAAATAATACAAACACGGACAGAAACGAGAATTAAGGGAAAACTCTTTCATAATGGGTAATGGATTTGAAACATAGATCACCCGTCGACATCTCCACTACAACTTTAATAGTGGTATATGTTTGATTGAGGCTTTTTGAAAGAGAAATAGTATCTTGAAAAAAATCAGGATCATTGTTGTGATAACGTGAGATTTCTATCGGTTCATTGTTATCGAGGCATTTAAACACATGGTCATACCCAAAGGTTCAACGAGGGGAACAGGAGTATGTCTAAGTGCTTTACTGAGTTAGGTACGTATCAGAGTGTAAGTGTTATGGATTTTCTTTGATATTTATTTATCATGCGTCAAACTAGTGTATAGTTATTTAGACTAGTTGTTTGAATTTATTATACACCTTTCCAGCAATTCATTTTTGTTCTTTGAAAAAAAAAATAATCATTTTGAATGTAATCATCAAAGACACTTTGTAGTTTAATAATTGAAAGATATTTACGATTTAATGTCCTGAATTTATTGTAATTAAATAAATTTCCATTTACTAATATAACTCGTCCCTGGCACTTTTATCTCAAATGTAAACAACTAACAATCAACAATTAAGTAAAAGTCCACAGCCCTGTGCTATGTATTATATATATTGGACTTGGTAGTTTGGCTTAGGTTGTTTTCATTCCAGATGCAAATTCATATGTCTAAGCCAATAGAAGGCATAAGGGTATATTACATGAATTATAGAGTTACCTGATCTGCTAGCCCCAATAATAAGTCTTTTTGTAGTTAACTCCAATCTCTAGCTGTGGCAGGTGATATTTAGCTTTTCACAAAGAAAGTGTGTAAAGACCTAGGATCTTTGAAAGTTTGAATTGAAAAATAGTATCATGAGAACAATAGAATATTGGCCATATGGCATGTTTTCTCATATGAGTGAAAACAATATATTAAAGACAGGTAAATAAAGGTATATAATAATGCACATCATACAATTATTCTATAGTAAAGAAAATACATGTTCTTAGAAAAAATAGATATTGTTAATTTACTTTTTTATTTAATTTTCAGCAAAATACCCATGGATAATGTCCTTTCAGTAATATGGAGAAGGTATTGCACAGTAGCAGTCAGCAGTCTACTGCAGGGGAATATTCCCAAGGAAGTCCAAGTCACAAACCACCTCGGGGGCAGTCTATTAAATATGGAGAGCTAGTCATTCTAGGGTAAAGATCATACATTTGGATCATGTTTAACCTTCAAACTGGCACTTTAGCAGCACTTCCTCAGTATTTATCATTGACATCTATCAACAGTATTTTTTGGTCATATATAAAAGACTGCATGCCTTAATTTCTTTCTATGTTTCTTTATATATAAATATATATATTCCAGACTAAATGAGAATTTCAAAAGGCACATGTATTTGTGATTCTATCCCAAAAGACTGTGAGAGCTTTTACTCATGAAGATGTATTGAATTTATAATTCATTGGATAGTTCACAACGCTTGATCTCCTAGTACTTATATTATTAAAATATAAATTGTTTTATTTCCCAAGGTACAATGGACACTTACCGAATGGTGACAAAGGAAGGAGAAAAAGTAAATTTATTTTGGCCAAAAGAATAGCTGGAAATGGCGTCAAACCATATCGAAAACACATCGTCAAAAATCCCCAGTCTTCCAAGGTAAGATCACAACAGAAATGGAAACCGCTTGAAAGAAAGAAAAGCACAACCTCTACACAGTAACACTATCATATATTCTGTAAGTGTAAAATGCAATTATTGCTTAAGTATCCTATTTTATGGATCTCGGGTAAAATACTTTTTCAAACTCATAAAAAATTGAAGTTGGATAAAACAGTGAAAAAACTTCTTGAATACTATATATACAAAGTTGTAGTCATGTTTTATACATGTATGTTGCAGCCTTGATTTTATTTGTCTATTCAGTGTTTTCTGACATAGACTGTGGCATATATACTACCAGCAATTCATCAAATCCTGATTTATGTAATTGTTCCTAGCTATTTGGTACATGCAATGATTTTTGGGACTTAGATATCTGAGTGCTGATTCACGATTTGCCTGTGTGATTCACTAAATCTAGTCCTGGGACTCCTCAAAATTTTTGAATTGGTGCCATAAAAAACATTCAAAAATTACTGACATAACAGATAAATATATTAAACACAAAATGTTGAGACTGTATTAAATGATAATTAGTACATCATGAGACATGGTCCACTCCCACTCTAAAATATGTTGTACAAAATGGATTCACTAAGAAAATAGATATCAGGCTTTCATTGAAGTCCCAGTCAGAGGTAATGGCTGATTTTGTACAACATATTCTAACCAAGGTATGTATTTCTATGTGTACAGGCCGTCCAGGACACTCACCAACACTCTGTGTCCTACACTCTGTCTCGTAACCAGGCTGTCATTGTAGAATACAAACAGGATCCCAACACAGATATGTACCAGGTAATTACAACTTCACATAGCATTACAACACTTTTTATTACCAGATAAACTATTTCAACCCACTGTAAAACTGTTACTTGTCGGAGGAGGAAGAGACAAAATTTAATTTTGTAAGCATTTTTCATATACTGTTTTCAGATTAGTAGAGTTCATCATTTGAACATACTAGTAAAGAGGCTATCGAGCTTGACAGAACAGTGGTAAAAAAATTTCAAATTTGTTTGATTGCATTTTGTATTGTTTTCTAGATTGGTCGTTCTTCAGAAGTACCTATAGACTATGTTGTGATGGACACAATACCAGGGAATCAACGGACAGCCAATGACAGTATCACTCAGAGCACTATATCACGGTTTGCTTGTAGAATCCTTGTGGACAGAGATCCACCTTACACAGCGAGAATATTTGCAGCAGGCTTTGACTCTGGGAGAAATATATTTTTAGGGGTTAGTACATCTGAATAAATGATTTTTGTCTGTATGTATGATCGTACAGTTACTGGTTCTTTAAAAAAAATGCAAAGGATGTACTTAGAACCTACTTGAAATGTCTAGGTCCTTGACATGAGTGACTTGTACCGTGATGTCATAGAAAGGAGATACATGCTTGTTGTTTCCTGTATATTAAGCTAAAGAACATTTATTCTTCTCATTAAGGTCATACTCTCTTCCTTTCACACATACAAATCTAGACAATATTTCCTCACATTTCTTGACAGTCATTAGCTGAATTTATTGTGGAACATCTGTTTTTAGTGCTAAATATATACAGCAGTTTTTCTTTCAGAAATGATATAAGTTGATGAATTGTTAGTTCAATATAACAATTTCTCATAAGACCTTTAAGTTATCTAATGTAATAAAGTTTGTAGTCACTCCTTAAGTTGTCACATTGTAACAGTTATATATCAGAGTCTGGTGCCACTAGTCTGGGTCTTTCAGAGAAGTTAGGACATTATTGTTTCTGTCAATGTTAGATCTCAATTCTGAGAGATATCAGGGATTTTCCAAGATCACAAAAAATGTTTTCTTTGGTGGTTTGAAATTTTCATAATGAAGTTTTTGTAGTATATTATGTTTAGTACAATGGTGGACCAATCAATGTAGGGTTGTTTTATTTACCTGCTATACCTGTAAGATTGTCCTTTTATAGGAGAAAGCTGTGAAGTGGTATTCAGGAGAGGAAATTGATGGATTGACAACCAATGGTGTATTCATTATGCAGCCCCAGGGTGGCTTTAATCCCACTGGCAAACCAGGGGTATGGCGAGAAGTGTCTGTGGGTGGTGCTATATATCCCCTCAGAGAATCCAGGTCGGCACCCCTTAAAAGCAACCAGGTCAGTTACATCATTGTCAAGGAGCTTTAATGATATTCCAAATTTCAACAATACATTCTTATCAGCAGTACTTCAGGCGTATTAGTTTTAATTTGTTTATCTAATACGAACATTTATATTTTCAATTATCAGTTGTTGAATTTTTCATCTTGTTACTACTGTGAACATAGTTGAATTCTATGGTTGGTACCTTGAACAAAGGCTGTAGTCAAAATTTTGGAATAGGTGTTTGTCCAAATTTAGCTGTCACATTTTTGTAATTTCTTCATTCATTTTTATGCTCATATGGAATTAAATCAGAACAAACATGTTCTCATGATCATTTCAGATAATCAAAATCATACTGGGATATATACATTGAAATCTTCATATCCAAAACACTTGTTTCCAACCGACATCAACAGCAAAGTCTTTGTTAAATTCAATAACATTTGTCACAATCCTTTTGTTTTATAGAACAAACAAAACTTTTTAAAATCAAACTGATATAATATGACTATGTACTGGGAATGTGTCCATAAGAGTTTCTGATATGAGTTATGCTCCCTTCCACACTTATTTCCTTACTTCAGATTTGAGCTAATTATTTCAGATTCTGGATGAGGACAATATTCTCCATGATGGAACTGTGATAGATCTTTGTGGTGCTACGTTACTATGGAGATCAGCTCTTGGCCTCATCACTTCTCCGGTACAGCATTAATTATATATTTTTAAAAAAAAATCTTAGAGAGACCAGAATTACATACATTAAGAATTAACAACTTAGTTCATTTGATAGTATGACCTTATAATGGGATAAGGTATTTCTGAGATATGTATGGAATTGGAAATGAGGGAAAATTTGACGGCTTTGTAGCTTATCACACATCTACAATTTCTAGATTTTGTTTCATATAATTTGGTATCAAACTACAAAGTCAATTTTTTTAAACTGATTTGTTATTTCTTCATTTATTTCCTTATTACAATATCAATTTAGTACTTAAAAATACATGTAATGAAAAAAAGTTATCACTTCTTGGTAATTAAAAAAACACACAGATCAGTTAAATTATTATTGTTTCCCTGATTTCATTTTTTTTCTGTCATACAAATTATCAGGTAAGAAAACCTGAAATACAGATTTTTATTGTTGATAATAAATACATTGCAATAACTCAAAACAACACCATTCGCAACAAACAGAAATGTTATTAAACATTACCTGTTACTTCTAAATGCAAATTGTCTTCTATATAAGTGAAATAATGGCTGCTGTTACTGTTCAGCATCACATTCTATCAAATGACAGCATGAATGTTCTGAAGATAATGAAATAAGTTTGAAGGTCAGCTAAAAGTACTTTTCAAAGTTAACATGGAAAGGGACTTTCCATTAACTGTCGCTCAGCAAAAACACAACTTTAGTCTGTACCAGTGTTTCATCATTTAAAGTTGGAACTTTTGATTTAATCTTTGAATCAATTTTTGAGTTAATGAATATGAATCTTATTTTGAGTCGGTGAACCTGAGGTTAAGTCTGTATCCTTCTCTCATCCTTTACAGAGTGAACATGAGTTTCAGTCCCTAGTTGAAGAGATAAATGCTGGACGTCCTCAGTGTCCAGTGGGCCTGATGACCCTGGTTTTGCCCAGTAAAGGCACGCTGGAGCTGTCGGACAAACAGCCGTATGTGTACCTGCAATGTGGCCATGTCCACGGCCAACACCAGTGGGGACAGAAGGAGAATGATAGCCGTACCTGTCCCCTTTGTATAAAGGTATTACCTGTATCATTAACTACTTATAGATGGCAGTTATAGACAGTATGGATAGACATTATGCATTGCATGTATCCATGGCATTTGTAGGAATATTAAAACATACCAGGTCCACTGAGAACAATTCTTACAAATTCATTCTCTATATTGTATTTCTGTTCATACCCTTAAATTGCACCATTGCACATTAACCAAAAGCACTTGATGGCAAGCTGTTGAAGGGTTTCAATTTTATATTTGGTATTATTGTATTTAAACTGTAAGAGGTTATGTATGTTTTATGGATAAAACAATGATAAGAATATAATGAATTAATTAAAATTGCCTAATGTGACACTCTAGGTTGTGTGACAACTGTAGGTCAGATTAAACAGGATTTCAGAATACAAATGTTATTTGTTAGTTTTCTTTAAATATCAGAATACAACTTAATATCACCATTTGATCTAGGAACATTCAATAGACAGATAATAAAAGTTACACAGATTTCATTAAATAACATCCAAACCTTTTGAAATATTTCAGGACGGGCCATTTGTAAAGTTGAAGATGGGCTGTGAATTGAGTGTATATGTTGACGCTGAGCCCCCTACCCACTGTTTTAACCCATGTGGACATATAGCATCAGAAGCTACTGTTAGGTGAGAAACATTGCACACCAATCAAATTGTTGATACTTGATCTTGTGTTCTGCAACATGTGTTTGTAGATTCCAATGAGCAATTTCACACTGTGCCATTTTTTAAGGCATTTGATTTAAATATTTGAATTTGGTTGAGGTATTGTTATCGTAACCATTTACTTGCAGATATTGGTCCCTGGTTCCTGTTCCCCATGGTTGTCAAGGTTTCCAGGCCGTGTGTCCTTTTTGTGCCACGCCCCTACATGCCGACCCTGGCTATGTGAAATTGATATTTCAGGACCACACGGATGACTGATACAAGTCTGCATGTGATAATGGACCAGCATACTCATACATTCTAATGCTGTACTTTTCTTATTAGCTAAAGAAGTCACAGATTTCACTGCTGGCAGTAGCTTTCTTCAGTACATTTCAAATAAGCCCAGGGTGAGGCTAAACTTTCAATGTAGACAGAGAGAATTGTGGTATGGTGGCAGTTGCTTAAAGATAATTCCAGTGTCAGCCATTTTTGTGGTTGCTCAGTTTCTTGTGATGCCACACATCTTGCCTGAAATGATCATCATTTTGTCTCTGATGGTTAATATATATCAGTTAGATTTTTAAAAGTTGATTTCTCTCATGCTCTCCCAGATGCTTCATTATTACTAGTATAAATATACTAAATTTAGCACAATCAAATATTTACATATTGTTCCTTTTTGATAAATTAGGGAATTGAATTTGTGGATTCCAATAATTGTTATGTAAACAACATAAAGAAATTGCAGTCGATATTAGTGCAGTCGTATTTAAGTGCAAGTTTCCATGTGAAAAGAGCTAAGATAAAATAATCACATAAAATGTACAGAGAGTACAGATAAAATCATGTTCTATAAATTGTAAACTCCAAATGAAACAATAGTAATATATGGAAAAGCAGAAACACACTGAAAGAAGCATAGACTTTAATTAAAATTCAACAAGTGAAAACTGTAGATTAATCTAAAGATATATTACATCTACAAATCACAGGAGTTAAACAGACAGATCACTTTTTATAAGATTTGGTAATTGTATGTCTATAGGAGCTGAGTGGTCAGACTATTTTACTCCCCTCATTCCTCCTCTGTGTACGTCATTGTCAGATTATATGGGCATTTTTGGTACCATCCAATCAGAGGACCATTTTATACCCACACAATTTAGCCAGCTCAGATCCAAAGACTTTTTTATATTTATATACCCCCACAATTTACCCAGTTCAGACCTGAGGACTGTTTTATACTCGTATACCCACACAATTTACCCAGCTCAGACCCACAGAACATTTTATATATCCTTACAATTTTGCAAGCTCAGTCCTGAGGACCATTTAATACTTATATAATCACACAATTTAGCCAGTCCAGTAAAGCTCATACCATAAGGATGCTTTTATTCACACTACAGGTCGTGATTATGCTGATATGCTGTGATACGTCCCCTTCTAATGCAGCAATATTGGTCCAGCTTTTAATTTAAACATCTTTTCCTTTCTTTACTAAAAAATGTCATGTAACCTATGTACACTAGTCATATGAACAAATTTTCAAGTGTTTTGTTGTATGTGAAATGACCCCCACTCCCGCCCTCTCAAAAAAATATATATATATATCTGTACATGTATGAAAATGAAAACTATACATTGACCCAGCTAAACCTCCTTAAAAATTACCTAAACTAATCCCCATTCCAAATTATTATTCTCTTCTTATATATGTGCAGAAAAGAGTACAAACATTAGTGTTAAGTATTAGGGTTTCCTGATCTACATATGCTTAATGATACCAATACATTGATGACTGCATAGAGACCATGACATCATTGTACACATAGTATTTAGTATTTTCATACAAAATAAACAAAACTATTACACAACAATATCATAACATAGATATGACAAGGAATGCAGAACAATAACTTGGATAAATTGTACTTACAGTTTTATTTATGAACAATAACTTGATATGCTGAGGTGTAAGCTCTCAAATGCTGTTGTGCTTTAAGGGTATGCCAACTCTGCCAATATTTTTCATCCAAGATTGGTGATTTATATACATGTATTGTTATGAAAATGTCCTCACCTCACATTACTGATGGAAATGAAAGTCATAGATCAAGAAGACAAATAAATTGACAGAGAGATCTGAATGGTACTAATAAGTGATGCATGAGAAACTCTAGATACATGCCTGATGGAATCTCATTATTTGGGGAAAATTCTGAAATGTTCCTAAAGAATGTTTGCCTGGCCATTGGAGGGTAACTTGAATAGATGGTGCCAGAAGTTCTTTAAATCACTTTAGAAACTCCATTCTAGGTAGAGTAAACACATGAAATGAATTCCTGATATGTTTGGATGAGCTTGTGGTATAATTTGCAAAGAGATATCTGCCTGTTCTTAAACTCTGTGATAAGCTTTGGACATATTCCCAAAGTAATAAAGGCAAATTTGGAGGTGTTTCGAAAGGAATATTTGTAAGGTCAGTGAGGGTAAATATGGAAAGTGTTCTAGGAAAGATTTGTCAGAAATATGCTCTGAAGATGAACCAAAGGAATGAAAAGATGAACATTTTAAGGTTCTGCAGGAAACGTAGACTTTGGGAGTGTTAGCTTTCACGTAAAGGTTTGAAATGGTTAGAGCTGCTGAAACTGCAAGAGAAACACTAGGTACAAATCATGACTGCAGCTGGCCTGTGGAATATTTGGAAAGGTCCAGTCGTATCTGTCCCAAACTAATGTGCTGAATATTGTTAGTTTTCAGAATTTAAGGCTAAAGCAGGACTGCTGTACACAAATATGAAAGTGGGTTATGTGATATGGTGAAAGAAAATCAAATGAAAATTAGATTTATGAAATAGATAGTCATTGTAATTGGATAAACATAAAATAGAATGTACTTCACAGAGAAAGTAATGACTGTTGAGTAAATTGTTTTTTGTCTTGTTCACTTGTACTAAGAGAAGTTTTTGGTGATAAAATACTACATGATTATTTTCATCAACAAAACTGTCACGATGAATTTAAAACTATTTTATTTGATTACAGTTACAGTAATGATGGTTGATAAAGGGTAATCTGAAGTAAGATAAATGCAAGTGAATTCTAATGAAAGCAATTTTTGATGTGTGTTATGAAGATGTATATAACCCTAACAAAAACAATACACTTGACCTGTTTATACTTTCAAAAAGTTCTACATGATACCAATTTTTTATGAACAGTTCAAATCTTTAGAAGGTATTTATGTTTTTTACATGTCAAAATTCTTGAAAAGTCAGCGATGATAATTTGGTGCTGTTCAAGTTCAATCTAATAGTATCTGTAATCTGTAATTAGCTTTAGTTTAAATTAGGTTGGATATATACTTTTCCAAAATCCCTTTCAATTGTGGAGAACAAAACTATTTCAGACTTTGATAAAGGAGATGAAATAGTCTGTTAATGTACAGCCGATGTTGTCTTGTTTAGTTAATGGACTAGAACAGAATAGAATTATCGGAGACAGAGAGTCACACTGAATCACACTGACCATTCCATGTACAGCATTGCTACATTTTACCAGCCCTTTATATACTATGCAATCTTTGTGTTACTGTATATGTATGTGTTTAGTTTGGTCATCCTCATCAGCTTGTCTCATCCCCTCATCTTCCAGTTATGTGTTCAGTTCCACTAATCAATTTATTTTTACCTCCGTTTATCCCACATTGAACAATGTAACCTGATGAGAAATAGTAATAGTATATTCTGTTATGGAGACAGGACTATGAATATATTAGTTTATCAAAATATCAGTATGTTTACCAAGTACCAAAGTATTTAAAAGTATAAAGTACACAGACTAACAATAACACATGTAGCTATGGCTAATTGTTTCTAAACATTCTGATCAACAGTTATTGGTAGAAATATTAACCAAGATAAAATTGATATTTATATCTTTAAATCTTTTTCAAAATTAAGTATTTAGTGTCCTTTTCTAGGCTCTTTTTTATGAACACTAATTCAGTTTTTTTTCTTAATATCAAGAAATGTTTATGATACTTGATTATTGTTCAATTTTTTCTGTGATGAAATAGAGTTTTTGCATGAGACTGTATTGGGTTTTGTTTCTCGGTAATGGCAATATCACTAAAGATTGAAGTAACAATTCTATAGGTAAAATGTGAAAAAAGTCATGTTGTGTAGCACAAAGAGTTCCCCCTTTATAAACTACCTGTATTTACATTGTTGACAGCAAGCACTTCAATATTTTATTTATGTGATAAACCATATGTTTACCCAATAAAACTAGTCAAAAATGATTTAAGCTGCAGCACATTTTTTTCAGTCATATGAAATGTTTTAACTTGAAATTCCCTGTATTATAAATGATGAATTTCTTGAAACCAGCAAGCTAGTGTTGTTTAGTGATAAATATAATACCAGTTTTTTGTATATAAGTTGTGCAAACTTTCCTGAAACTGGATTTAGTGTTATTATAGATAAACATACATTTGTTTTAAATAATGATATACTGTAATTAATTTTTCATTATGTTTTAGACTTGAGGAAAGGTACTTCAACTGACCTGATTTGTTGGTGTTTTCCATAAAAATTTTCCAGTAAAATATCTACCCCAAGCTAGGAGTCTGGGGTTTGTGTTTTCCATTAGGAATTGCCCAGTAAAAATCCATCCCAAGCTACGAGTTCAGTCTTTGTGTTTTCCATGAATCTTCTAATGAAATATCTATCCCAAGCTAGGAGTCAAGTTTTTGTGTTTTTCATAAGGGCTCATTCAGTAAAATGTCTATCCCAAGGTGGGAGTGGAGGGTTTGTGATAGGTATAGCACTCACAATTAATTAATCATCAAAAGTAGTAACCATCAGGGTACCTAATTGTAGATATATATTACTAATGTTGGAGACCTTGATACAGTGCATTATTTTCTGAATAGTAAGGTTAAATGTGGAGCTTCATTCTATAACACCCATATTATTTTACTTTCTTATTTCATGACAATTTAAGTTGATCATAACCAACATAAGCTCATTTATTTATTGTAACACTTACAACCCACCATTTTATCAGTATTTCTCAAATTTGTCAAACTTCTGTATATTATTGTTTATACATGTATCATTTTGTTTCCAACATAATGAATTCCTTTCTAGCACACCTGGTCTTATAGACCATTGGGCTTATGCCATGACATGACATCCGTCTTCCATTTCTCTTTTGATCTCCTAGAGTTACTGCCCTCCATTTCACCATGTGAGTACAATCAGATGGTAT